CGATGAATTGAAGGAGAGGAAATTGCCGGCAAAATCGGAGCCAAATATCGAGATGTTGGGCAAAATGCTTGATACTTGGATTTCCGTTCAGCAGGATACACTGCCCAGGTGGAGGACGAGATCATGTCACCGAAATATCACTGGGATTCACTGTGGATCGACATGATTTTGGAAAAACTCAGGGACACGTGCGTGGAAACCGGTGTTGAGAAACCGACGCGATTTTTATGAAACGTTGTACGGGATTGTACGGGAAGTGGATAAAATACACGTTTTTCCGGAGCAAAATATCGAGTTTCCTGTGCCAGGCTCGGCAAAATATCGAAAATTGCGCAGCAACATTTTGTGGCAAATTATCGAGGCGAGTGGCGCAGAATCTGTATGGGCTTAGTGCTCGCCTGGATCGATCGATCGATCAATCTGATGAGAGCAAACCCAAGGTGGCATCAGAGGTGAGCCATCGCCATGAAGAACGGTTCCTTCCACTTCTCGGCAAGCATAGATGCAATGCGGTGCTGTAGCAAGGCTGAGGCAGCCTGGCCTTGACCACCGGAGGCACAAAGGGGACGAACGATGCCTTGGGGCTCCACTTCTCTAACCCGCTCTTCATAGTGCCGTTGTTTCAAGGCTCCTTCTCGTGCTTTGTAAATGTGCTGCTGAGGGAGGAAGCGGTGTTCGAGCTGACAACATGGTTAAATGCTGGCACATTTAAGAATGTTCTCGCGAAATGGCCGCCCCACACCCCGCTGGCAGCAACATCTAAACGGGCGCCATTGTCACTGATTGCAGTGCGATGCATCATCCATTCCCCGGAAAGTGGCTGGAGAGACGGCTCCACGCTTACATCGTGTGCTACGCGTGAAAGCAGTGAGGCGCCACGGTGATATCTCGCAACTCGTTATGCCGGAGTTACGGATACCCTCCAATAGGGCAAGGCAGGGCATGCGCGGCGCTGAATGCCGGACCACAGACGCAGGCGGACGGCAGCATGGGGGGGGGGGGGGGGTCCAGCCATAGCGAACCTGGATGGCGTCACGAAAGTCAGCCTTGCTGCACTGCCACTGACTCGTAGGCATAGGTCGATTTTGCTAGCAATTCTGCTAGCAAAATATCGAAGAATTTTGAAGGGAATTCGCTGGCAAAACAGAGCAAAATATCGCCGATGATGTGTTCGCTGGAAATTGGGAGATTTTACACTTACATGTGTACGGTGCACGCGACTCATTTTCGCGCAGTTTTCCAAACACGTGACTCACTTTTTCCCATTTTGCCAACACGTGACCCACTTTTGGTCAGTTTTCCCACACGTGACACTCATTTTGGAGCAACAAGGGATCGAGGAGCCTGGCAAAATGAAAGCAAATAATTTATTATTAATATCGACGATGAGCCAGCAAAATTTTGCCGCAAAATATCGAAGCTTCACTGGCAAAATCGGGCTTTGCCTCGTTGCAAGAGTCGACTAGTCGGGACAGAAGTAGTTGCCAAGACTCAGCCAAGTGAACTCTTGCGAGTCCTACTCAGAGTGCTGGACTGGAGTCTTGCTGGACAATGCTCGTGGATCAGGCTACGAGTACCACCAAGACTGCAAGAGTACATAATATAATTATGGTTTATGTACTCTTGGTACCACCAAGACTGGCAAGAGAAAACCGTTTTCATGTACCGGTACTCTTGGTACGTCTACCAGTGACTGAGGCTGCGTTTACACGACAACGCTGGGGGCGAAAACGCAACGAAATCCTTTCGGATCCATGGTTCATTTACACACTCAAAATGGAAGAAAACCAAAACGGCTGGCCAAGGTGGAAGAATTTGAAAACGGAAATGTCCTGCCTGATAAATTTGGGTGTGTATAATCAGTCGAAACGGTGTGTTGGCCTCGTTTTCCGTCACGTTTGTTTCGTTTTCGGCCGTTTACGGATCCGACAATCCAAAAAAATGTTTTTACTTGCAAGTAAAATTTTCGTCATGTGACGTGTGTTGTCGTGTGCCTGTTTTCAACCATTACTTGAGTGTGATTGGTGCTTCCACGGCAACACTCAGTGGCACATGACGAACTTTGGCGGATCCTTTGCTCTCGTGTAGACGCTTGAAAACGATACAAACCAGGGAGTCGTAAAATACGTATATAATACAACCCAGCAGTACGCTTGTACTTGAAATATAAACCGACATACAAACCGAGGCGAAGCCGAGGTTTGTATGATGGTTTAAATTTCACGTACAAGCGTACTAGTGGGATGTATTATGCTGACCTTCATACAACCTGACAGTCAACTTCTTCCTGTTTCTAGACTACGGCTGTGTTTACATGAGAAATTTCAACCCGGGTCGAGTTCAGCCCGGGTTGAAAGTCTGTACGATAGACAAAAGAGGTGAGCGTTTACATCAAGACAGTTGACCCGGGTCAAATACCGATATGCCGCCAAAAGTCCACTTCTACAGTCCTGTATGGTCACATGAATCCGTTCGCGCGAAATTTGCATCTGCAGTGCCGTTCAAACCTGGCGCGAGATACGCACAGAAGTACGTTTGTACGATTTTCTTGACCCGGGTTGATTTCAACCCTCCCCTTGGGGGGAGGGTTGAAATCAACCCGGGGCGAAATTTCAACCCGGGTCAAGCGCAATGCGTCATGTAAACGCGCCATTCATTTTGTGCACATGGCGGGTTGAAATCTGACCCTGGTCGAACTCAACCCGGGTTGAAACGCTTCATGTAAACACAGCCGTCCTCCAGCTCCAGCGACTTGACCAAAAGTACGGAGGTGAGAAGCGCAAAACAGCCGTCCACGCTCCAGGACATGCCACCAATCCGTGAGCGTGGCACAGCCAAACAGCTTGAGCGTTTCGCAGGTCTCGTGCAAGTCGCCAGGATTAACTTGATTGATGCTGGCCGTCAGAATGAGCTGTCGTACGGTACGTTCTGCACTCAGCTGCAGCAGAAGCTGAGCCAAGATCTGTTAACGGCGTACCACCGGTGGCGTTGCGATAAATATTGTCGAGTCGGTCGACTCGCTATTGCAGTGGTTAGTACGGGAAGCAGATTTCCGCACGGAAGCAGAGGAGACCCTGCAGAGTGTCTCGCATAGCGTAGCAGCCACACATCTGATGAGCAAGCCTGCCAAATCAGACATTTCCACAGCAGCAGCTCTTACCGTCACCTCATCGAGCGTAGAATGTGTGTTTTGCGGCAGCGGACACGAGTCCTCGCAATGTTCATCCATCACAGACATCAAGCGCCGCAAGGAGCTGATACGCAAGAAGGGTCGTTGCTTCATCTGCCTGAAGAAGAACCACATGGCTCGCGACTGCAAGTCCAGGCTGAGATGTAGCAAATGTGAGCATCGACATCATACGTCCATTTGCGAACCCAAGTCGTCAGAGCAGCCTGGGACTGGCGCGAAGACATCATCTCCGCCATCTAGACAAGGCGGAAGTGGAAAATGGTCGAAGTCACTGTTTTCGTCAACAACCGAAGCTACTGTCAGCGACAGCGGAGCTGTATTTCTACAAACTGCACAGACCTCGGTGGTCTCGCCTCAAGGTCCAGATCGAAAAGTGCCTGTGCGAGTAATGCTAGACGGTGGGAGCCAACACTCGTACGCTACATCATCGGTACTGACTCAGCTGGATGTGCGCCGCTCCGGTCAGGACCGTGTAGTGATAAACGCGTTTGGCGGCGAACAGCCAAGCCCAAGCACACTCCGGGACGTGGTCGAACTGGACATTCAGTGCGTCGATGGCAACCGGATTCGTGTCAACTGCATCGTCGTTCCATAAGTCTGTGCACCCGTGCAAAATCAGAACACCGCAGATGTAGTCACAGCTTACGAGTCTCTACAGAATCTCAGTCTCGCCGACAACTGTGGCGGCTCAGCTAGCATCGACATTCTACTCGGCGCTGATGTTTATTGGCAGATCGTCACGGGCGACATCGTTCGTGTAGATGATGGGCCAACTGCTCTCGATACTCGCCTCGGGTGGGTTCTGTCCGGACCAACAGGCAGGTGTAATTCAGGCATCATCTCCACTAACGTCGCCACCGTTCACGCTTGCGACCATCTACCGTGCAAGATCCAGACAGCGCTTTGGTCCAGCTACTCCAGAAGTTCTGGCAGCTTGAATCCATCGGTATCTTGCCTAATGAACCGGACACTCTGCAGCTGTTCCAACAGACCATCCGCTACGATGGGCAGAGGTACATGGTCAGGTTGCCATGGAGGGAGGATCATCGCGCGCTTCCAGACAATTACAGTCTGTCCGAGAAACGGCTGCAGTCAACACTCAAGAAACTGCAGAAGTCACCAGAAATTCTGAAGGAATACAATGCAGTAATTCAAGAGCAACTTCAGAAGGGCATCATCGACAGGCGCGTGCTCGGCGATGGGCACGGGGGGCACGTGCACCCCCCAAACATTTTCAATCTGGGTAATTGCAATTGTAATGTATGCAAATATGCTCCAAAATTCAAGAAAGGTTGCAAACAAATTGCAGAAAATTGCCGGGGGGGGGCTCCCCTCGGCTCCCGTGCACCCCCCTAGTTGGGGGGCCGAGCACGCCCCTGATCGAGGAGGTGCCAACTACAGAGCACGACGTGGTGGGCGAAGTACATTACCTGCCTTATATGCCCAGTATAAGCCGCCAGCATGATCACTGACAGTGATGGGCAAGTAATTGACTGGAAGTTTGTATGAAAGGTCAGCATAATCCCTGATACAAACGGAGACCACCTCGGATCGGCTTTGATCGTTTCAACCCGGGCTGAACTCGACCCGGGTTGAAATTTCTCTTGTAAACACAGCCTACGTAGGAAACGTTGGAAAATGGAAAAAGAAATGCACATGCGGTCGACTGAAAACGGAAAACGATCTTGTAAACGCAGCCTCCCACGTGCCACACATGCTGTGACGTAGAATACACATGTCATAATAATTATATAATTTTTTTTGTGAACAGGCTTTCGGAAAATAATTTCAGTTCATTTTTAATTTTGGAGCTTGCTTGGAATCGTGATCAGATACAAAATCCTTCCTGGTATGATCTGCTGTTTTGTCATTTCTTTCTCCACGAAGCCGTGCCTGTACTAGCTATCTCAAGGTCCCCGCGTACTTCTTTCTCGCAATCTAGAAATGAAACACAGGGTTTTGGAAGAGGCATTTGACTTTCTTTGCTCGTGTCGTGAATGTAATTTTTAGACCTGTTTGCCTGAATTGGAAATTACGATTGGCTTTTTTGTCGCCTGTTTGGGTTGTTTGCAATAATAATGGCAAGCGAAGCTCGACTTCACGTAGGTGGGCTCTCAGAAAGTGTGAAGGAAGCAGAATTGAGGTACGGAACTTTTTTTTGTATTTGATCGTGTAACGTGTGTGAGCATGATTGTAAAGTATTCATATTTTTTTGGATATTTTACGTTTGAAAACTTCTAGTTCGAAGTGCATGGAGTATGTTGTGTTGCTACTGGAGTTCTCCGGTTAGGGAGCAATCCTGATCGATAAAAAGTTCGTTGCATTCTGATAAAAGGCCTTGTCTGGCTAGGTTCGGTGAGCTAAAGTCCTCGTCTGGCTAGTTTCTATGTACAGTGTAGTACTGAGGGGTTGGCACTCCAAGGGACCTGGGCAAACGTTTATAACGAATTTTATAGATACTGATTGGATTACTGTATCTGTAGACTTTTATGCTTGATTTCTCATTTGCTTGCTCTTGTGTGCTTGCTCGTGTGTACTTGCGGCCTTGTGTGTGTACTTTCGCCCTTGCGTGTGTATTCTTGTGTGCTTGTGTGTTTGTGCTTGTGTGCTCTCGTGTGCTTGTGTGTGTGTGTGTGTGTTCTTGGGTGGGCTTGTGTGTATTTGCACGTGTTCTCATGCGTTCGTGCGTGTGCTGTCATGTGTGCTCGCACGCCTGCTGCTCCGGGTTTCTCGTGCTCGCGTGTGCGCTGTCACGTGTCCTGCTGGTGCATCCCTGTACTATAGCCAACACTTCTCTTCTCACGGCACCGTGAAGAACGTGTGCATGGTGAAGCGAGAAGGCCTACCTGGTACGTGTATGTGTCTGCCATGCTTAGTTTACTGTTGTGTTTGCTGGTGACGCTCTATCTTGCGGTAGAGTATGGTCAAGAAAGAGATGAGGTTCGGGGCTAGGTTGAATTTAGATTCGAGCAGCAGTATGAAGACAAACCACCCAGCGCATTATAATTCAAATCTCACGTGTTATGGTGTGGGTAGATGCTGAATGTTGCGTTCATGGTGGGTGGGTTTTGGATGGATGGTGGGCGTTGGGTGGATGGTAGGTGTTGAGTGGGTGTTGAATGGGTGTTGGGTGGGTGTTGGGTGGGTGTTGGGTGGGTGTTGAGTGGGTGTTGAGTGGGTGTTGAGTGGTTTTTGAGTGGTTGTGGGGTGGGTGTTGTGGGTTTTGAGTGGGTGTTGAATGGTTGTTGGGTGTTGGGTGGACAGTAGTTGTTGGGTGGACGGTAGTTGTTGGATGGATGGTGTATATTGGGTGTATGCTGGGTGAATGGTGATTGTTGCCCTTTCTTTTCCCCTTCTTTTTGTCATGTAAAGCTAGGTCTAGCGCAGCCTCTTTCTAGATTAGAGTGGCTCCTTTTTTTCCCTTTTGTTGTTACTGCTGTCTTCATATGGGATTTTTGGTCTTGATGAATTGTGTACGAGTCTGACTTTATCACTTACTGCGTTTGGTAGGAGCTGCATCTGATGCCTTGACTGGCCTTCGGGGGGTTGCTACTGTACTCAAGGGTTTGGAGAGGAAAGTGTGAGTGACTGTCACCCTAACTTTGATTATTCTATTGTTTGTGCCGTCGTTCTCTGCAGGAACCGAAGTGAAGGTTTTCGCGTACGTCACACTGCAGAACACGCCGCAAGCTATCAACAAGTGTGAGTTGTCTGCACAAGCGTGCACTTGAAGTGCGCTTACAGTGTTATATTTTAGTGGTGATTTTGGCATCCGTGTGCAGACCTTACGCTGGCTGAATTTCTACCCTTCATCAGCGGTTGATCAGATGTATGAGTTTAGACAGTATCAAGTTAATGCAAATGCTAGTCGCGACCCTGAGAGTTCTGGGTAGTCGTGGCTCCTCTGTCACTTTACCCACGCCTGTATGCTCTGCTTTTCACGCCCCAAGCACATGCCTAGACGCACGGGTCGGTGTGTTGACGCAAAGCTTGCAGTGGCACCTGTGGTGTCGTTGGCGCCACTATGCTTTCTGTTTGCTACGTTGCTCTGTTGGTCATAAGTGTGGCTGGTTGTGTACAACACGGTGTGTTGCTGTTGAGTTCGCACTCCAAGGGTATGTAGTTCAGCTGACAGTGTTGTGTGTTGATGCAAAGCTTGCAGTGGCACCTGTGGTGTCGTTGGTGCCGCAATGCTTTCTGTTTGCTACGTTGCTCTGTTGGTCGTAAGTGTGGCAGGCTGTGTACAACACGGTGTGTTGCTGTTGAGTTCGCACTCCAAGGGTGTGTAGTTCAGCTGACAGTGTTGTGTGTTGATGCAAAGCTTGCAGTGGCACCTGTGGTGTCGTTGGCGCCGCTATGCTTTCTGTTTGCTACGTTGCTCTGTTGGTCGTAAGTGTGGCAGGCTGTGTACAACACGGTGTGTTGCTGTTGAGTTCGCACTCCAAGGGTGTGTAGTTCAGCTGACAGTGTTGTGTGTTGATGCAAAGCTTGCAGTGGCACCTGTGGTGTCGTTGGCGCCACTATGCTTCCTGTGTGCTACGGTGCTCTGTTGGTCATACGTGTGGCAGGCTGTGTACAACACAGTTTGTTGCTGTTGACCTCGCACTCCAAGGGTGTGTAGTTCAGCTGACATTGTTGACGCTGGTGACAGTGTCAGGCTGGGTTACATGCATACTGCACTGCTGCCATCGCATCATATCTTATTGCGATCAGACACAGCTGGCTTTGGAACTGGTGCTGGCTGTTTTGGCAGCCACAACCAGTTTATGGATTGGCGCTGGCTGTTTTGTCAGCCACGGTTAGCCTGGGAATCGGTGCTAGCTGTTTTCATGGTTGTGACAGCTACCATAAGTTTGTGGATTGGTGCTGGCTGTTTTTCTTCTTCTTTTTCATTTGCATCACGGGTGTAGTGGTCAGCTCACTGAAATGAAAATTATGAATTTTTTACTTATAGCTCTATTAGACTCGGGTGAAGAGCCAAGGATTAATTATTTCTTTGGTCCTTTTCCTTCTTATAGCTCTATTGATCTGTAAGCAGTCATGTGGAGTCAGCAGCCTTGACACGGTGCATGCACGGTGGCACGGTCCATGACCTGCTGCTTGCACTGTGTGGTGCGTAGGCTTCTATCCTGACACTGTTAATTAATGGTGCGCGGAGACGACTCTCGATCGGTCGTTGCCCGGACTACCGTGATCCGAGCTCGTTGGCCGGCCGGCCGGTCTCTAGTGCTTGTGCCGTTGTGACGTGACTCCACAGCTGCGCGCGCCCTGTGTTGTACCTTCACCGAAATGTAGCTGTGCGTATGATTGTTTGTACAGTAACACTTGCAACTAAAGACCACCGTGACTAGCGACCAGCCTGCTACTACAGACCACTGCGCCAGGCACGGACGGTCCCACATTCATTATGTGGTCGTGCGGTGCAAGCCTCTAACTAAGGACCACGCGCCACTAAAGACTGCTTTCTCTGGCCCCAAGGGGTGGTCGTTAGTCACAGGTTTTACCGTACATGGCGTGTGCCAATGCACAGTGTAACCAGTGTAACCAGTGTAACCAGTGTAACCAGTCTAAGGCGATCGCTCGCTTGACAGGTTTTATTGTATGTTTCAAGTACTACCTCACTCACTGTTCTGGACTACGTTTGTACTCACTGTTCTGGACTACGTTTGTACTCACTGTTCTGGACTACGTTTTACTCACTGTTCTGGACTACGTTTGTGCTCACTGTTCTGGACTACGTTTGTACTCACTGTTCTGGACTACGTTTGTACTCACTGTTCTGGACTACGTTTGTACTCACTGTTCTGGACTACGTTTGTACTCACTGTTCTGGACTACGTTTGTACTCACTGTTCTGGACTACGTTTGTACTCACTGTTCTGGACTACGTTTGTACTCACTGTTCTGGACTACGTTTGTACTCACTGTTCTGGACTACGTTTGTACTCACTGTTCTGGACTACGTTTGTACTCACTGTTCTGGACTACGTTTGTACTCACTGTTCTGGACTACGTTTGTACTCACTGTTCTGGACTACGTTTGTACTCACTGTTCTGGACTACGTTTGTACTCACTGTTCTGGACTACGTTTGTACTCACTGTTCTGGACTACGTTTGTACTCACTGTTCTGGACTACGTTTGTACTCACTGTTCTGGACTACGTTTGTACTCACTGTTCTGGACTACGTTTGTACTCACTGTTCTGGACTACGTTTGTGCTCACTGTTCTGGACTACGTTTGTACTCACTGTTCTGGACTACGTTTGTACTCACTGTTCTGGACTACGTTTGTACTCACTGTTCTGGACTACGTTTGTACTCACTGTTCTGGACTACGTTTGTACTCACTGTTCTGGACTACGTTTGTACTCACTGTTCTGGACTACGTTTGTACTCACTGTTCTGGACTACGTTTGTACTCACTGTTCTGGACTACGTTTGTACTCACTGTTCTGGACTACGTTTGTACTCACTGTTCTGGACTACGTTTGTGCTCACTGTTCTGGACTACGTTTGTACACACTGTTCTGGACTACGTTTGTGCGCGGCACACAGGCTGTCTTGGGTAGGGCGAGACTGGGAGTTTGAGCTCGCCAAACAGCATTGTAATGTCTTGTGCTGTGTTTCTACACGTGTTTCCTCCACTTCTACAGGCATAGCCAGCTTGAACAAGAAGAAGTGGAATGGCAGCACTCTGACCGTTGCCAGAGCCAAGGAGTCTTACGTAGAGCGGTGAGTGAGCTTGTTTCCGTGTGTGTGTATGTGTGTGTGCGCGCGCGCGTGTGTGTGTGTGTGTGTGTGTTCATGCGAGGGTGGTCATGTGGATATGCGTGTGTATGGAAAGTCAATGTGATGTTTTCATTCCAGTTGAACATGCCGTTGATCTCTGTCTCTCTCTCTCTCTGTCTCTCTGCCCCTCTCTCTGTCTCTCTCTCTCTCTCTCTCTCTCTCTCTCTCTCTCTCTCTCTCTCTCTCTCTCTCTCTCTCTCTCTCTCTCTCTCTCTCTCTCTCTCTCTCTCTCTCTCTCTCTCTCTCTCTCTCTCTCTCTCTCTCTCTCTCTCTCTCTCTCTCTCTCTCTCTCTCTCTCTCTCTCTCTCTCTCTCTCTCTCTCTCTCTCTGTCTCTCTCTGTCTCTCTCTTCTTTTCCTTATTCTCGGACAGAATTCGTCGACAGCAGGCTGAGGAAGAGAAGGCTGAACAAGCCAAGAAAGCAGCTGCTGCTGCAGCTTTGACTAGCGGCTGGGCTCGCACCACGAATGGTTGCCTCGTGCCAAAGTTTCAAGTGCCGGCCAAGGTGAGATCAAGAACGTGTACTGTTGCTTCTCCAGTATGCACCCGCGATGACAAACCTACACACCTGCGTGTGTGGGTAATGCCACATGACATGTCCACTGGCCTTTTCTCTCCCCCCCCCCCCCCCCCCGTCCTTTGTTTGTAAAGCCGGGCTTATTCCTGTAGAAGCCGATGTCAGTGCTAGGCTTCTATTCAAGTCCGGCTCCTATTCGAAACCAGTACATCTATGTGTTTCAAAACTAAAACCAGGCTTATGTTCCGTCTGTGCATCCTAAAAATCAGGCTTATATTCACAATAGGCTTCTTTATTGGACAGGCTGTAATACAAGACGCTCCAGAGGGTGGGGGTATCCGTCAAAAGTGTGCACGCGGAAACAACAAGGTTACTCACCGTTAGGGGCCATCCGGAATTATCGATAGTTTCACGAAACGAAAAAAGTTTAGTTATGACCCTCCCCCACCCACCCACCCCCATGACGAAAAATAGATCGACTTGACAGCTAGGATGTACTGCTGTTTCAGCTATCAATATTTTTCATAACGAAACTCTCCTCAACCCACCCACCCATGGACGAAACTTTTTTTAAAGGCGTGTCTTTGAAATTAAGCTTGTATTCAAAATAGGCTACTTTATTGGACAGGCTGTAATACAAGACGCTACGTGGGTGGGGAGTATCCATCAAAAGTGTGCACGCGGAAACAACATGGTTAAGGCGTGTCTTTGGATGTTCTCTCTCTCTCTCTCTCTCTCTCTCTCTCTCTCTCTCTCTCTCTCTCTCTCTCTCTCTCTCCTTGCCTTTTGTCCGACATGCTGCAGGCAAAGTCATCAGCTGCCCGCGCTACACATCGCCAGTTCACGGACTCGGATATTGAGGCCGATGTCGGTTGGACCAGCACGACGTCCTCAATGCTGCACTCCGAAGATCGCTTGCCAGGTGAACGCCACCGCCAGCAACCAGTGGCAGCATCAGCGCAAGGGAGCAGCAGTAGCAAGCGTGGCAGGCCTGACGACTCTGACCCGTCTAGTGACTCTCCAACTGCTGCTGCTGCTGTCAGGTCCTCACAGAGCAGCGCTGCAGGTGCTAGTAACCAGCGGGTGAAGTCGGCCGTTAAGCGTCGCAGGCAGCAGGACTCGTCCAGCGAGTCTAGTGACAGCAACAGTGGTACTGGCGGTAGCGACAGTGACTCGGGCAGTGCATCCTGGCTCACGACTCCCTCGCGACCGGAGCGAGCAGGGCACGGCAATGATGCCAACAACGATGACTCCAGCTGGTTGTTCACTCGCAGTGATGCGGACGTTGCTGGCAGCAAAGCTGCGGGCACTGACGACAGCTGGTTGAGCCTAGGTGTGCAGCGTGATCACCGCACTCCTACTACTACTACTACTACTACTGACAGTACCGCCGCTGGTGGTGGGTCTAAATCTGGGCAGCGTAAGAAGAAGGTTGTGGACAGCAGCAGCAGCAGCGAAAGCAGCAGCAGTAGCAGTAACAGCAGCGAAAGCAGTAGCAGTAGCGACAGCAGTAGCGACAGCAGTAGTGACAGCAGCAGCAGCAGCAGCAGTAGTAGCAGCAGTGACGATGACAACACTATCACCAACAAGTCCAAACGTCTGGTAAAACCTGAAGAAATCTCCTCGAGTAAGACATCGACTATTTCTCAGAAGTCTCCGCGTGCCCCTAGTGTGAAACGAGACACCAAGGGTGATAATGCTAAGCGTCTTGCTGCTTTGAATGCCAAGCAAGAGGCAAGCACCCAGGCATCCCGCTTGATCTCCGAGTCCCTCAAGGTGTGTTACATGTATAACTTATGTATATCCTGTCAGCGCTGTGTGTGTGTGTGTGTCTCTCTCTCTCTCTCTCTCTCTCTCTCTCTCTCTCTCTCTCTCTCTCTCTCTCTCTCTCTCTCTCTCTCTCTCTCTCTCTCTCTCTCTCTCTCTCTCTCTCCCCCCCCCTCTCTCCCCCCTCTCTCTCCTCTCCTCCCCCCCCTCTCTCTCTCTCTCCCCCCTTTCTAATATGTTTGCATTGGTGAATCCTTTTCCTGTGACCGTTTCCAGCAGGAATAATTGCTTGCTTTACCTGCTTACATTTTTTCTTGGTTTCTCCAGGCAGCAAGGCCCAAATCGATTATCTATTCAAGTGGCAGCAATAGCAGTAGCAGCAGCAGTAGTAGTAGCAGCAGTAGCAGTAGCAGTGGTGATGACAATGAGGACGACAGCGATGCGGAGCGCTTTGCCATCAAGCCGCAGTTTGAGGGCAAAGTCGGAGGCAAGGTACGTCAACATGCCAGTGGTGATGGTGGTAGCGGTGGTGGTGATGGATGGTGGTAGCGGTGGTGGTGATAGTGGTAGTGGTGGCGGTGGTAGTGATGGTGGTAGTGGTGGCGGTGGTGGTGATGGTGGTGGCGGTGGTGGTGATGGGGGTAGTGGTGTTGGTGGTGGTGGTGGTGATGGTGGTAGTGGTGGCGGTGGTGGTGGTGGTGGCAGTGGTGGTGGTGGTGGTGATCATGTGTATGCTTTAGCCTACTAGGCCCAATAGGCGCGTAAAGCCGGAGTGTACAAGCCGTGCGTGCCAGACTGGCCACGACCATCTGGGGGGAGATGTAACTTACTCCTGGTGAAATGAATGTAACAGATCAAGGATGCAATTGCAAGTTCTGGTGGCTTCATAAGAAAGTTCTGTTGCATGCTATCATCCCCATCTCTTACTTTACCATGGTAGAAGTGTATGCATGTATGTACAGTCGCGCTCGGTGAAATCCAACAGACTTTGGGACAACTTCGGTTGGCTCTAGAGCTGGTCTCCAGCCTTGTGACGACCGATGCTTCCGCGCATCGTTTTCCTTGTCGTCATAGCTTTTCAGGAAGCTAAAGACCTTGAAATTTAGAGAATGAATGTCAGAATTACGATCTTATACGTGTGGTGTGTTTTCAGTAAAAAAAATGACCCGTTTTGCTGATCCCTAGAGCCCTGGTGCACCTCCCAGCAGTCAAAGGGATGAAACTGGTCCTGGGCTTCGTTTTGCACCTTCTTTTTTTTCACCGAGCTCAAATGTTACCTGTCAGTCTGTTGCTAACGGAAACCATTTCTGTCCGTCTGTGTCTGTCTCTCTCTCTTCCTGGTGTTGTGTGTCCTTTCTTGTCTTTAGTTGCTGCGTCTCCAGCAGCGTGTCGGTGCTGATGATCGGTTCAAGATCGACAGCCGCTTTGCAGAATCGGACAGTGAAGATGAAGAAGATGACGCTGCCAACAAGGGTGAGTGTTGATGTTAGCTATTTCAAGCTGACCGCGTGGCCTAACGGATAAGGCGTCTGACTTCGAATCAGAAGATTGTGGGTTCGAGTCCCATCGTGGTCGCAGTTTTTTTTTCTTCGTTTGTTTATCTACCCACGCCTTTTCTGAACACAATCAATTTATATTTCTCCAATTTTTAATCTACTGTTGGATCCGTCTATCCATCTTGCTGGCCCAGAATGACACTCATGTTTGGGCTGTTTCACCACTGGCAGTTGGAAGAAGCAGAGCGTTTCACTTGTAATAATTGTGATTGTGGCACACATTGTTTGTTGGCGTTACCACGTGCGGTGCACATTGTGTACCTATCGTAAAGTCTTGTATAAAAGCCGCACTTGAATAGAAGCCGCACTTGAATAGAAGCCGCACTTGAATAGAAGCCGCACTTGAATAGAAGCCGCACTTGAATAGAAGCCGCACTTGAATAGAAACCGCACTTGAATAGAAGCCGCACTTGAATAGAAGCCGCAATTTTGAGCCCATCAAATCACACATAAGCCTGGTTTTAGAGTTGACATACATAGAAATACCTGTCTTGTATAGAAGCCTGTCTCATTTAGAAGCCTGCAAAATTTCACCAAGAAAGTCATAGAAGCCGTAAAGGCTTTTATACAAGACTTTACGGTATGTGTATGGTGTTATCTGAGGTTTGCAGAGTTAGTTGCAACTCCAAGTTTCTTGCACCATGCGACAATCATCAGGCGACTTATGACGCATTCAGTTGGACTTGGCCAATATAAAGCATAATTAGGTGATTGTTAGTGGGTGGGTATTGATTGAGAGCAGTGATATTGCCGTGATGTCTTGTTTTCTGTTTGTGTAGATGAGATTGGTAAGCAGCTTGATGAAGAGCGCACGCGCCAACTCTCGCTGCTCTCCAACATGTTTGGAAAGAGAATAGCCATGCGCAAGCCGCCGATGAAGACAGCAGATATCTGGTAAGTTACCCTCACACACGCGAAACCCAGCTCAGTTGTATGCTGACTATTACTGTAATTCCTCGAATATATAAGTCGCACCTTTAGTCCTTTTGACACTAAACTTCAGGGCCAACAAAGGGGACTTGGATTCGAGCATGACTCACTACTGAAGTGAATATGTTGAAACGATATGACTTGGAGCTGAAAATGGGGATGCGACTTACAATCGAGTGAGATTTACAATCGGGGAAATACGATACATACTGGCCAGTGCAGTCGGACATGATGGATACTGCAGCGCAGATCTCATCCTTCAGCTAGTCTGTGTTTGCTGTTCCGCACGAGCATTTGTAGGACCATGAGAGGCCGTGTCATCAATGCATCGATGAATACACCATAGTGTCTTGTATAAAAGCCTGTCTCGTGTAGAAGCCTGTTTTGAACACAAGCCTGATACACTGTCGGCACATGCGCGTGGTGTTAGTGTTGACACACATAGAAATACCTGGTTTGAATAGAAGCCTGATGTGAATAGAAGCGTAGCCCTGACACCGGCTTCTACAGGATATACGCCCGACTTTAATACGCGACTTTACGGTAGCCTACCCGAGATGGTCGCAGTAGTGGTCGTTGTGGGGTAGCCCGTTCAGTTGACAACACTGGTGACCGAGACGACCCAGGGTGGCGCTGCACTGTTTATACTATGTCCTGCTGTCAGTGAGTGCGTTCGATTATGCCCGCTAATCGATTCACGAATCCATTCATGAATCGATTCGCGCTATTCACATCACCCCATGTGAATAGGGTGAATGGATTCCAAATTGATTCCAGGGCTCATGATATGAAAATCGAACGACTTGAATGCATGCGAATGGATTCATGAATCGATTCAAGTGCATAATCGAACCCAGCCACTGTTCTTGGTTGGAAAACTGAGAGCACATTGTGTATTGCTTGCCTTGGTTTGTGCTTGTTCTGACTGTCCAGGAATCTCTCTGCCAAGAGATATGATCCGACCAAGCCCGAGTGTGCAGCTCTTGAAATCGCCCGGCCACAGGCGGTTAAGAAGGCAGCGAATATTAGTCTGGACAGGTATAGCATGTATAGCATACCTTGAACAGTGAACTCCCGACCTGGCATGTACACAACGACAGTATTTTCTACTTCTGTTCAATATGCATAAGGACTCTTTTTGGGTGCGAGCCATCTAGAGATCAGATAGCTGAGTCTCAAGCGAACCATGAAAAATATTTAGAAACTTATTCTTCCTTGACAATCGATTTTTCCTTTTTTTCCTTTTCGTCGTCTGTGTAGATTCGATAATGACGAAGACAGCGATGGCCTGCCAAGCCGTCACGCAATCGCGGCAGCCAAGGCTGATATCTCACAGGCGCCCGAAGTGTCCTCCGAGCGCTACTTCAAGGCGTCGGACAAGCTCAAGGATCTGTTTGGCAAGACGGAGGAGGGGGTCGATGCGGTAAGGCTGTCTGGTTGTGAAACTCATGCTCAGTGCTGCAGTGCTGCAGTGGTCTTCTATGGAACATGCAGATATGCAGACCGTAGCGTCAGAATTGACTCACTATTGGCTAAAGTCTGAAGATAATGTTGAACGGTTCTGCTGGAGTTACAGGTACGCCATAGCTCAGAGGCTAGAGCATCGCTGGCCTCAAACCAAGGTCCCGGGTTTGAGTACTGGTGGTGACAATCCAATTTTTCTTCAGACTTTTCCAAATTCCATTTTCCCCTCAAACCAATGAACCTAGACTATAGCCTGGTGTTTACCTCAGTGCTTAACACCTTCTACAGTGACAGTATAATCATGTGGTCTGAGAAAAATGTAGTTTGTGCATGTTTTTTATGCCTACAATTGATGCTATTAAACCGAGTGTGAGAATATGCTAAGAACAGGAAGCAAGTGTGACTACGCGTAGGTGAGCAGGGTGAAGGTCAGCAGGGATTGTATGCATAGATGTGATTACGGGAACGTGTGTGTGTGTGTGTGTGTGCGTTGCACCCTTGTGTTGATCTGCAGGCTGCTACAGGCTCGTTCTCCTTCTCCTTTGCGGGCGGTGATGATGCAGCTCCAGCTGCTGGTGGTGATGCTGGTGATGCCAGCAACAACAGCAGCAGCAGCAGCAGCAGTGATTCCGACAGTGATGACACAAGACACACCGGCTCCACTTTCAACTCAGGTAAACTCCTGCTAGTGTGGTGTTTGCTTTTTGTACTTGCTGGCTGCTGTATTCCGGAGTCGAAGCAACCGGGCCCAGTTTCGCCGTTGGCGTAACGGCGAACTGCGACGTTTTGACTGCCATGGCTGCCGTTGACTGGCTCTGGTGGCGGAATTCCGCTCCACCCATGCCTTCGGGCGAGTGGGTCTTGCTTGTGGGTCGATACGTTTCGGGGCGGTGGGTTTCCAATCCGCCCATTTTCTTAGACGGGCTACTTTCGGTGTTTGTCACTTGACACCTGAGCGATCAAGGTCTGCCAGGGCCCTACAGTTCTGATCTCATACAGAAACACACAGCACACAGAGTATCGGAGGATCCTGTTCACTGCGCCAAATGTCGTATCCGGTCGGCCCAGGTTTAGGCCCTGGGCCGTGTCTGCGGCAGACATGACTTAGACTTAGTATTAGTACAGTTGCTCTAATAGGCCATACAGTGGTGGCCAGTCATTTTCATCACGTTGGCACCTCTCCACCGGGTTGTAAAGTAAAATCCCCAGATGCGGGTACCAATAATCCGGGTACGTCCGTCTGCCTTTCTGACCCTTATAGAGCGAAAAAATGGAGAAGGGGGGGGGGGGTATGATGTACAAACCGACAATTCAACATGCACAGTTCCGACTTGTACAAATCTTTAATTTTGGAGTTCAACACATTGAACCTGTACGCATGTGCTTGCTTGATTGTACAGGATCTGATGGTGAGTCCGTTAGTACCACGACTGGTACACAAAAGCAGCAGCGTCAGCGCAAACCCATGTGGAGACCCGATGCAGTGAGAGATACCAGTGATGAGGAGAGCGATGAAGATGTCGGTGTGGACGACAACTCCATGTATGTATGGGTTTTGTACGTGTGTGTGTGTGCGCGTGTGCGTGTATGTATGTGGATGTGTATGTGTGGATGTGCTCAACACGCGTTTGAGTGTCTGGGCAAGCATTCTAAGGGGGGGGAGCACTTGTTTGTTTTCTTTAGCTGGGTTGTTTTTCGTATGGCTTCTATTCCCCCCCCCCCCCCCCCCCCATCTGTCAATGGTCATTAGTTGTGCCCTCTGCTATCCTCACATGTCTTCTTTTATCCAGGTCGGCTGACATTGGTCCTGTTGAAGATGAGAAGTTTCTCTTCACCCTAATGAACAGTGAAGCTGTACTGGACCTGTCTCATGTGAAGGGTATGTTCACACACGCACGCACGCACCGTGTACCATGTGTACGCCCGTCGTAAGAGAAGCACACAAATCTGCAAATGCACTGGATGTGCACCCACAGATCTCCTCTTATAGCAGCGATAGCAGACAAGATCTGAATGAGACAGATCAAGAGTAGTGCCAGATAACTTCCCAATCCACACAACCTGCGAAGCCATGTGAATCGACCACCAATGTACATCTGATCTACACCACACGGAGTACATCTGCATGGAACGGCCAAGTTCCAGTCTAGCCAAAACTGAATGGGGGATGCATGCACATGTACATGTGTGTGGTCTCCAGTAGTACATTTGCAACCTTCAGGGGTTCCGTGGACCCCCCCCCCCCCCCCCCCCCCCTCCTCTGGATCCACCCCTGGGGTATAGCATTTATAAAATTTACCAAATATCATCTTGGGAGAATGAAATTGAAGACACCACTGCAGCTGTACTTATTGTTGATAAATATGGTGGTAAAGACACACCTGGCAATATGGCGGTAAACACACGCCTGCCCACACACGCTCTCTAGGCTGCAAAGTTCTGGCACAGAGCTCTCCTTCTCATCACCACCACCACCATCAGTTCGCGCCTGGCGCCTGGTCGATGCATGGCTGGCGGTATCCGGCATAGCAGGCTGGTACATCAAGTAGCGCATGGCACATAGATGATGACACAGCAACGACATAGCTCGATTGCGACGTACGTTTCGTCCCCGCTGGACTCATCAGGCAATCTTCTTCTTGGATGTCTTCATACGGAGCTTGACTCGGGAGAATGAAATTGAAGACACCACTGCAGCTGTACTTATTGCACACTGCAGCTGTACAATAAGTACAGCTGCAGTGGTGTCTTCAATTTCATTCTCCCGAGTCAAGCTCCGTATGAAGACATCCAAGAAGAAGATTGCCTGATGAGTCCAGCGGGGACGAAACGTACGTCGCAATCGAGCTATGTCGTTGCTGTGTCATCATCTATGTGCCATGCGCTACTTGATGTACCAGCCTGCTATGCCGGATACCGCCAGCCATGCATCGACCAGGCGCCAGGCGCGAACTGATGGTGGTGGTGGTGGTGAGAAGGAGAGCTCTGTGCCAGAACTTTGCAGCCTAGAGAGCGTGTGTGGGCAGGCGTGTGTTTACCGCCATATTGCCAGGTGTGTCTTTACCAACAACAAATACCATCTTGGTGTTCTTTTAGGAAGAGGTTTGTCTACATATTTTTCCCTTTGTGTTGGATATGCTGATAGCGTACCTTTCTTGAGGACCCTGTGTATTCGTGTCTAACCATTTGGCCTTGGATAGGCGATGAAATACAGATTTGTTATGAACCTTGCAGCATGTACACTAATAATAGTACTCAAGCTTCATTGTGTTGTGGGCTGGAAACGCTGTGATTTGGGTGTACTATGAAAGATCTGGTCAGAACGTTTTCGTTTTCATCATGCTCACAGCACTCTCACCATGCTGCTGCTGCTGCTGCTGCTGGTGTGTGTGTGTGTGTGTGTGTGTGCGCACGTCCGTGTGTGTGTGTGTGCGTGTGTGCGCGCGCGCATGTGTGTGTGCGTGCGTGTGCGAGCGTGCACGCGTGTGTGTGTGTGTGTGTGTGTGTGTGTGTGTGTGTGTGTGTGTGTGTGTGTGTGTGTGTGTGTGTGTGTGTGTGTGTGTGTGTGTGTGTGTGTGATGCTGCTGCTGTGCTTTTGATTGTGTCTTTCTGCTCAGCCGCGTTGTCCAGGTTTAGACGGAATAACACGGTGGAAGAGATAGAGGAGCAGTGGAAAGAGAACCGGCATTTCTTGACCAAGGTAACGAGTAGCCGCTTTTCCATTTTGTGCATTTGGCTGTTAGTAGTTTGTACGTGCTTGTGTGCATGTTGTGGGTGTACTTATGCCCGATAGTATTGGGCGAGACTCACACACGACCAAAGCAAGCTCTCATCTCTCCTATCCGGTTGCGGTTAGGGACCGTACACTGCCCATAGCTGTGAAATGTCTGCAACTCTGAATTGATACAGTCAGACCTCGTTCAACCGCACACATCCGTTTTCCAGAAAAAATATCCGGATATGCGAGGGAACCGGATAATCAAACACACATACTGCATGTATGTATGGCATATGCCGCAAATCGGTAACCAACGAAATTCTTCCGGATGGCGAGGGATACCGATAAAAGAGGACCGGATAAGCGAGGTCTGACTGTATTACCTCTCAATGGGCAAGAGCCAGAGATCTGACGTATGACATCACTATTTCCACAGAATTTGGCAAAATTTTAGTAATATTTCCACTAAAGCTAGCCCACAGGAAGCCTGGTAAACCTAGGTGCCCGTAACTTGGAGGTCTGGATAAGAGACTTATGAGTGTGCATGACAAGAAGTAACTACAAGGAGATAGTGGGACACACCACAGATCTACTTCTCATGTCCAGGTGTCCCAGATTCAGGCACTGCACCGACTACTGGGCACTTTGGCAGTCTCATCGCCATGGACATTTATATGTTATCAGTGTGTGCGTGCGTGCGTTCGTGCGTGTGACACCTTTAGGCACTTGCATGTATGCAAACTTGAAAGAAGGAAACTAAGCGTTTCTGCCGTGACTCTGAGTTTCACGGTTTTACCGATTGTCAGATATCTGCATCTATGTATGTATGTATGTATGTTCTTGGTCCGGCTCATCGCAATTGTCGCTTATCTATCGCCACTAAGAACAGGAGTTTTGTTGCCGCTCTGTGAAATTTTCAATAGGCATAGTGAGGAAGCATGATACATGAATACTCTCCGCCACAAGAAACAAAATTCAGCCATGGAATCAGGTGAAACGAGTCATAGAAGGGAAGCAAGGTAAGCAAAATGCACGAAATAAATCAGCGAAGGAGCGCGTTCTTGCACTCACACTCCTACAGGTCCAGACGGTTCATTCAACTCTCCATCACTCGAGCTGCCGCCGTTACATGAGCTGACATTAAATATTTGCTGGTGTCTAGCTGCTGGCGTAGAATGGTACGGTAGAGTATCTCTTGCTTTGTCAGCCTGTCATATGGCAGCAATGGAAAAGGAACAGTTATGTCTGTCACTTCGGTGCTTGAAGGAACCGTGGGCAGTGTGACCTGTGCGTCACCATAGTGTGTTTCAACAGAGCCTTTGAATGAGGCATACAGGCCTCTCCAGACAGCTGTCATACCCTCCACTGGATACGCTGACGACGACTCGTGTAATGCTGCTGCCAGGTCCACGAAGGAACAAAAGGAACAACCAAAACGTCCCTCACATGCGCGCATCGCATCGAAAACACCTTTCTTCTTCAGCATGACGTTCATACTCCTCTGCCGTGCACGCGTGCCTGTCACGCTCTCCAGGATGTCAGTTGCCCCTGCTACAGTTCCGGTCTTCGGGTCGCTAGCTGCGCTTGGCTTTTTTGGCAACACAGACAGTGAATGGCCAGATTTCCACTTCCCAAAAAAGTCGAACACATCGTGATTCAAAACGCTAGTCGCGATCATTTTTTCTTTGGTGCCTCATTTGATCTTGCCATCACAACCTCCCAAGCAAAAGGAAGTTAGATATCGTGATTGGACTGGGTTTTACCTGTCAAAAAGTGCGTGGGAGATAAGCGACAATTGCGATGAGCCGGACCAAGTATATACCCACTTACTGAGGTGTGGTGAGCCCATAAGTGGGATCATTTTTTTTCTTTTCAAGTCCACCCAGAGTTTTGGGGGTTTCAGGGGGTGTCGGCCGTTGGGCGGTTCAATAGCCAATTGAGTCATCTTTCCAAGATTCCGTTTGAGTCTCTATCCTCTCTCCCGGGGAGACCCCTGTGACCAGTTTTGGCAGTGAGCAACAAGTACATGTATGTATGTATGTATATATGTATGTTTTAATGTTATTCTATCGTTGTTTGAATCTTGTTCCTGCAAACACACAGAGTTACAAGCAGAAGCACAAGGATGCCATGCGCCAGCAGCGTCGACAGCAGCATCGCTCCTCTGACCAGGCTGGTGGTGGGGGTGCAGGTACACGCAAGCGAAAGCGTCGTGCCTAATCATGGTGATGTCTCTACTTGCTCCTTCATTGAGCTGGCGTTACCTGTCAAGTTTCATGGCGTGCTTTACAGCACGGGTCATACAGCCCTAAGAAAGGGACACTATACCCTGAAGCGGAGTCACACAGCCCTGAGAAAGGGACAACGTACCGCGATCCAGAATTATACAGCCCTATGTCAGGGACCGCATACCCTGATCCAGAACAGTGTGTGCCAGCCCTGGTGCCTTTAGATCGACCTTTACCTTGTCATGTTGAGTGCCTGCTGCTTTTCTTGAAACTGGAGCAGCGAGGATGGCCCCACATGCTTAGCACCCCCCCCCCCCCCCTCCCATGAGCTTGAGTGATCTATGCCTCGTGTACACCTACTGTGAACCTTGCATATGTGTGTGTCTGTTTGCTGTATTGCCAACAGTGCCCAGTGTCATTGACCTACTGCAGTGAATAAGGTATCTGTGCTGTTGAGCTGGCCCAGTCTGCCCCCCCCCCTGCCATTAATTTTATGACTCCCCCCCCCCCCCCCCCGCCATTAATTTTATGATTAACACTTATGCGTCTCCGTGCTGTTGAGCTGGTACAGTGGCAGGTGACTTCAATCAATGCCCTGTACTGTTGAGCTGGCCAAGTGACTGTATACCACGCAACCTGCCTTGTGTGTGTGCATATGTTGTGTGCATGCGTGTGACTACAACAATGCCTGATAATAGTGCTGGACTAGACATACATCAGGATAATTACTTATTGAGAGAGTTAGCTGGATTAAATTTTTTCAGAGAATGTTATAGAATGATGTATATAGATCTCTTGTGAGAAAGATAAATTCGAAAATCAATAGCTGTCGCTTGTGCCTGCTCATCACATCAATGTACTACTCCTAGTGTCGATGAATGCGAGAAAAGAAAGGCTTGAAAATTAGAGGCTGAGAAAGCAATACAGAGAGAGAGCAGCAGAGACAAAGAGGGATTAGTTTGTACAGGATTCAAACTAGGATTCCAGCTAGAACACCGTTCAGCACCAGGCGTGCATACGTATGCCATGCACCCATCCAGTGGCTTTTGCAGCCTTGCTGTATTGACGCTGGCTGTGGACCTACTGCGTATGTGCATGCTAGATAGAGTATATTGCTTGTGTGTGCTGGGGTCTGCTCCTGGCCACCGGGATCAATATAATTATTATATATGCACCTGGCATACCGGTATGTACCAACAACCACTATTATATATATGCTAGTAAACCAAAATACTTTTGAAATACACACAAGGTCGAACAGCGAGCCTGAGGTCTTATTCACATGCTTGCGGGTGTGTGACACACACACATCCAAAGATATTATTAGTATTATCCACATGCTTGCATTGGCGATGGCAATGCTGCTGGTTGCAGCAGCGGCGACTTGTTGGGCAACAAGCTCTCCCTGTGAAGTTGCCACACAAGACGGAGAGGCAGGTCAGCCATGGCATAGAGGTTCTTTGTCGTTCTGTGGCGGCTTGGACTAATTCACTTGACCCAGGCAAGAAGGCAGCAAGGCCTGTTCATTCTGGCGAAGTGATCAAATAAACCAGCCCAGCAGGTGCACATGTAACACTGACAACACAGCTACGCGCGCACCGGTGCACAGTTTTCCTCGTTCTGATCTCCTTCTGTCCACGAAGCTACTATACAAGTCAGTACTCAGCTGCAGCCGTCCGAATCTTGTTGAGCAAGACGTTTTCCTTCCTTGATCTTGCTGCCCTAGCCAGTTTTTTTGCAGCTGATGCTCGTCCACTAAGCTACAAGTCAGTGCTCAGCTCCAGCCGTCCGAATCTTGTTGGCCAAGACGTTTTCCTTCCTTTACTTTGCTGCCCCAGCCCAAGCCAGGCTTGGGCGTTTGTGCGGTTGACGCTCTGCTGCGGAACTTTGCGGGCCATTTGGACATTTGATCGAGGCTGTCTTCCTCGGCGACGACCCGGTGAGTCGAGTTGGTCAAGCTTGGCACCGCTGCTGGGGGATTGCGCGCGTGAGGCGGCCGTCCAGTTAATGGTTCTTGCGAGTAGGCGTCCTTGGGATCATCAAACCATTCTACAGGCTGGCGGGAACGATTGGCGGCCGGTGAGCCTGATGGGCGACGATTGGGGTACGTATTCAGCGGAAGCTCCGAGTACGCACCTTCGTTGCAATCCACTGACCCAGCAAAAGTGTGATGTGAGTGGCTGGGAGACGGGGGCCGTGACTGGTGGGGAGGTCGTTGATTGGGTGGCAGCTGTGAATGCCTGCTCTCCGTCACATGCCCCATTGTCATTGATCTAATGGAATGAGTGGACATGCATGGACTAGGAGGGCGAGGGTGACCGCCTTGGTTCAGCGTCTCCTCATCACCACCACCACCACACATGTTCCAGTTGGTATAGGTTCGAGGGGCGGGCTGTCTTGAATCTGCTTGGTTTCGGATCCGGCGAGCCATCGCTGCATTTGTGTAGGATCCTGCACCGCCGTCCACTGTCATTATGCTGTGGCGTGAGCCGGTAGACAGTCGCGAATCTGAACGGTTTCGGAAGTGTTGAGCCATCGGTGCGGGCTGTCTTGAATCTGCTTGGTTTTGGATCCGGCGAGCCATTGCTGCATTTGTGTAGGATCCTGCACCGCCGTCCACTGTCATTATGCTGTGGCGTGAGCCGGTAGACAGTCGCGAATCTGAACGGTTTCGGAAATGTTGAGCCATCGGTGCGGGCTGTCTTGAATCTGCTTGGTTTTGGATCCGGCGAGCCATTGCTGCATTTGTGTAGGATCCTGCACCGCCGTCCACTGTCATTATGCTGTGGCGTGAGCCGGTAGACAGTCGCGAATCTGAACGGTTTCGGAAGTGTTGAGCCATCGGTGCCCCCGTGTTCAAGAATTCCTCCGCACCGTTCACTGTGTTGATGCTATGGTTAGAGTGGATAGACAGTCGCGAATCTGCTCGCTGGCGGAAGTTGTGAGAAATCGGTCCATCTGAGTATAGTTCCTCGGGACCACCGACTGACCTCTGGCTATGGTGTGAATGGGTAGATAATCGTGAATCTGCTCTCTGGCGGAAGTTGTGAGCTATTGGTCTATCTGAATACAGTTCCTCAGAGCCACCGACTGACCTGCCACTACGGTGCGAATTGATAGATATTCGTGAATCTGTCCGGTTGCGGAAGTTGTGAGCCATTGGTTCATCGGAGTACAGTTCCTCAGGGCCCCCTACGGACCTGCCACTCTGGTGTGAACGGATAGACAGCCGTGAATCTGCTCGTTTGCGGAAGTTGTGAGCTATCGGTTCATCCGAGTACAATTCCTCAGGACCACCGATTGACCTGCCGCTATGGAACGAACGGACAGACAGGCGTGAATCTGCCCTGTTGCGTGCAATTGGACCTAGCGGTTCATCAGAGTACATCTCCTCAGCAACTTCCATCGACCGTGCACTATGATGTGACCTCACGGAAAGCTGCGAGCCTGCTCTGTTGCGTGCAATGGGGCCCAGCAGTTCATCGGTGTACATTTCCTCGGCACTCTCCACGCGCCCAACGGCACGGTTAGACTGACTGAACTGCTGTGGAGCTGGTTGGTTGCTGTGGCGCCTGATAACCGGCTCGTCTGAATACATCTCGTCGACGCTAGGCTCTGGACCAACAGCGCGATGCTGGGAGTGGTTGTGAATTGCCCGGGCACCTAAGTGAGGGGAACGGCCATCCACGGCCGGAGCCGCGTACGATTCCTCCCATTCGGACTGCGGCGCGGTGGACGGGTTGGCACCGTCCCCAGCCGGCGCGCCCACCGCTGGGGAAAACCCCTCCTTCTGGTGGTCCTTCAGGAGAGCAGTGGGCTGGTGCAGACAGCGGTGGATGAGCAGAACTAGTCCATGAATGGCCAACAGAGCGATCACAGAGGGGATTGCGATGCTGAAACCGATGTTCAGCTCTCCTGGCTCAATCCCTGCAGCACGCAGACGGACAAAGACGTCGAGAGACAGCCACACAACCCAAAAGGACAAAGACATCGAGAGGCAGACACAAGCAGAAAAGACAAAGGCAGCGAGAGACAGCCACACAAGCAGACAGGACAAAGACATCCAGCGACAGCCACACAAGCAGACAGGACAAAGACATCCAGCGACAGCCACACAAGCAGACAGGACAAAGACATCCAGCGACAGCCACACAAGCAGACAGGACAAAGACATCCAGCGACAGCCACACAAGCAGACAGGACAAAGACATCCAGCGACAGCCACACAAGCAGACAGGACAAAGACATCCAGCGACAGCCACACAAGCAGACAGGACAAAGACATCCAGCGACAGCCACGCAAGCAGAGAGGACAAAGACATCGAGAGACAGCAACTTCAGCAGACTGGAAGTTAATACAACTACATACACATGCGCTTCAGACTTAGGAAGCCAGACTGAGGTTGACCAGCGTGTCACGGCCGATGATTAGTACAAGAAGAGGTGGACTAATTCCTTGTAACTCAGAAACGAAAGATGGGCGGGCGGATGGGGGATGAAAAATGCCCAAACTTATCATGTTGAAAAAGCAATCCCTAACCTGGGCCAGTTCTGTAGCACTTTTACAAGTCATTTTCTTGAAGAGAGTGTCCAGAAGCAGACACCATCGCCATTAACTTACATTTACACTGTCCGTTTCCTTGCCAAGCGCCATGCTGTGCATCCACAGCCGTGCAGTTATAAGTATTATCGTCTGACAGTGCATAGCCCGCGATGCATTTCAGCTCGGTTACGCTATGCAGAGTGGTTCCCTCTGTGAACTCAAAGTAGCCGTTGGTGACACGATAGCTGCTGTTGCAGTAGGCTGGTTTCACTGTGAGAACGTTGCCGAGACAAGCATTCACGCACAGGCACACGCACACGCGTACATCCAGACACCCACGCACACACACACACACACACACACACACACACACACACACACGCGCGCGCGCATGCGCGCACACATGCATGCACACACACACACACACACACACACACACACACACACACACACACACACACACACACACACACATGCCCACATGCACGCACACACAGAAATATACAGATTCACAGCAACATACACAACGGGGTGCATGTAAAACAGATTGTTGACGGTACCACTCTAGAATGTCTTCCGGTGGGCCTGGAACCAGTCCCGATAAGCTAAAACTCATGCAGTGAGTCCCATTGCACTATGTCAAGGGACACAGAGCAATGTCAGGCTTCACACCGTTCTTTTGCTTGCTCATCGGAGCCGAGGCACGATGGGCTGAGCGAGTAGCGTGTTAAAGAAAAAAACTTTTGTTCATGCTGCCTCATACTTCAGCCGTACGGGTGGGCAATGCAGCCTTCTCCACACGTCGAAATGCAAGAACACTCGTGAAAATTAGAAAATTAGATGCTTACAGTATTTAACTCGGATGGTGAGCCAATTAAATTATGGTGAAAAAGGAGAAAGATAAGTCGCACTCGCTGACTGTATAAGATCTGGTCACTTTGGTGGACAGTTAGTCATAACTCGTAACATTTTGTCTTTCTCCTTTTTCACCATAATTTACAGTATATAATTCTGGTAAAAAAGGAGAAGGACAAACCTCGTACCATTTTGTCCTTCTCCTTTTTTTAAAAGTATTTCCTTGTTCTATGTACCCGTTTGCCATTGATCTTGCCTGTCCTATTATTGTCTTATTAAGTAATAAGACAATAAAAAAAGGAGAAGGACAAAATGGTACAAGGTTTGTCCTTCTCCTTTTTTACCAGAATTATTATACTGTAAATTATGGTGAAAAAGGAGAAAGACAAAATGTTACGAGTTATGACTAACTGTCCACCAAAGTGACCAGATCTTATACAGTCAGCGAGTGCGACTTATCTTTCTCCTTTTTCACCATAATTTAATTGGCTCACCATCCGAGTTAAACACTGTCAGCATCTAATTTTCAGTGTAAGTTCAATTTAAGTAATTTCGGTAGAGAAACCAAGCACCTAAATTTAGATAACATCTAAACGGCACTAGAGTATGCACTGTATGTGAAGGGAATGCTGGTCACCTAATTCTACTACAACTGAAACATGGCAGGTCCCTGACACCGAAATTGCAATACACCACAAATTACTTGTGTCCCAGTAGACTTACGATCACAGTCAATGGCTGAGGTCCACCGTCCGGCTTGCTGGGTAACATACTCGCAGGTTACACTCGCCTCCTGCGCGTAGCCATGGTGACATTTGAATGTTGCCACGGAGCCCAGGCGGGTCTTGTAAGAGTAGCGTATAGCGCCATGCTGCGTTTCCAGGTCCTGGCAATAGTTTTCATTCACTGGTGTATGACATACATGTACGTGTGCCAACAGGCGCATGCAACACACAGATACACCAGAACACACACACGCACACACACACGTGTATGCACGCACACACACACGTGTATGCACACACACATTTATACACACACACGTGCACACACATACACACACACGCACACACACACAGACACACAGACACACAGACAGACACACACACAGACACACAGGCATGCGGAGAGTTAAAAAGGCGCGTGCACAGCCGTACAAAATTATTCTGCGGAAAGATTATAGTCATGTTCACAGAACCGTGGCCATTACCCTGGAGATCCGACCGAACATTCAACAACTCAAAACAGGTTAATTAAACTGATGCGAGTGATTTCCTTGCCAGTACTCAACTTACCTGAACACTTTCCAGAACCGGTCCAATAGCCTTCTCTGGTCTTGTTGACCTGGCAACGGAACTGCGTGACGTTGCCAGGCAAGTAACCTGGTCTGCATGAGAGTGAGGCGACCGTCTCCACACGCAGAGTGCTTGTGCTGTATGTGTATGTGCCGAAGACGGTGTTGATGGGCGTGCAATAGCGAGGGATGGCTGTGCACACCACAATGCACACAAGATGAGCGCACAAGGCAAGCGCACAAGGCGAGCACACACGATGGGCGCACAGGACGAGCACACAGGACGAGCACACGGGGCGAGCGCACAGGACGAGCACACGGGACGAGCGCACAAGACGAGCACACGAAACGAGCATACAAGCCGAGCACTCAAGACGAGCACACAAGACGAGTACATAAGGCAAGCACACAATATGAGCACACAAGACGAGCACACAAGACGAGCACACAGGACGAGCACACAGGACGAGCACACAGGACGAGCACACAAGACGAGCACACATGATAAGCACACAAGACGAGCACACAGACACAAACTTTAAACAGCAGGCATAGATGCACGCACTGCTATACCGAAGACATTAGGCAAGGTCCTCTACATGACTGAACTCTTTATTACGGGCAATTCGATTTACCGGGCACCCTTCGGCCTTGGGCGAGCTTTAATGCATATACTTCTACTCTTTCGTCACTTTTTTGTGGAAATAGTGACACCAGTATGCAATATCTATGGCCTGTCCCCTTCAAAATGTATGTTATTCGGAGTTATGGACATTTCAAAGTTACAGGGCAGTGTCCGGTCCTGGACCGCCTGGATAAACGGGATATACATGTATACAGTCAACTTGGCTAATAACCACTGCGGTTATAGTGACAGTTCGCGAATAACGACAGAATTTCCATGCCCAGAGCAAAGTTCCATCTAACTGTAATACATATAATGAGACTTCGGGTATAAGGACACTTCGCGAATAACATAAGGACACTTTTCTGATGCCCCACCAAGTGTCGTTGTACGCAAAGTAGACTGTGTAATAAGCTTAGCTGCAGGCGCTGGGGAGAGAGAAAGTTTGATATCTTACAGAAACTCCGTGACGTTGCCACGCTCTGTAATCCTACAGAGACTCTAGTAAATGTCACATGCTATCACTCACGTATACACGCCAGATCGCCTGACCAGTGAGACTTAAAGCGGCCGAGTGGCACGCAGTCGGTCTCCGTCCTGTCGTCCCGGGCCATGTACCCAGCGTGGCAGGTGAGGATAGCCTTGGATCCGTTGGCGGAGTTACCACCAGTCGCGTACTTCAAGTCTCCTCGCTCCACATGCCCGGCAGTGCAATACGCTGAGAGAACACACACACACACGCGGCAGCACACAGAAGCCAGTTCACATTAGTCGGTGACTTACAGTACTGTCTGGTGCTGCAGAACGGAGCGCCGAAGAAAGACCGGCCTAGAATTTCACCACGCACATCATACTAGTGTACATGTGTACACGGTGGCTCAACTGTGCATGGACTGTAAATGCACGAAAATAGGAACGGTCTAGGCTAGCAGGTTGACTCCCAGTTCTTCGACGACCGACGGTACTGTGGTACAATGGGGTGACTAAAGAGGACACCCAGACGGGTGGCTTCTTGTGTGGCTTCCACGGTATTCATTGTTATTACCTGACGATGGCCAAGTGCCGAAACGTTGTAAAAATAACGGAACTGGTTCGGATGTGATGTGCAGTGCTATGGGAATGGGTGTGTCCACCCGAATTCCTTTCAGAGATGAAGCTGCAGGAAGCCTCAGCCCTTCTTCAAACCCAGACGGGTGATGGCACAAAGGAGCAACTAAACACCTGTACGTACAACACATTGCCCTGTGAAGTCATGAGCACCCGCTCACACCTCCATACATGAACTTTCCATATTAGGCCACACCGGTTTTATCTGTGTTTCGCGTCCCCCGCGCGCATGTGTTTCACAGCCGGAGTTTAAAAAAAACGAACAATTTTTTTTGGAAAATGTAACCCAAAAGGAAAAAAACGGAACATGATTGTTACACATAACTATTATGTTGGCATACATATTTATTCTATTTACTACACTGTTGTGAATTCCAGCAGAAATCCAAGAGAGCTCGATACCGGAAAGGTAGAGCCGTGACACACTAGTGACTGATCAAGCCATCTGTTGTTCTGACTAGTGTATTCTATGTACTATTTACTATTTTTTTGTAGTACCGCATGATTGTACTCAGCTCGTACATCATTACATGTGTGTGTGGGCCGCAAGTCACACAATCATCATGCCGCCTGTGTTTGGACCACAAGCATGGCAGAGGGGATACACTCATGTATTCATGTACATGAACAGTGCTGCGCCGCTTCACTGTACACAAATGCAATGCACGTACACTGTTTTTTTGGATGGCTTTTTTTATTTTTTTCGCCCTCCCTCATTGATTTCATCGAATAAGGTGACGCGAAACATAGAAAAAAAACGCCGTGGCCTTAGGAGGGTAGCTCGGGAGGCAGTCCACTCAGAAAAGCTAGGCTGGCGGTAACTAAAACTAACTACAATGCAACATTTAATTTCACCCTGAGCCAGTGGCCTACAACCCAAGAGGGATAGCTCTGACAGAGTACAAGCTACATTCTGAGGGTGTGCTGTACAGGTACGTTGACCCTTTGATGACGTCATCAGTGCAGTGCCTACACCAACTTGCATACACTACAACTACTACAGCACTGCTCAATGAAATCCAGTCGAGTCACCTTTAAAGTACGCGCCATGCATCAGTGCACAGCCCTAGACCTGCAAACACTGGGCTGCGAAATGGTACGAGGTGCAGACTTGAGTGATGCGTCCGGATTTTATCGAGCAGCACCGTACTACTACTTAGCTGCAGTAAGTAGCGCAGTGTACACATACGACCACTGATCAACACAAAACACAGACACAGTCCTGTAGATGTACACAGTGTGGATGCCGACACACACACACACACACACACACACACACACACACAATACAGACCCCACGCTGACTAACGCCTGCATTCAATGCTACGGGTACAGAAGCGCAGCGTACGCGTGTGATCAACACGTACAGCAACACAGACGTGTATGCACAGTGTGTATGGTAACACACAATACAGACCACACGATATCTCATGTCTCCATCCAATTCTACAGTAGTGCAGTGTACACACATGGTCAACATGTACAGCAACACAGACGTGTATGCACAATTTGGATGGAACTACACACAATACAGACCCCACGCTGACTGGCGCCTGCATTCAATGCTACGGGTACAGAAGCACAGCGTACGCGTGAGATCAATACGTACAGCAATACAGACATGCATGCACAGTGTGTATGGTAACACACAATATAGACCACACGCTGACTCAAGCCTGCATACAAAGTTACAGTAGCGCAGTTCACACATGCTCTCAACATGCACAGTGATACAGACATGCGTGCACACCTGAATATTAACACACAACACAGAAGACACGCTGACTCATACCTGCATCCAATGCTACGAGTGCAGTAATGCAGTGTACACGTGCTATCAACACGTACAGTGATACAGACATGCATGCGCAGCGCAGATACTAAAACACACAACACAGAAGAAACGTCGACTCACGCATGCATCCGATGTTACAGTAGCGCAGTTTACACATGCTATCAATATGCACAGTGATACAGACATGCGTGCACACCCGGATATTAACACCCAACACAGAAGACACGCTGACTCACGCCTGCATTCAATGCTACCGTTCCAGTTGCCCGTTGACTGACTCGACGTTAAGCAGAGGAAGCTGGAGCCGCTCACTGTCCTGTAGCCCTCGAAGCAAGTGAGCCATGCAACGGATCCTAGCGTACGGCCCGGTTCATACACCACGACGCCGTGAGTGAGGTTGACTTCAGGACAGTAGCCCAGGAACACTGTCAATGAGAGAGAGAGAGAGAGAGAGAGAGAGAGAGAGAGAGAGAGAGAGAGAGAGAGAGAGAAAGGAGAGTGCAGAGGAACACCATGTTAGTTTAATTAGGATACTGAGCCAATAATAATAATAATAATAATAGTAATCTTCACTAGTTTGAGGGAAAGAAACAAACAATAATAATAATAATTAACCTTTCCCGTTGTCTCTTTCCCTCAAACCAGTTAATAATAATTAACGCAATAAATAGAGTAAGCTGCGCACTCAGTACAAACACCATTAGCAAAACTTGTTTAAGGAACAAGCTTCTATACATGAAAACAAGTTTTGCTAATGGTGTTTGTACTGAGTGCGCAGCTTACTCTATTTATTGCGTTAATTACATTTTTTATCTCCACGTAAGCTTTTTAATAATAATAATAATAAGAAGAAGAAGAAACCCCCCCCCCCCCCCCTTCCCGTTTGTCTCTTTCCCTCAAACCAGTTAATAAGAAGAAAGTTTAGTTTTTTCACGGCTAGCGAAAGAGTGCAAAAAAACGTATTTTTCACTCACAAATATTTTCGTGCATTTGCTCTTGTTCTGCGCAACTCCGTTGAACCTGCCATCGTGGTCTTTGTTTTTCCTCGTGGTAGTTGAAGTTGCTCTGGTAGACCACTACCCCATGTACTGAACAGTCGCTTTGTGAGTGAAAAGAGTTTGCTCCCCACACCGGAGCTCGCGCTATTCCGCCGACTTTTTTTTCATCGCCGAAGTCGCAACCACTACTTCGTAATAATAATAATAATAATAATAATAATAATAATAATAATAATAATAATAATAATAATAATAATAATAATAATAATAATAATAATAATAATAATAATAATAATAATAATAATAATAATAATAATAATAATAATAATAATACGAAGTCTGAAGAAAACGTTGAACGGTCTCTGCTTGGATGACGACTACACCATAGCTCAGTGGTTAGAGCATCGCTGGCTAAAAGCGAGGGTCCCTGGTTCGAGTCCTGGTGGTGACAGTCGATTTTTTCTTCAGACTTTTCCCGTTTGTCTCTTTCCCTCAAAACCAGTTAATAATAATAATAATAATAATAAACACAGCTCGCATCTTCCCTGAACCTGTTAGGAGCAGAGTCGACGCATCTGTCAACAGGGTCAAGCTCCAAGCTGCAGGAGATAGACTAACTTGGCTTGACACTGTTGACTGAGCCAATAAATATAATTAAAATAGAAGAAATCACATGGAAACGAGTTATGAAGCAACCATCCATGATTATAACACGATAATAAGCAGTCAGAACGTGCGATAACAGGGCAAACAACTTACATGTTACAGTCATGGATAGTTGCCTCACAACTCGTTTCCACGTGATTTCTTCTATTTTAACACCATGTTACTTTAAATGTAACTCTGACTGTGAGCCAGTTAAATTATTGTGAAAAGAAGAAGGACAAAATGTTACGAGTTATGACTAACTGTCCACCAACGTAACCAGATCTTATACAGTCAGCGAGTGTGACAAAATGGCACAAAACTGACAAGGAGTACATGTACTGAGACATTCGGCGACCTGACACCTAACATTAACAATTTGTCCTTCTTTTCACCATGTTAGTTTCTGCTTTTCAATTCAAAACCCGCCCCAGACAGTGCTGAAGCACTAAAACACCATGGCCCCCAAACATGACATCAATGCATTTCTTGTCCAAGGTAGGATCTCTCAACTTGATCGGCTACTACTCACACTTGCACGATGGCTCCGCACTCCATGCGCCCATTGTTGCATTGGACGCTTCGCACAAGAACTCTGTCTTGCCGTCTGGACCCACGTAGCCTGGTTCACATGCCAGAGAAGCGTTGGAACCGATACTCTGCGGGAAATTACTCTGCGGGAAATTGCTCTGCATGAAATTGCTCTGCGTGAAATTGCTCTGCGTGAAATTACTCTGCGTGAAATTGCTCTGCGTGAAATTGTTTCGCGTGAAATCGCTCCGCGTGAAATTGCTCCGTGTGAAATTGCTCCGCGTGAAATTGCTCCGCGTGAAATTGCTCTGTGTGAAATTGCTCTGCGTGAAATTGCTCTGCGTGAAATTGCTCTGCGTGAAATTGTTCCGTGTGAAATTGCTCTGCGTGAAATTGCTCCGCGTGAAATTGCTCTGTGTGAAATTGCTCTGCGTGAAATTGTTCCGCGTGAAATTGCTCTGCGTGAAATTGTTCCGCGTGAAATTGCTCTGCGTGAAATTGCTCCGCGTGAAATTGCTCTGCGTGAAATTGCTCTGCGAGAAATTGTTCCGCGTGAAATTGCTCTGTGTGAAATTGCTCTGCGTGAAATTGTTCTGCGTGAAATTGCTCTGCGTGAAATTGCTCTGCGTGAAATTGCTCTGCGTGAAATTGTCCTGCTTGAAATTGAGCACTCCGTTTGTAACGGCCAGAGGAGGACAGTAGCTTGGTATGGCTGTGGCGTGCGACGACAAACCCAAAAGCAGAATATCACAATTAATGAGCAGTGAGACATCAGACAACCTACAGATTTGCTAACTTTGTTGCATACAACATCTACGTGAGAATTCCAGAACAATGGAGAGACTTTTATTAATACTTGAATGACACAACTCAATTTCTTTGACTAACACTGTACTAGTAGAAGTATAGATATTCGTCTGGAATTCAATTTCTTCTTTTTTCGTCCGAGGAATTTTCTGACTGAATAAAATGCCCGGCAAACACCGGTTTGTCCAGGTTTCCAATACGTTTTATTGTCTGTTTACTAAACTTTATAGCAAACGAACTCCCTTTCTTTGGAGTTGGACGAAATTGTTCACCGACAAAATTTTCTGCGTGTACAGTATGTAAATTGAGTAAATCCCCCACTCTTGCCTTCTTTTCTTCGGATTATTATGTTCTTTCCTTTTTTTCTCTTTCTCTCTACTTCTCTTGCCATGGCTGGCTAATGTCCCCTCCTTTGCTTTGGCTTCTGCCATTGGACGGTGAAATAAAAAAATAAATTAAATTAAATCAGACCCGGGAACCCCCATTTTTTATGACAGATCATGTCATTCGCTGCATTCATGCTCCTGTCGCCACTACTGAAATGCATCGCAGTGCCAGTGTTACGGCGGTTCCTTACCTTCGCACGCTGTCGACACGTTCCATTCGCCGGCGGTAGCATTCGAGGGCTCACATAGCGCCCTTGTGCCGTTGAGGCTCACATAACCATGGCTACAGTTGAACACCAGAACATCTCCAATCAGCACCTGAGTGGAGTCGATGACATGGCCATTGTCGATTGTTGGCAAAGCGCAGTATGATGGAATGCCTGGAGAAGTAGTGGATGATGAATACCAATAAAGAAGATATTACCGTATTTCGGAGTAAACACCACACTTTAGACACTCGCGATTCACCCAAAAATTCAGAAAATTCAGAAAATTCAGAAAATTCAGAAAATTCAGAGCTGCTTATACTACGATGGTCAAAGGAACCGGAATATACAGGGTAGATTTGCGCGAGATAAATCTGTGTGTGTGGCTTATACTGAGGGAACACGGTACATGAGTTATGCGCCTATCGCGTGCTGTCTTACATTTATTTTTTACATTTATTTTTTATTTTCCTCTCTGCCCACTCTGCCTGTCTTCTGGCACATGCGAATGCGTGGACTTACTGTTGACGTAAACGCGGACGTGCATATAATAATGATAAGAAAAACGGTACAGGTGTGGAGCTGCAATGCTTTCATGACTGTCTGTAGTTTCTTCACTCAGATAACCATTTGGCCAGTTAGAAAGTCAGATGACCAGTTTTAACCTCACCAGTTAAAAAAAGTCACATCGTTGATTTCAAAGTAACAGCATCACAGGATCTTCCACTCATAACCCACGCTTATTTTTCGCAATTCGCCTGCATGGTACAGATCTACCCTCGTTAGTAGATAACACGGGAGGGGGGGGGGGGCAAATTGTTTGTCTAATGGTAATAACGAGGGTTATCTACTATCCAGACGTGAATGTACGCGTTTCAGTCGTCACGTTTTTTTATTGTTGTCGACTTTTTTTTAAGACTTTATTTGAAGGATTCTCCAAAAGTAAATGGATACTTATCAGGGGAGTTTCCTACTGATGAGGTTTGTCTTGTAACCAATGTCGTACTAACAAGGGTAGACCTGTATATTGGCAGATGCAAGCGTGACGTGTGGCGTATCCCAGTAGTTTGACAAAGTTCTTACGTTCGCACTGAGCAGCCTTGTCCCACTGTCCTGCGCCCGGCACCAGGACGAGGCAGGTGAGCGTTGTCGTGAGCGGCTGGTATCCGAGATCGCACTGGACCTGTGCTGCGCTGCCCAGCGTCCTAGCACTCGTGTACTTCACTCGTCCGTGCGCAATAGGGCCATGCTCTCGACAGTAGGTGGTGTTTTCTGCAGAATACAGTGCCCAGTACAGCAAAGAATGGCATAGAGACACAAATGAGAAAACTTGACGCATACGGGACATTCAAAGTAATTTCGAACTTAAAAATTGTTTGAACAATGCACACACTCGTTGCCGTGTCATTGATGTGTGCTCACAAGACTTCGCCAGGCAGCCACTAGTTGCTGAGACGTTGACGTGTTTGTTTGTTTGTTTGAAGTTTTATTTTACATAGCAAACCAACGCGCATTGAATATGCACAATATTATGATGGCGATAAGATTAAAAAAAGAAATGTGTCTCGATAAAGCTAATGTGTGGATACAGGAATTCGCTATTCAGCCACATGCTCTAGTTACCTAGTCATTGGAGACTGGACACAGAAACTCAATGCGCAGTCACAGGCACTAACTGCTGAGTCATTGACTTGTGAACAGGGGAATTTACTATGCAACCGCAGGCTTAATTTGATATGTCATTCACGAGACATGGAAGGGCCTATTTACAGCATTGAATGATTTGAAAACAAATTCTTGCTTCGTTCATGTGAAAACAACAAGTCCCTGCACCACACTGAGAGAGAGCGAGAGAGCGAGCGGGAGAGAGAGAGAGAGAGGGAGAGAGACAGAGAGAGAGACAGAGAGAGAGAGAGAGAGAGAGAGAGAGAGAGAGAGAGAGAGAGAGAGAGGGAGAGAGAGAGGTAAGGAGAGAGATAGCTCGATAGAGAAAAAGGGAAAGAAAGAAGGGAGAGTGTGTGGGATAGAGAGAGAAAGAAAGAGTGCAATGCCGCGAGTTGCACAGTTTCCTCCCAGGAAGGGGCAGAGGCAAGCTACCATAACACAAGTGCGTGCACAACTTACCCACACAGTTAGGCCGACCATTCCAGTTTCCCACACTGACAGCATCCTGCAAGCACGTGAAACTAGTGTGCCCGCCTGCAGGAACGTATCCCTCGACACACACCAGTTGGGCAGTGTCATTGATGCGCCTTGCACCACTCAACACCAGTGAGCCACTGGGCACTGAAAGCTTGGGACAATAGCCATCCCTCTCTGCAATCACAAACAGGGAATTGTGGAGAAAATTATACATAAAATAATGCACAATCATGCTTCTGTTCACCCACGCATGCGCACGCACGTACGGGTATACGCCGTTGTCTGGGTTCGTGAGCAAGCATATACATGCAGTGTTTTACCTCGGGGGACCTCGGTCTTTATAATAGTTTTTTATTGGTCATAAACCCTCGGCCTCCTCATTTATTGTATTTAGATTCAACCAGTAAAAACTCCTACTAAAATCTCCAACAACAAAATTAGTGGACAGCTGTTATTTTGGAGTGTTTGTTCTCGACAAGTTTGGTGAATGCAGGGAGTCGTAAAATACCGGTATTTTACGACTCCCTGCTCCCTGGCTGAACGGCCATGAATGATATCCAGGCGCATGCTCGATGATCGTTCTCTTTCTCCACATGCTTGGTGTAGTCAAGTTGGTAAGCGTGCTCGATGATCGTTCTCTTTCTCCACGTGCTTGGTGTAGTCAAGTTGGTAAATTTTGCTCTAGTCAAGTTGGTAAATTATTTGTGGTTTGTTCATGTGTTTTGTTCATGGCGGAAAAGTCGCCGTCGTCACCTTCCACTTTGTCATCAAAGGAGGAAAGGGACAAGCTGATTCTTGATCGTATTCCAAAGAAAACCGCTGAGGCAACTGATTATTGGTCCCGCAGTTTCTGCAAGTATGCTCAGGACTCGAAAAAGAAGCCGGACATTGCTGGAGATTCGAAAGAAGAGATTGCTGAGGTACTCAAATGCTATCACTGATGTGAGGAAGAAAGGCGGCGACATGTACAATCGTAACTCGTATTTAGCAGCAAAAGCGTCCATTCAACGGTATTTGGCTATAAAGAGGACGGCGGCTATCAACATCTTCACAGACCCGGAATTTCGCAGAGCAAATGACGTTCTTGATGGCGTCCTTAAAGGCAAGAAAAGGAACGGCTTGGAACCTGCCGTGAAGCATAAGGATTCAATTGCAGACGATGACTGGGACACCTTGGCTGCACACTTTGCGGATGTCCTAACGTGCAACGACCCGAGGAAGCTCTGCCAGTTTGTATGGTTCCACGCAACCTCGAAGTTTTGCCTGAGAGGTGGCGAGATTCAGAAGCTACTGTGCAAGAAGGACTTGGTTCGCACCATCGTTGATGGCAAGCCGGTTTACAACCTCGCCAAGTCTTTCATGTCCAAGAATCACCGGGGTGGCTTGATAGGTTCTAACCATGTTAGTGTGGGCTGCGTGCAAGACGAGCTGCAAGTTTCTGCCCTTGATCTCTACATCTCTAAGTTGCATCCTGAACTAGATAGGTTTTTTCAGCGAGCTAGAGTCCCAGCAGGCACTGTTGTACCTCCTTATCAGTCAGTGTGGTATGGCAATTCACCTTTATCGCACAATCTTCTGAATAAAATGCTGAAGCGTATTTCTGAGCAGGCTAGCCTTTCCATATTGTACACGAACCACTGTTTGAGAGCGACGACGATAGTACGTCAAGGAAGCTGGTATTGAAGATCGAAAAAATTGTGAGATATCGGGCCACAAAAATCCAGCTTCCTTGACAGCGTACGATCGGACGTCTGCTGAACGTGCTTGTGATTTATCAGCAGCCAATATTAAAAATAAAATAAAGTAAATTATCGTATCCGTTCCCGAAGGGAACTCACGACGACCGCTAACACCCGATAAACCCTAGGGTTTATCAGCAGCCATTGACTCGAAGCAATTAGTGTCTCGTTCTCTTTCGCCCCCTGCTGCTGTATCTGCTACTGCTGTATCTGCTACTGCTGTATCTGCTACTGCTGTATCTGCTGCTGCTGCATCTGCTGCTGCTGTATCTGCTGCTGCTGTATCTGCTACTGCTGTATCTGCTACTGCTGTATCTGCTGCTGCTGTATCTGCTGCTGCTGTATCTGCTGCTGCTGTATCTGCTGCTGCTGTATCTGCCTTTGCTGTATCTGCTGCTGCTGTATCTGCTGCTGCTGTATCTGCTGCTGCTGTGTCTGCTACTGCTGTGTCTGCTGCTGCTGTATCTGCTACTGCTGTATCTGCTGTTGCTGTATCTGCTGCTCAGCCTATGCATCCTGTACTCTGTGATGCTTCGAATATGCCTGGATTTGTTTTGAACGCAGGCAGTTCCACGTTCAGCAATCACATTCAACATTTCTCCTCCACCGAAAAAGAAGAAGAAGCTGTGTTTACAACTGAAGAAGACCCAGGAGCGTATCCAACAGATGAAAAAGACACCGGAAGGCGAAGAGATCCACACCGCAGAAAGAAAAAGTTTTGAGCTTTCAGAATCCTAAAAAGGTGTTTTTATAAACTGTTTTCATAAACTGTTTTTATGAACTGTTTTAATTGGATAATTGCCATGATCAGGATATGATTATGGTCAATACATGAGGTTTGTGTCATTTGGAGATTGACTTGGAGTTTTTATGAGTTGAATCTAAAGCATGTTAAAGCATCGAGTGCTGTAGGATGGTCACCTTATTATGACATGTCTATGATTAGCGTTCTTCTCTTGTGACCGGTGTATACAATGCATACATGGTACAACCCAGAGCAGGATATGAGGGAATCTACGAACCAACTTTAAAAATATCAAAAATCTGAGTTTGGGATCTGCTTCTCCATTCATTTTGGCATGCCATACCTGTCCTAATTTTGTAAAACCTGGCTGAATTTCTATTTCCCTGTTCTTGGACTTTTCTGGCCTCATATGTGGCAAGGAGTAAGTTGTAGTGTTGAAACGAATAATCGAATAATCGAATAATTTAGAATATTCGTGGGCTGAACGAATAATCGAATCATCGTAGGAATTGGCAGAAATCGAAAAAATCGTAGGGTGTACATTTTCACTTTTTCAGCTTCGATCAGTCTAGTTCAACGTGAACAGTCGTTGTCATTGCTCAGTGCTGACCCTGTCATTGCTTGCACTGGGTACTCGTAGTATTGCTTCTCTTCTTTCCATACTGTTCTCTTGCTGTGTGCCAGTGCATGGACCGGTATGCATGTGCAGTTGCGCACCTGAACAATACAAAAACCGATAATCATCAAAAAATTGCAAAAAAAAACTTTTTTTGTGCTGAAAAAGTGTTGAAAATTCCAGCATGCACATGACAGAATATAGATTATTCGTTCAATGAAGGACGAAATTATTCGATAGATTATTCGTTCGAAGATTTCGTGTTCGGTTAAAAACACTATTAATTGCAAGGGTCACACAATGCAGGATGTACTGTGGTTTTCCTCATATCTACAACTATATGCGGGAGACACCAACAAGTAAGTGTGCCAGTTTCCAATGAATGGACTGTCCATATATACCATTTGCATGACATGGGCTGTCCGTGGTGCTCTCCCCGAGATCCTAGCACACTGTTGGACAAGTGTAGAATGTACCGGCCTGCTTGGCACTGAAACCGATACGGGCGGGTGGAGTACGTGCCCAGATTGCGATGACCTTACGGCCAAGCCTCAGCATGCATGACACTGTTTGCACTAGAGCACGGTCAACTAGTCCATACTTGTTCCACTGTAAATGATTATAATAGAGCAGTGTTTACACTCACTTTCGCATTTCACAGTTACGTTCCAACGTCCAGAGGCAGTGTCACGCACAATGCATTTGACCGCCATGCCGTTCATTGCCACGTAGCCATGGTGACACGTCACCGTGACTACAGCGTCCAGGCTCTGAATGGTGCTGTCATTCAGGGTGGCGTAGGCAACACTCAGAACTGGGCAGTACTCGCTGATCTCTGTATGCAAAACACACACACGCATTATCACATAATTCACACAAATTGAGAGTCAGCATACACACATAACAATCATTTCTATAATAATAATTTTACCGCTTACATGTCTTTATTTCTATACATGTCCTCATAATTTCCTTCATCTTTCTGTGAGAACCGGACCTATGGGACAGTGAGAAGGCAATCATGCCTGTGCAATTGGTGAAGTAAAATAAAAGTCAACGGCAACAACAAGAGTTACTGTAAATAAACAAAATTTTGGCGCTGCAAAATTTCGGCACTTCACGATTTTTGACATTTCGGCGACGATTTATTTTCGGCGTGGGGTAGAGGGCATGGTATAGTGCGACAGATGCTGTGAAAAATTTCATTCGCGTTTTAATTTAGGCGTTTTGGTTCGGCGCCGAATATAGCCGAAATGAAATAGCTGCCGAAAATTTGTATATTTACAGTATTCGTTCTGTACAAATCAAGGTCATTTTTAAATATACATGTGAGTACACTCAAACGCCTCTTATCCGGTCGCCTCAGATTCGGGCACGTCTCTCTATCGGGCACCCTCAGCTTGAGTTCTTATGGAAAAAATGCTTTGAATTTGGGTGTTCGTACTTTTTTTTCGTATGCGCAAGTGCTTATTTGTCACTGCCAACCTGTGAAATTGACACATTTTAACAATGGATTCTTTTTCTAACATGTACTAGACTGCAATACAAGCCAAAGTGACTTCTTCAAAAAAATGATAATTATAATACATCGTAGATGAGTTATCCTGAGATACGGGCAAATCTGAGATACTTGCAGTGCCCGGTCCCAAGGTGCCCGGATAAGAGACGTCCGAGTGTAGTACGCTGGGATCAGCAATGCACCGTTAACTGACTCCCTAAACAACAATACGCAGGTAGTTGTGTAGGATGTTCACGGAACAGACAACAAAATAGTAGGTCATCCCAAAATGGGCCTATCGGGAAAGATCTTTAAAAAAAATGGAGGTTGCTACAGCTACCCAATCTAACAAGGTGGTCAAGGTGTGGAAACTTACTCTCACAGTGCGCAGTTGCATTCCACTGTCCTTGGCCTGGGCCCTGCGTGATGCACCACAGCACGGAGCCGTCACGCGCCACGTAACCGTGGCGACAGGTCAAGTTGGCCGCCGAGCCGCGGTGCCGAGCGCTGCTGTTGTGGTAGTGCACCTGGCCGTGCTGTACGTCACCATGGCGACTGCAATAGCCTGTATCAACTGTCAGCAGCGCAAGATGAACAACCATTCAGACAAAAAACACGCTCAGTGAGTGTGTGGGCATGATAAAAGGGGGGGGGGGGGGAGTTAACAGGAAGAGGGAAAAGAGGCATAACAAGCACATGTACACGAAGCATTGATTATAAGAAAATTCCAGAAAACATGTCATTTTTTAAATTGGCAAAACGGTGTCATTAAAAGACATCGTTTTGTCATTCCCAACTCAAGTCTTGGAAAGTGGTTAAGAATGTATGACTCACTGTAATGGTATGGATAAGACGGATAGCAGTAGTTGGGAAGGAACAGCTGGTAGAAGTGTGTGAATTCAGGTGCAGACTTAGTAGATGTCAGGCAGTGAACGTGTGTGTATGTCTGTTCGTGTGTGTGTGTAGGTGTGTGTGTGTGTGTGTGTATGTTTGTGTGTGTGTGTGTGTGTGTGTGTGTGTGTGTGTGTGTGTGTGTGTGTGCGTGTGTGTGTGTGTGTGTGTGTGTGTGTGTGTGTGTGTGTGTAACCCAGCAAGTGTAGGGTGTGCATAGGTAACTGTCTTGGCCGTCCTATTCCGATGTACTCCGTGTGGTGTAGACCAGGTGTGCATTGGGGGGGGGGGGATTCACATGGCTTTGCCAGTTGTGTAGATTAGACAGTTATCTGGCGCTTGTCTTGATTTGTTTCAATCAGAATCAGATCCACTATCGTTGCTATAAAGAGAAAATCTGTGGGTGTACATCCAGTGCATTTGCAGATTTAAGTGCTTCTCTTGCGACGGGCGTATACATGGGGGTACATGGTACACACGCTGTAGCCACAGACAACCCGAGCTAAAGTGATACCAGATCATGCAGGCTTAACCAGTTGTAAAGGTTCTACTGAACTCGTGGCTGACAATGTTTCCACTCGCTGAAAACATGGAGCTAAGCTTGTGTGCCACATTCGCACGCGATTATGCAACCTGTCCTTGCTGAAGTGCCACTGTTCAGTTTCTCTATAAACGGATCAAAAGTTTGAAGCTCCAGTAAAGATACTTCATGGGCCAAGAAAGCAGATGTTTTCCCATTCACATCTCTCCTGAAGGTGTCAATCGAGCTTACCGATGCATCGCGCTGTAGCATTCCAGACTCCTGTGTTGGCCGTGTCACGCTTGCAGTGAAACATGACCACCCCGTGGGCAGGTATGTATCCTTCATTGCAGGTGAGCTGCAAGGTGTCGCCGATCCGTCTCTGTCCGGTATACGCCAGTGATCCGTGCAGTACAGCAACACTCGAGCAATAACCCGTGATTTCTACGGGGAAAAAGCAAAACAGAGCCAGAATTTCAAGTATTTTAGAAAGTAAATAAGAGGTTGGTGCGACTTTGGCGATACTTGGGGAATTGTGTGGTGCTTAGGGGTTTCCAGATTATCTTTTCGAATAATGGGGTGTTTTGGATCTTTGGAATGTTTTCGAATTTTGCTGTTTTTCCGTGAATTTTCGCAAAATCGACAATTTTCCGGAAAAAAATTGCCAAATTCTACCTTTTTTAGACCTCTTTTTGAAGTGTTTTTGGAAATCTGGAGGACCAAAGGCACCGATCACGTGCCACGATGGGCCTGAAAAATTTCGACGTCAGTGCATGTGGCCTCTGATCTGAGCTCAGCGGAGTCAGCGCTGTCATGCATTCTGTTACGTCATCGTTGCCATGGCAACGGGTAGATAATTTTCAGGTATTGAGTTATTTTTTTGAATATTGTTTAGAAATTTTTCGCATAGCATCATTTTTGGGATTTGAATCTTGATGCTTGGGAGCAATATCTTGTATCTCAATAATACGCAATTTCTTGGAAACCCTTAGTGGTGCTCCCTACATGAGAGCTCATGGTTTTCCTGCCGACTTGAATTCTCACTTGACTGACTCACCACTGCTATCCAGAGCACACGACAAGTCCATCGAACCGTCAACTCCGCAAACCAGCAAGAAAGCACCCAACCCTATGTTTTAAAAAGTATTTCACAAAGTATTAGGAAAATAGAGGCCACATGCCTCGTACTGTTCTTTTCTCTCGGAAACTCAACACTAACAATCAATTCTATTAAAAAAGAGAGGACCATAAGTTTACAAGTTATCCGTTTTGTCCAACACTAACGATTATAAGCAGGATACTATAATAATGTACAAAAGAGAAAGACCAAGGAACTACAAGTAACGCTATACTGTCCACTAACACCACCAGTTACTAAACAATCAGCTCATGCGATAACATTGCACGACACTGACCGACACTGACACTGACCGACGGTACTGACGTTCTACAAAGTGCCGTGCAATGTTATCGCACGAGCTGCTTGTTTAGCAGCTGGTGGTGTTAGTGGACAGTATAGCGTAACTGGTAGTTCCCTGGTCCTTTCTCTTTTGTACATAAATTAATTCTTGGCTCTCCATCCGAGTCCATACAATAATATAATTCTATTATAGCAATAAAAAAAAAGATCAGCTGTGCACTCTTTCTATAGCCACATCAAGGCAAAGAGTTGGGTGAATTCCAAGAACTTCTTTTGTTATCTCCATGTAGGCTATTAGACAATTAAGTTTGTTCTGTATCTCCAGAAAGCCTTGCAGCCTGTAATCACAATTTCAAGACCCACACCCCCCCCCCCCCAAACCAACACACACACACGCACGCGCACGCGCACGCGCACGCGCACGCGCACGCGCACCACACGCGCGCACGCGCGCACCACACGCGCGCACGCGCGCGCGCGCGCGCGCGCGCGCGCGCACGCGCACGCGCACGCGCACGCGCACGCGCACGCGCACGCGCACGCGCACGCGCACGCGCACGCGCACGCGCACGCGCACGCGCACGCGCACGCGCACGCGCACGCGCACGCGCACGCGCACGCGCACGCGCACGCGCACGCGCACGCGCACGCGCACGCGCACGCGCACGCGCACGCACGCACGCACGCACGCACGCACGCACGCACGCACGCACGCACGCACGCACGCACGCACGCACGCACGCACGCACGCACGCACGCACGCACGCACGCACGCACGCACGCACGCACGCACGCACGCACGCACGCACGCACGCACGCACGCACGCACGCACGCACGCACGCACGCACGCACGCACGCACGCACGCACGCACGCACGCACGCACGCACGCACGCACGCACGCACGCACGCACGCACGCACGCACGCACGCACGCACGCACACACACACACACACACACACACACACACACACACACACACTTCATTTGAAGTACACACAAGTATAATTGAAAACGGAATACCATTTGATTCTATGACCACATTGGGAATGAGTGGCTTACTGGTACAAAGCGCCGAGCCACTCCACTTTCCAGCTGCAGCAGTTCCGGGCCCGCATTGGTACGTGGCGTCGGCGGTAGAGGGCTTATACGCCGCATCACACAGCAGCGTTTCTCGCTCGCCGATGCGCCCACCTCCGTTGGCAGTGAACTGGCCATTAGGCGATGTCAGCGCAGGGCAGTACGGAGATATCACTGCAGATCAGAATGAGACACATGCTAAGGTCCAGAACATGGGCGTCAATATAGGGGAAATGCTATAAAGACTTGCGTGCGTATCCCTACCCCCATTACATCCGTTCCCTGAAAACTGCCAAAGGACTTAAAACACCAGCACTTCCAGTCTGTGAATTCGACCGCGGGATGATCGGGAAGCAAACCACACACTAAGAGTCATAGCACACGTTTTACTGGTGTGCAATAGGTTAAATATAACCACTTGCACGGTTCACTTGAAACACGAAAACTCAACCAAGATCATGTACCGGCTCACCGTTACACACGGGCGTTCCACTCCAACGGCCAATCGCCTGGTTCAAGGTCAAACAGGAGACTTTCTCATCACCTGCTCTCGCAAACCCTAGGTGGCACTGAAGACGCAGCACGTCGTCAACTTCCGTTGCCACCGTGGGTGCTAGGGTCCCGTCGATAACGCTGAACGGCGTGCAGTACTTGGGAATTTCTGCAGGAAAACATTAAGTGTGCGCGAAACACGCGGATGCATGTACACACATGCACATACACATACGCACACACGTGCACGCACACACACGCACATGCACACACACACACACACACACACACACACACACACACAAACACGCGGGAGTGGTATCAGTTTGCTACAGAACAGAATTTCTCTCCTGCGAAGTGGCACCAGAAAACGGTGAGACATGTGAGTGTACCGTACATATCACAAACATTGGTATGGGCATTGATCACCATCTGACGGCCTACCCTGGCTTCAGTGCCACATCCTGTCTTTCTCTAGAACTACACCCAGGCAGGGGCAGGAGCAGTCAAAACAAACTACACCGAAAGAGTGCACCGCTCATGCGAACCAAAAAACAAAGGAAGCCAATCAAAGCGAACTTGAGCACACAGAACCAATCTGAAACTTAATTAAGCCCTGGGATCGAAACTATTCTAAGCAGCCGTGTGGAAAAGCAGTACTGCCCTGCACTCACTAGCAACTGAGGTCAGAAGAGAGCTAGTCACTGTTATCATTATTATATGAAATGCCGGAGAGGAAAATCGCACCCTTGAGAGCATTCACAGATCGCACACAGACAGGAAGTGATAAACTGGTAGCAATCACATGTGAATTTAGTACTCGTATGAGAGGTTGGGATCATTTTCTGTATGGTAAGGTGCAAGGCGAGACCGTGTTGGTGTCAAAGATATGAAAGTGGGAACTCAATGCGAGCGATAATGTTACTTGGTCCAACCTATTATCAATGTCACACTGTTGAAGAACATTCTTTGCAAGCAAGATGGAAGAGAGAGATGCAAGGAAGAAAATACCTTATGTTGGTGTCAAACCATGTCATCTGAATGTGCAAACTCAAAGCGAGCGATAATGTAATTTGGTTGAATCTATTACCAGTGTTACACCATTGAACCCTGTTATAGATAGCCGAGACTGCATTGTGGCCTGGTGGAGTGACTGACATTTTCGTAACAATCGAGTTTGTCACAAACTTCTTCTATGAACTCTTCTCAACAAAACGTTTATCCAGGGGATTCCCTGGTCGGAAAAATAGCACATGTGTGCGGCGGGCGGCGGAGGGGGCAGGGGCAGCTTTGCCGACCATAGGATCTCAGCTTCATTGTGACCCAAGCACTCCAGAGAATCAAACGCTTACAGGAGATATGCGGAGGGAGGGGGAGGGGGAGGGGAGGGGGAGGGGGAGGGGGGGGGTATATTACTGTGTGTATGTACTCACTGTCGCAGGCTGCAGTCACGTTCCACATTCCAACGTTCTTCCGCAGCGTAACGCAAGCCAGCTTCAGTCCATGCCTGGCCTGGTAGCCGTCCTCGCAGCTCAGGGTGGCCACGGAGTTCATGGCTCGGTGCATGGTGGGCGAGTAGGAAATGAGGCCGTTTGCTACCGTGCCATGCAGTGGACAGTAGCCTTGATTGACTGAAGAGGAGGGAGTATGCATACAGAAAAATAATTCAAGTTTCCATGACACTTCGGGTGCTTTATGCCAAGGGGTGAGAGCTTCGCACAACAAAGATGAGAACCGAGTGTGAAGCTTGTAGACCAACAGGGAAGTGGCATCATAAGAAGGCGCTAGGCCAATGGCACATCGGGTCATTGGGTTTGCCGGCCAACATGACCCTCATCAAGTTTGGTTCAATCTGGACTATGTTGTTATCCACAGAGTTTTCTTGTGAGCTTCTTAAGAACTGCCATGGAACTCTTCCTATTAAATTAAATCTGGCTTGGAGAAGCTAGATCTAGAGGAAAGAACACGCCGGCCAGTTTTCAAGAATTGTGGATTGGTTTGCCGTGACGATGAATGCAGTGAATGGGATTTTCGGTCGTTGACCACTTTGTGGCGGGTCTGATCTACCCAAGTCCCACCGCTTTGGAGCTGCACCTGCGCCTTGATCCTAGAGGCTGGTGGCGTTCCTGCGGATGCGGGAAACTCAGACTCCCGCCGAGTCTCACGCGAACCGGGAATCTTTTACTGTGACAAATATGCAGAAGAAGAAATCCATGGTTCGCTTGAGACTCTCCTGGAGACCGAATTTTCCGCATCCGCTGGGATGCCATCACCCTCAAAGATCGAGGCGCAGATGCAGCTCCTAAAGCGGTGGGAGGTGAGAAGATCAGACCCACCACCAAAGTGGTCAAAGACCGAAAATCCCATTCGCTGCATCCATGCTTCCCTCGTGCCAGACCACGAGTTCCCAATTGACTGTGGGCCGCAGCACGGCTGGTAAAAATCCTTCCGCTTCCAAGCAGGACTTTAACCTGGTACCCTCTGTTTCACAATCATGGTCTTAGACCATCCCACTATGCCTGCCTCCTACAGTAGCAAATAAAATTCCATTCTGGCTGGTAATTATCCCAAGAATTGGGTCAACATCAGGCAATGACCCCTTCCCCCGTCTCATCATACATGTATTGTTAATGAACTGCTAGCAGTTGATGGGAACCGGTCATCTGAGGCCTGAGGGGGGGGGGGGGGTTCTTTGTCATCTGAGGCCCCGAACCATCGTGTCATCATTCATTATGACCTGCACCGAGAGACTGCTTGTCTATCAAGTTTTAAAGACCTTTGGCACGCCTGGCAGTTGCTTATTTCAAATTAGCTTCTACAGTAAAACCTGGTTTAAGCGAACACCCCACGGTGCAAGCAAAAGCAGTCATTAAAGCCAGGTGGTCTTTAGAACCAGGTCCCACAGTGTCTGTGTAGAACTGTCGGTGCATGGAAAGACGGCCGTCAAGAGCAGGTGGTCGCTAAACCCAGAGGTCGCTTACACCAGGTCTCACTGTACAGTGTTTTTACTTTTTAATGACCACCCCGGGCTGACCTGGGCAAACACCCCGGGCTGACCTGGGCAAACACCCCGGGCTGACCTGGGCAAACACCCCGGGCTGACCTGGGCAAACACCCCGGGCTGACCTGGGCAAACGGGACGATTACTCCATACACCGTTGAAGTTGGTGCTCTTCAAGCACTGAATCGAAGCCGGGCCCACAAGGGAGAACCCCTCGTAGCACGAGATCTGTGCCAGTGCGCCCCTGATGCGTCCACGAGAGTAGACCACTCTGCCATTGTCGAGGTACAGCCATGGGCAGTAGTCGATCTTGAGCGGGTCTGCAAGTGTACAACACCATGTACATGCGTGCACACACGTACACATGTGCAAACAAACATGCACACACACACACAAACAAACGCACACACACGCACACGCACACACACACACACACACACACACACACACAAACACACATACACTATCCGGTCTGTTCCGAGGACCTAAAGCCATAAAGCATTTTGGATTGCTTCTAGAACTTCTATTTAGGTGAGGCAGATTGATATTGGAGACGTACATACAGTGTCAAATTCAGGTTCAAATTCAGGTCACTTAGAAGTCTAGCCGGCTAGCACACATACACCCACACACTCGCGTATGCACAATACCCACAAAACACACAAAACACACTCATACACACATTGCATGCACATCTCCACCTAGACACATGCACAGACAGGCAAACAGACACACAGACATGTACATAGTGCACATATGCATATGCACAGACAGACAGGCAAACAGACACGCACACTGCACGCATAATATGCATACATGTGTACGTGCGCGCACCGACTTACCCAGCTCTTCGCAGACAATCCTGTTGCGCAAATTGGTCGGCAGAGTGAACGGTAATCCTGCAGTGCTTGTGACGAAGGCCTTGTCAGCATGTGACGTATCCCTGAGCCACACTTGCTCAGTATCAGCATTTTCTTTTAGAAAGTTGTTGACGCATGACACTTCATTCTTGTCTGGCAAGTGGGCGCTTATAGCATCGCACAATGACTCGGCCATGGCATAGGTGTCCACTGATTGGAGGGCACGTGGTGTGATTAGCTTTGAGCTCGTCTTTCCGCATGTGTATGCAACTGTGGCAAAGAAAAGCAGACACGAACAAATACAGATCAGCACACAGAAACACAGACACACACTCACACAAACACACACATGCACACACATACATAAACACACTACTACTACTACTATCAATCAGCTACCCCTTGGGGTCACGCCGCCCTCCACTCAGAGAACTGAGCGCAAGGTGAGGGGCAGTGGCGCAAACAAAACAGGAAGTACAGCAAAATGAATTGAAAAAAGGAAATCAAAACAAGCTGCCATATTGATGGAAAGGGACTCACAAACAGAGGAAGGAAATATCACAAACCAGATGAACAGTCTGCTGTAGGTCCACTATAAGTATAACATGCAACGACTGAAAAAGGAACAAAATATGATGTTCTGTTCAACAATAACGTCTGTACGCGTACTGCTTCGGCCTTCATGCACCAGGAAAGCACAATCTTGAGCTGGAGGGTGGGCACCGAACGTCCCACAAGGGCTCCACAAAACGTACTTTCACGAAACGACGAGGAGTATGCGCCGCAAGCTAACATCACTACACCATCGCCGCACGACGACTGGCCACTCAGGTCCAAACAACACGACAAATTCACAATTCCAGCTATCACCGCGCAGGAATAAATTGTTGCGAGTGTGACCTGTATCCTTTTTCGTCCAGGAATCCACTTGTTTTGCCAAACGCCACTGCACTGTTACAGGCTGGGGATTGATCCGAGGGCTCGCCACGCCACTGCGGAGGATGCGGAAAGGACGCAAGAAGACGGTGACGGCAACAAATTACCCGCCCTGGTCGTCAGCTCACTGAATGTCCTTCCGCTCGAGCGAAACCGGCTGCAAGGCATGAAAAGCCTACTGCCAGTCAATACCCAGGGACGACCCTGACCAGAAGGCCAAGGCCGCCCCGTGGAGGAGGCCAACAAAAAAAAGGCATAAACACACATACACACACACACACACACTCTCACACACACACACGCACACGCACACGCACACGCACACACACTCTCACACACACACGCCACACCCACCCACAGTCCACACTTACATTTGACTTGGCACACAATGTCAGCCTTCTCACTAGTCCGCAGCCATTGGTTGTTCGTCAGATCAGCCCTGGTATACACAGACAAGTAAACCTGTGTACCACGGAGCCACGATGCACCCCACGCAGGAAAGAATGCCAAGAAACGAAGAGCACAATCCCTGTTGGCCTTGGTCGGGAGCTGGCCACCAAGCATGGAGCACTGCGCAGCGGCTGCGTCGTAGGCCTTGGCCCCGTGCTCCCACGGCAACACCATCTTGAACAGGGTTCCAGCGCACAAGTATTCGTCTGTGCACAGCATCAAGAAATTCATACATTGACATAATTATGTGCTACTGAGAATTTTATTACCTACTCGGACAGCGTTTCCTGATGGAAATGCCAACTTGTCAATACAACAAAACCTGTCAAAGTGACCAGTCTGATATGGCGACCACCTGCCCCAGAGAACCACTACAACTAGGACCCTGAGGGTGTTATTTCCAGTCAATGCATAAGGAGACCACCTGCTTGCAGGGACCACATTTGGGAGGTTCCTTGAGCGGTCGCCTTAGACAGGTTTCATTGTACTTTCTCGAGTGGTGTTTAAGTAGCAGGGATACCAATGTCACATACCCGGGGCAGGACGACTTCTGTCCTACAGCACTGTCCCACCAGGAACTTCACAGTGGACCGCTTTCGTAGTGATGTAATGATAATGCATAATGCATAGTATGCGCATGCGTGCATGCAGTGCAGGGTACAGCAGAGCTTGAAAACGAAGCCTGCAGTGGCTACCTCCTGACTTGTGTTGTTGAAGTGCTGTCAATCTATAGCTCTTACTGAATCTGTCACCATGGTGACTGTCTTTGAGCAGGCCCGGTGGAACCAGTCAGGGTGGTCAGCCCATGTTCGGGCCCGCTTTTCAACATTTTGGCCGCAATATTATGTTTGCTGCTGAGCACCATGTGTACCTGCCATTCGTTCTGATTTTTCGGACACAATGATTTTTACAGGTCGATTCTACAAACGGACTGCAAACAATCTTCACTTCCTTACTAGGATTCTTCATGAAAGTGCCCCGTGCCATCTGTTGTTTCGGGCTCTTAGAAGTTATAATCCTAAAATACTTGGGCGTACAAAGGGAGAACTGCCTATGAAGTGGACTTTCAACAGACGTTTTTTAGTTACGCAGGATTCTCTTAGTAACCACTGAGGATGTTGCGATGGAGCTTATCTTACCGATGCAGCTTCCAGAGGCATTCCATTTACCCACTGTGTCATTAAGTACGAGACACTTGAGAGTGTTTCCGCGAGGGGCAAAGAATCGACGGAAGCACTTCACGTTACCGATGCCGTTGATGCTTCGGTTGGTACTAGTGAACACTCCTGAACCTGGCCGCAACTCTGGGCAGTAGTTTGGAATGACTACAGGTGGCAAGAGAGTGTGAGAGAGAGACAGAGAGGGAGGGAGGTAGGGAAGAGAGAGAGAGAGAGAGAGAGAGAGAGAGAGAGAGAGAGAGAGAGAGAGAGAGAGAGAGAGAGACAGAGACAGACAGAGACAGAGACAGAGACAGAAAGAGAGAGAGAGAGAGAGAGAGAGAGAGAGAGAGAGAGAGAGAGACAGACACAGAAAGAGAGAGAGAGACAGAGAGAGAGACAGAGACAGAGACAGAAAGAGAGAGAGAGAGAGAGAGAGGGAGGGAGAGAGAGAGAGAGAGGGGGGGGGGCGGGAGAGCAATATACATTCAGGTAAGTCTAACGAATTAGCACTGAGACCTCTGCCAACATGTGTTTTTGAAGGAGAACAATGCGCAGAAACTGCATGTGCTAATACTAAGGAAATAAAAGCAAAAGATGAACTGAACACCTGCTCACAACACTCGTGAACTGGGAATGGTGAAGTATTAAAGAACCCGGGTTCAACACTCGAGCAAGCACTCTCCTCTCTCCGGTAGAGCGTTGATGTCATGTCCTCTTTGGAATTTTTAGGGCACAATGTGCGATAGTTTGTGAAACCCAGCTTCATGGTCAAACAAGTGCAGACACACCGTACTTCCACCAACTTCTACGAACATCAACCAGCTTCAAACCTGGAAGAGTCGTAAGACGAAAGTAGAATTTACCGTTTGAGTTGAACAAAAATTTGCACATCTACCCATAAAAAGGAGCTTATAACAAATCAACTGTCCACCTCTCCACAAAGCCTGTGGATCAAAAGCGAATGCCCCAAACCCTCCGCCCTCCCCCCATTCTCCATTTAAACTCACCAATACATCGAGGCAAATTTTGCCAATACCCTGATGCCTGTGTGTGTACAATACACACTGAGACTATGCTGGTATCGACAACGTAGCCTTGGTTACAGGACACCGTGCCGACATCAAAGACATATCGTTGCTTTGCCAGTGTGAACAGGCCATTCTGGATGATTGGCACTGGGCAGTAGTTTGATTTACCTGTCGGGAAGAGTGAGGTCACCATGTATGCACACACGAGCACACACACACACACGCACGCATGCACACACACACACACACACGCATGCATGCACACACACACACACACACACACACACGCACACACACAAACACACACATATACACACACACACACACATACGCATGACAAGAGTCAGTAAGGCAATAATTAGGAGAGGACGATAGATAGCCAAGCGGAGTAATGGGCAACAGAGTACGGCGCAATGTGCATTACAAAGAACCTGCATTCAAGTTCTATTGTCACCATTCCAACATTGCGTTCTATTATAAATAGTTCACCGGTTTTAATTTTGATTGAGCTTAAATCACTGTAACCGACGAAGTGACTTCAACAACCGTATTTTACCGGCTACAAGGCGACCCTGGTTTTATGTCCACTCCCAGTATTAAGGGCCTCAATGTACAATATCAATAATGACTAACAGTGGTTAAAGGCAGGTGTTTAGTCGACTAACGTATTTTATGGGGTATAAGCTGCACTCTGAAAGTTCAAAATTCACGCAAAAAAGGGGGGGGGGGCGAGGGTTATACTCCGATCATCAAATTAATGGTGATACATAGGGTGCATGCCTGGCACGAAATGATGCGAGGTGTAGCTTATACTCCAGTGCTTCTTATATACTCTGGAAAATATGTTTTAAAATATTTATTTCGGTTTACCTCGCAAAAGGCCGGCTTATACCCGGAAATACACAGTAGACGGCTTGAACCAGGGCCAAGACGAGCTAAGCGACTTACGTATGCACGTAGCGGTGGCGTCCCACGCGCCCACACCCTTTGCCAGTGTCTGACACACAAGTGTAGGTCCGGGCATTGCAACATACCCACCATGACACTGAGCCATGGCAAGCGACTCCATGGCACGATCCTTCGAGTACACAATTTGGCCGTTTGTTATGTTGCCGAACAGTGGACAGTAGGTCAGGTTTTCTGGTTTCAAGCACAACGACAACGACAACAAGAGCTATGTAGTAAATAATACATACATCAGAATTTGTCATTCTACGGAACCATTTGTCTGTGTATGTGTGTCTGTGTGTATGTGTCTGTGTATGCCAGTGCCAGAAAGAAAAGACTGTCGTGGAACACAGCTGCCATAAAAATTGCAATGGCAAAATGAAAGAGGAAGAAGAAATGACCCAGTCATAGTTTTCTTCCTATTCTCCGTTTTTTGCTTTTTTGTTGTTGAAAACCTGAGGGGTGGGCGAGCACCTTTCGCACCCCCTGGATCCGCAACTGGGAAGGGGGAGGGGGGAGGGTGCGTGCATGCGTGGTATATATGAGTGTGTGTGTGTGTGTGTGTGTGTGTGTGTGTGTGTGTGTGTGTGTGTGTGTGCCACCTTGCTCAGGACCGGAGGGACTGGTGCGAGCGTAGCCGTCGGTAGCCACCGAGCCAGCCCCAACCATGAGTGTTTGTCTGTGTCTGCGACCGCGACTTTCGCCGTCCGAATGATTTATCCTGACGCAAGAACTACTGCCTCGCCTTATAGCTATCATCGCCTTTGGCGATGGGCTTTCCAAAGGTCCAAAGGTGTGAGCACTCTTGTATGAGCCCCTGGTTACCCATGGCTATTTGGTGGGTAGGTGAGAAAGCAGAATTACCTCTGTACTTTGTCAAACTAAAAGAAACAATACAACAATGCTGAAATGTTATAATGTTATTGCCAAGGCCACTACCACTATTTTAATACAACAACTGCAACAAAAACCTGAACCTTTATTTCTGTAACTCGGATGGTGAGCCCATATAGTTATGATGAAGAAAGGAAAAGGAAAAATGTTACGAGTTATGAAAAACTGTCCACCCACGTAACCAGATCAGGTCAGGTCGCCGAATGTCTCAGTACTCCTTGTCAGTTTTGTGCCATTTTGTCGCACTCGCTGACTGTATAAGATCTGGTTACATTGGTGGACAGTTTGTCATAACTCTTAACATTTTGTCCTTTTCCTTTCATCTTTATTTGTTTGTATGCTTTGTCACGTTGTTGTCATGATGCTCAAGGTCATGAGATTATTTACACAATAGTTTCTCTTGTCTGCAGAGTAGGCGTACTAGCCAATGTACACATCACAGTTTGTGTTCTCATTCACAGTTTGTTTCCGTGTTCCCACACCGTAGCTGGCCCGCGAGTTTATTGTTTCTGCCAGGGAGTAGTACAATACCATATACGTATTGTACTACTCCCTGGTTTCTGCTGACTGATGCGGTTTTCTCTTCATCAGATTTATACTATGCAGTACCTCCGCACCAGGGAGTCGTACCCAAACTAGGGAGGTGACACGCACGGCACAGAAATCCGTGTCACAGGGGTTGCCTCGCACACGTTGTTATTTTTGGAATAGTCCATCCAGTCCAGTCCGAAAGGTCATATGGGGATGGACTCGTCTTCTGTACTTCACCTCAAAGCGTGCCGCATGGGTGTCTAGTTTTTGAAATTTTCGAAGCAGCACATTTCATTTACAGCCCATCACTCGCCAGTATTCTTTGAAAGACTACCAGCAGTTTTTTAGCACCTGCCATATCCGAACTCCTTGATAGCAGTGATGGCAACAGCAGCAGTTATGAGACGGCGTGTCACCTCCCTAGTTTGGGTACGACTCCCTGCTCCGCACACATTATTCCAGACCTGCGCGCTCACCTCCAAGCTACGTCCTGCATGCCTTTTCTGTTCCTTTTCTTTTCTCTCTGCGCAAGCGGCTTGCGCTTTAGTTCTTCCTTCTTTGTTCACAACAAGAACAAGATTTACCCCTTGTGCAATTTCAGTAGTAAATTCAATCTGAAGCTCTCCCAAAGTGGTGCCGAAACCCAGGAAATGAACTGCACTGGAACGCGAAACGAGCCGTGCGCACCATTCTGACCTCAGAGAAAGAGAGACTCGACCCAACAATTTTTGTAAGCAGCTCATCTGCTTTGGATCGGCGAGCTAGTACGCTGGCGACAATATGCTGAAGAAATCAGTGACGACTGGCACGCGGATCATGCGCAGGACCAAGGTGGCGCAGCTGCGACCATCAATCGACGAACTCATCGCAGAGGCCGATCTCCTTATAACGAAGGAAGGAGTTCAAGGGGCCGACTTGTCGTCACCAGAACACGTGGGCTTGGATCCAAAAAAGCTAAATGCACTTGTTGATGGTATTGTTGTAGCATTGCACGCGTATGATGAGGCGTGTGATGCATTGGCCAGTGTTTTGGACTCGGAGACTCTGGACTCGGAGTTCAGATGATGCTCTGGAACTGGAATCAGCAGAGTGGAAGGACAATAATTATTGTCGAATACAAACTATCTCCATTGTACAGAGCGCAGCCGAGGCGTCCAGAAGCTGCTACTAGCTCATCAAGTAGTACTGAGAGTACTGGTGGTGCGGGTGTCAAACAAAATACTATCTTGGTTGATTTTGTCAAGTATTCAACAATCCATAGGAGATCTGGTTTGTACACATTCTGCTACACACAGTCAACACCAGCAAGTCTCACAGTCACAAGAGCAGCTAAACAAACAACACCAAGCCGTACAACAAATGCAAGCATCAACACCTCAAACATGCACGGCACCATCAAGTTCAGTCAAATTGCCAAAATTTGAAATTCCTCCATTTTCTGGTGATTTTCTGAAATGGGCTGAGTTTCATGATTTGTTTGTTGCTTCTATCGATGCTAATCAAGGGCTGCCGGGTGTTCAGAAACTGCCGTACTTCAGAGATCTTGTAACGGTTTTAACTCGGGATGCCATAGCTGTCTTGCCCATAACAGATACCAATTACCAAACAGCGCTTGACATTCTCCGTAACCGTTTCGGACATGATCAGCTTCGAATTGATGCATTACACGCCAATCATGTAGTTACTGCCTGCTTCCAACGTTACTCCATCCTTGCGTAGATTGCACGATGCTTTAGAAGTGCACTTGCGAAGTCTCACAGCACTTCGTGACAGTGCCAATCAAGTGGCGTTTGTGTCGATGATCACAAACAAATTGCCACGCACCACGCATGCGGCATTGGAGCTGAAAAAGGGGCCGCAATCTTGGACCGTTGCTGACTTATGCAGGGCAGTAGCAAACTTCATCACAGCGAATGAAGCAGCAGATCACCTTGGACAGACTCCAAAAAGATCACATGATTCACTATCTGTCAGCGCGTCAAGGGGAATTGGTTGTCGCCTCAGCTTCAGCCAGTGCATCAAAAGTGAAGCCCAAAAGAGTTTGTGTGTTTTGTGGTTCGAGGCGCACTTCTAGGATGAATGCAACCAATACACCACAGTGGAAGCGAGAAAGAGCGTATCTAAGCAGAAGTGTTTGCTCCAGCACACAACAGTGCTTTTATTGCCGCAATCCTGCCCACCACAGCAGCTTGTGCCCAGAGAAATTCATTGCTGCTTTGGCATCTCCTCCATCCAGACAGAGGCACACTTCCACCATCAGTCCGAATGCTGAGTCTTTCAAGCCTAAGCCTGCTACTAGCACAGCAACCAACACCGATCACCAGATCACAATGCAAACTGCTGTGGCACCATTTCTCTCTTCTCAGTTGAAGCTCTCCCCATAATAAAAATGAAAATTCAACTGCCTGACGTGTACACATGCTTTGTAGAGGAAAGATTCATGCATACTGAATGATTGCCAGCAACGTACTAAGTTCTGAACTACTGTCGTGGACATGGAAATCCGGTCGCAAGTCTAGCGGCCCCAGGGCACTGGCCACGCAGCCGTGTAATGTATTATTATGCGCTGCTGCTGGTCGCATAGGCCAGGATCAACATGATTGTGCACTGCATGCGACGACTTACGTTCTGTGCGCGCTGAGGGCGCCGGCCCCGTTCAATCGACTGGATTTCCATGTCCACGACAGTAGATGTAAGTACATGTATGTCTTATCCTGGTACATGCTATGTGCGCTCCTCTGTAGGTCTTGGAGTCTTTGCTGAAGTCCACTAGACTGTTTCAAATTATCATGTAGCCCATCACCACCTCCTTTTCCCTCATCTCCCCTTGTTCCTTCTCCGTCCCTCCTCACCTCCCTTTCCCTTATCTTCCCCTGTTCCTTCCCTGCCCCTCCTCACCTCCTTTTACCTTATCTTCCCCTGTTCCTTCCCCATCCTTCCTCACCTCCTTTTATCTCATCCCCTCATGTTCTTTCCCCTCCCCTTCCTCACCTCCATTTCCCTCACCTCCCCCTGTTCCTTCCCCCTCCCTCCTCACCTCCCTTTCCCTTATCTTCCCCTGTTTCTTCCCCGCCCCTCCTCACCTCCTTTAACCTTATCTCCTCCTGTTTCTTCCCTGCCCTCTTCACATCCTTTTACCTTATCTTCCCGCCTGTTCCTTCCCCCATCCTTCCTCACCTCCTTTCCCCTTATCTTCCCCATGTTCCTCCCCCCGCCCCTCCTCACCCCCTGTAGCCGTTCCCATCCCCCGTGCAGCCATATTGCCATGACTTACTCTCACATTGAGGGACATGGGCCCAATTTCCGGCGGACTCGCTGCTGTTCACACAAACGACCGAACTGTTCGATGACAGTACATATCCTTCTTCGCAGTCTATAGTTGCCTTGGCACCGAACCACCTTCCTGTGGGGTATGATGTGTTACCGTGGGTAACGTAGAGATAAGGGCAATAGTCCGATGGAACTGAGCACAGAAGAGGAGTCGAAAAAAAGAAAATGATGCTTTGGAAATGTCAGAATGCATTAGTACTCAATAGTGTGTGTGTGTGTATGTGTGTGTGTGTGTGTCTGTGTGTGTGTATGTGTATGTGTATGTGTGTGTGTGTGTGTGTGTGTGTGTGTGTGTGTGTGTGTGTGTGTGTGTGTGTGTGTGTGTGTGTGTGTGTGTGTGTGTGTGTGTGTGTGTGTGTGTGTGTGTGTGTGTGTGTGTGTGTGTGTGTGTGTGTGTGTGTGTGTGTGTGTGTGTGTGTGTGTGTGTGTGTGTGTGTGTGTGTGTGTGTGTGTGTGTGTGTGTGTGTGTGTGTGTGTGTGTGTGTGTGTGTGTGTGTGTGTGTGTGTGTGTGTGTGTGTGTGTGTGTGTGTGTGTGTGTGTGTGTGTGTGTGTGTGTGTGTGTGTGTGTGTGTGTGTGTGTGTGTGTGTGTGTGTGTGTGTGTGTGTGTGTGTGTGTGTGTGTGTGTGTGTGTGTGTTAGACTATGCATGCCTCAAGCCATCCTCTGTGACCATACATGCCATTTGGGTTGTTCCAGAAGAATTGCATACATGTACCATAGCATCGTCACCAACTGACTCATGGAATCAACAATCGGGTAGAACCGATGAAGGCAACAGACAGCTGTGAGCACACATGGAAATGTGCACTTACTTACACACACACACACACACACACACACACACACACACAAACACACACACACACACACACAAATACACACACACACACACACAAACACACACACACACACAACACGCGGATCCGCGCTATTAACCACAGCCACAATGACATGCATGCCCATGCAAGCACCCTCTCCTCTCCTCTTCCAGCACCGACATGCAAACCGCTTACCCAATGTTTCACAGATCACAGACCGACTGTCATCTGCCTGTACTGTGGCCACCATATGATTGCCATTCACAGCCAATGCTTGACCCAACATAGGCATGTCTCGAAGCCAAGCCCCTCGAGTGTCCTTATTTTCAAGAAGAAAATCGACCACGCACAAATGCTCGGTTTCATCTGGTAGATGAGCTCCCATCTCGGCACATGTCTGTTCCGCCTGAGTGTAGTTGGCAAACGACTGTGGTGTTCTCGGTGTTAGGAACTTTGTGGCTGAGCTAGAACAGAGATACTGGTCTGAAATATATCAGAGGGTGAAGAGAGTGAAAGAGAAAGAGAGCAAGAGAGAGAGGGAGAGAGAAAGAAAGAAAGAAAGATGAGAGGGAGAGAGAGAGAGAGAGAGAGAGAGAGAGAGAGAGAGAGAGAGAGAGAGAGAGAGAGAGAGAGAGAGAGAGAGGGAGAGAGAGGGAGAGAGAAGAGAAATAGATAGATAGATAGATAGATAGATAGATAGATGGATAGATAGATAGAGAGAGAGAGAGAGAGAGAGAGAGAGAGAGAGAGAGAGGGAGAGAGAGAGAGAGAGAGAGAGAGAGAGAGAGAGAGAGAGAGAGAGAGAGAGAGAGAGAGAGAGAGGGAGAGAGAGAAATAGATAGATAGATAGATAGATAGAGGTAGAGGTAGAAGGAAAGAGAGGCAAAGAGAGATATGTAGAGAGAAGGAGAGACAGAGAAGAAGAGAGACACAGAGACACGGAGGGAGGCACCCAGAGAGAATGAACCTCATCAGTAGAGATAGTAGATAATGAATGATATGAATTGAATGAGTGATAACTGAGGGTGCAAAACTGGTGCAAACTTCTACATAGAGGTATGGTATGCCCTAAGAAAAGGAGGTGTTAAAAAGTGAAAACACCTCTCACCCGAAAAGTAGAGGTGATAGAGTCCATTGCTGGAAGAGGACATGCAGCGCTAGGAATTGCGCGGAAAAGCAAGCAACAGACAGCATTTGTGAGACACAGAGGTATTGCTAGTGAGCGATTTACCCACATGCCACAGTTGCGCTCGGTGAACAGTGAGTGCACTTGAGACGTGCCGTGCAGGGGTGATACAGTAAAACCTGGTTTAAGCGACCACCCCACGGGGCAAGCAAAAGCGGTCGTTATTAAAGCCAGGTGGTCTTTAGAACCAGGTCCCACAGTGTCTGTGTAGAACTGTCGGTGCATGGAAAACGGTCGTTAAGAGCAGGTGGTCGCTAAACACAGAAGTCACTTACACCAGGATTTACTGTATTTTAAAAGTACTGTACGGCACGCAGAGCAGAAGATTAATCTTCCCAGGTACTACAACCCAGTTCGATAGAAGTAGCCATACATACAAACAGGTGAAACCGGTCGGCGTAGAGCCATCCGAAAGTTACGACCAATATGTATCTCTCCAGGTGCTACAACCCATTCCGATAAACTTATAAGTAGCCATACATACAAGTGTGTGAAACCAGTCGGCGTAGAGCCATCCGAAAGTGACGACCAATATTAATTTTTCCAGGTGCTACAACCCATTTTGATCAACTTACAAGTAGCCATGCACACAAACGGGTGAAAACCGGTCGGTGTAGAGCCATCTGAAAGCGATGGGGTGGAGCCAGTGTACTGCGGATGAGCGTCACCGATCCACATGGGCCGTTTGTCCTGCGCCGCCGCCTGGTAGCTGGCCAAACAGGGCGAGTAGTCGGTCGTTGGAAGCTGGGCAAAGTGTTTACGGCACTCAGCCTTGGCTGCGTCAAATGTCACGTCGCCTCGAGTGCTCGTCCTGAAGACCTTCAGCGAGACATCGCTGCATTTATGTTCACCTGAGGAGGCACATAAAAATCACCATCAGTTTAGTATAGACAACACGCTGAGCAAATCGTAAGCGGGATACACGTGCAGTGAAACGTTAGTCAACAGTGCCCTGTTCATCCACAGATAACTAACGCTTTCTCACGCACTCTATATCGTGCTACATATCATATGACAATTGTTAGGCTGGGCTTGCCACATTCATGGTGCATGTATTTAGCAGGACTCTTAGGGCAGGGTTAGTACCAATTTTCGTCTGATGATCGATTAAGTTCGTGAAACTCAGAGTTACGAAACCACAACTGCTCGTTCTTCTGTCTGCGTGCCCTGTTCATAGTGTTGCACCTGTACTTTGTTCTACCTGCTCCCAGCGCCGTGCCATCTCCACACGTATACAATGGACAATGACTACTACCACATACATATATTTATTATTTATTTATCTATTTATCACAGCATCTCATAGCACAGTGAGAACACCGGCCAGTACAAAGAGAGAGGGTGTTAGCCAACCACGGCAAGGAAGGGAGAAGTGCAGGAGAAGAAAAAAGAACCGGCATGGATAAGCAGTGATTGCAACCAAATGAGAAACACAAAATCAAAGTCAAGGCGCGACAAGGCTCTTAAAAAGGCGGAGGGAAGAAAGGTCCTTAGCTTCTTGGGGAAGTGCCAGCCACGCAGAGTACGCAATGACAAAGGGAGAGTGAAGTAGAAAGGAGGACTAAGGTTTCGGAAGGGAAAGGGAGTTTCTCGTGCTACGGGAAGAGAACCAGTTGAAACAGTGGAGGTGAGGTGGACACAGATTGAGTTTGAGAGAATGGTTAAGGGTGACAAGATGTGAATTACGTCTCTTAGACAAAGGGGTAGTGTCAGCAAGGGCATAAAGGGTGGAAGATGGAAGCATGCGGGGTTTTCGGAGGAGGATTTTGAGAACTTTTTTTGTGGTGAATTTCGAGCTTGGCAGCACGGGTTGTGGAAATTCCAGCCCAAGCAGTATTTGCATAATCAAAAATGGGGCGTAGGTAAGCTGAGTAAAAGAGGAGTTTACAAGAGATTGGGAGATGGTAACAGTGAGAGGAGAGAATTCCTAAAGATGAACTTGATCGTTCACATATGTAATCGATGTGGGGTTCCCATGAAAGATTAGAGTCAATGAAAATGCCAAGGTGCTTATGACTGGAGACTATGTCTATAGGCTGGGGAAAGTGGGATGGAGGAGGGGCGGAACATCGGGCTGAGAAGGAAAGAGCATGATTTTAGTTTTAGACAGATTGGGCGATAACCGCCAAGACGACATCCAGGAAATTACTCTTTGAATCCTGTTAGCTAGGTTACTCATCAGGCCAGTGATGTTAGGAGATGCCCGTAGGAGCGTTGTGTCGTCTGCGAACAGTGATGTGCCCGAGGCAGCTGCGGGCAGATCATTGACGTATTAAATAAAAAGAAGGGGGCCGAGGATGGAACCCTGGGGAACTCCGGATAGTACTGTTGTGTCGGCCGAGGACGTCCCATGTGCCGTGACGTACTGCGTTCGCCCAGTTAGGTAAGATGTCAGCCATAGCAGGGGATTGCCGTCTACAGTAAATGATCCACGAAGCTTGGCCAAAAGCCCCCGGTGCCAGACGGTATCGAAGACCTTGGCAAGATCGAAAAAAACAGATCCCGACTAGATCTCCAGCATCCCGATGTCAACACACTAATTGCACCAGGCGCGTCAGCTGGAGGGTGGTAGAATCGCCTCTGCGAAATCCGGACTGAGCTGAACTCAAACGTGACGAGACATGACAGTATAATTAGTCGTAGAAAACGCGCTCACAGAGTTTGGAAACACAGGACAGTAGAGATATCGGACGGTAGTTTGATGCTTCGTGGCGGGACCCTTTCTTGTAGATTGGTATAACATTAGCTGTTTTCCATGCAGAGGGAAAACGACCAGTGCGGAATGATAGGTTGAAAATCAGACATAAGGGGTATGCTATTGAGGGCGCAAGGGACTTTAATACCAGATTAGTGATGTCGTCTGGGCCCGGTGCCTTGTCAGACGGTAGCTTTCGAATGTAACGTCGGATGGCAGCAGTCGTAGTAAAGACAGATGTGAGGCGGTCAACCTCATCCGACTCCTCGGCAATGGGGGGAATGGGTAGAGAAGGGTCATCAGGCACGGCCACTGAGGCGAACTGAGGGTTCAATGCAGTGGCTTTAGCTGAAGAGGTAGTAGCCTGCTGCGAAGAACTAATGGTGAGTGTCGGGATGTCACGAGATACTTTATGATTTTTTAATTTGTTCACAACCTGAAACAGTGATGGGCGGTTTTTGTCCTGCAGCGTAGCTTGTACGGACCGAATGAATCCCCGGTATTTCGATCGAGTCAGACTCTTCACCAAGTTCCGTTGAGATCGATATACATGCATGTTAAGCTGGGTTGGGTATTTCTTGCACATACTGTAGAAATCGTGCTTTGCCTTAATGGCGGCACGGAGGGGGGCATCAACCCAAGGTGGCTGACCTAAACGTCGGCATGAGGGGGAGAGTGGACGCCGGAAGAAGTACCCGAGGTGCTTCTCCATGGCCCTGCTAAGAATAGAGTGGAAAGACGAAAGAGCGTCATCCATGTGCGAGCTGCAGCGGTGACATTTCCAGTGGACATCAGCCAGTTCAGCATTCAGGTCATCCCATACGCAACGTGGCACCAACTTGAAATTGTAACCTGGGGGTGTAGGGGTAGATGTTGGGAGGAAGTGATGTTGTAGGGTTGGATTTTTGGACGTGACAGGGAGACGGACTCGACAGATGAGCTGCACGTGGTCAGAGCTACCCAGTGGAGCGGCTGAATCAACGGAGAGGAACTGCTGGGGTGAATTTGTGACGATGAGGTCCAAGCAAGATGACCGGCCACTTGGGCTCCAGTGCGTAGGGAAGTTGACCAGTTGCTCTAATCCGAAGCACCTGAAGGCAGTTTCAAGGCACTGACCCACCGGGGTTGTCCGATCACCAGCCAACCTGCTCGAGTTATGGGCATTGAAGTCACCGGTGAGGAGTAGTGTGGATTCAGATAGATTAAGTGACAGAAGGCAGTCTTCCAGACCATCAGAATAGGCCTGGATATCCGCCAGGGTACCACCAGGAGGTCGGTAGGTGGCGCAGACTATGAGTGGACGTTGGGGTGAGTTGGCTGTGCGAAGTTCAAGCCAGATGGCCTCCAAGCCGGGTTGCTGAAGATTCGCCAGAGGCTTCACCGATGTAAAGGAGCCACCTTTCACCAGTATGGCTACCCCACCATAACCTCTGGTAGGATTGTCTGATCGAATATTAGAGGTGGGACGATCCAGTCGATGAACTCTGTAGCCTGCCAATGAGAAGAGGTTGGCAGGGGACAACCATGTTTCACACAAACATATAACCTCCGGAGAGTAGATGTTGCACATAACAGTGAGTTCCGCTACTTCGTTGACCACTGAGCGGCAGTTGAGGGAAAGGATGGTAAGGGCAGTATGGATGGGAGGATAAAAGGGACGGGCCAGTGGATTCAGTGTTCCAGTAGTGTTGAGGAAGACAAGGTTACTTATAAAATCATGCTGCATGAGTTCCACAGTGGGGCAAAAAGGTGGTGGCTGAGAGAGAGAGAGTGGGTGAAGTCATAGTTAGTTGTAGGAGGTAGCAATGCGGTCAGATGCGAATCGCCATTCTCGTACACGCAGCGTTTCTGGACGAAAGTCGGCAGACATAGATCGTTCAAGGTCGGATTCCGGGAGAACCACGTGGGCAAAAGCCTGTCCGAAGTACTTCGTTTCCGAAACTGAACATTTTATTACGGAGACTCCCCTGCCGCTACACCACTTCTCAATGCTCTCCGCAGAACATCCAGGGTGGACGTTTCCCACATAAAGGGCTTTGCATTTTGTTCTGGATGCCGCTCGTAGGGTTGTTGATTGTTTTGGTGGGCGCTGATAGTAGGATGTGACGGCAGTCTTAGATCCGGAGGAGTGTGCTGTGGATCGTGGGTACTGTGATATGTGACGTGACCTGAGTGCCTGGGTGACTTTAGAAGACTATTTATTACGATACGCCTACTGGACATGACGAACTCAAGACGAAGACTGCTTTTTCGCACACCAGCAACACTCGCATGCATTAACACCACGTACACACGACGTACACGAAGTTACGTAAAAGAGTTGGTGGACAAGCCGTTGATTATCCACTCTCATTGTAATATCAAAAAGTAATCTTTCTAGACCAAAGAGTGGTATACAGTCGACCTACCCTTATAACAATAACCTGTATAACGATATTACCCTTATAACGATATTTTTCTGCCAAACCAAATCACTCCATTGACTTGTGTATACAATGCCTTACCTCTATAACAATATTGCTATAACGATATTACCCCTATAACGATATAAAATGGGCTGACCACTCGACATTTTCCATTCTATAACAATATCTAGCAGGCAACATGTAGAGCCCACTATCCAGGTAGGGCAAGCTTCACTTGATAAGTTGCTGGGACATGACGACATGCAATGGGGGCGCCACCAGTGGGCACCTTGCTGTGCACATAATATAATATGCATGTACGTCAGTTTTTTATGCTATGAAGAGTGTAAAAAATGAGCAGAATTCATGCATTATGACGTATGTGTATGAAATAAACCAGTTTGTAGCAGTTACCCCTATAACAATATTACCCTTATAACAATATTTCTTGGTGTGACGCAAATATCGTTATAAGGGTAGGTCGACTGTATTTGATAAATAAAGATAGTCCCTGTCTGTACTTGTGAGATATTCTAGGGGGAATTCCCTATTATTATTGAAATGCAAGTTCAATTCCATGTGCAGGGTGGAACTAGTAGAAGCCATGCAAAAACCTGTCACATACCTACACATGTCACTGAGCCATTCCACTTCCCAGCGCTCTTTTCAAATGCTTCGCATGCGAGTGTCGATCCACTGGAAGCTGAGAAGAATCCCTTATTGCAGGTTACCTGAACAGTGCCGCCTCTGCTTCGACTCGTGCCTGTCACTTGACCATTTAATTGTTGCGCCTCTGGGCAGTAGTCTTTGATTGCTGTATGAAAACACACACACACACACACACACACACACACACACACACACACACACACACACACACACACACACACACTCTCACACACATATACACGTACACATAGAAACATGCAGAAAACATGCATACAGTTAACTTCGCTAGTAAAGACTGCGAATTTAATGACAAGTCGCGAATAACGACAGAATTTCCAAGCCCAGAGCAAAGTCCCATCTAACTGTAATACATAACTATAATGAGACTTCGGGTATAACGACACTTCACGAAAAAGGATACTTTTCCGATGCCCCGCCGAGTGTCGTTATATGCAAAATTAACTGTATATAAACAAGCATGTACCATGTACCATGTCCAGGGTCATTTGATAGGAAATAGCTTCCCTTGGTCCCGGTTGCAGTAATGGTTTGCGACAGGCGGTCGCCTCGGCAGGCTTTACTGAACCAGCTTCTGAAAAACTGTTGGGAATTAAGGTGTGACTATTGATCCAAGAGTGTGGTGGTGTTCCTGCGGATGCAGAGAACTCAGCCTTTGGCCGAATCTCACGCGAACCGTGAATTTTTTTATAAAAAATAAAATGGACCATGGAAGTACAAGTTACGGTGTAATTTTTTATTTATTTTTTTACTTTTTTATTGTGGTTCTGATCATTGGCTCACATGTGCTGTGCACGTGTGCAAGTTTTACGACTTACCAGAACAAGATGTGGCCTGCCAGCTCTGGCCTAGAGGGCAGCACTCGTAGGAGCCGGCAGTCTTGAAGCAGGCACTGTCTGCGCTGCAGCTGTGCGTCTTGTTGCTAAGGCATTCATCCAAGTCTGCATCGAGAGCACAACCAACGTTTCCATCAATGCCTAATTTAACTTTTTAATGATTGGGAAAACTTCAAATCGTGGACGCAGAACTTCAAATCCAAAGGATTAATAACCTTTATCCTCCCATTGTTCCCATATGGAAAAAAAGTCTGAAGAAGAAAAGTAGACTGTCACCATCAGGACTCGAGCCAGGGACGTTCGCTTGTGGCCAGTGGTGCTTTAATCACCAATAGTTAGTATGAATCATCTATAATTGTTATAAACCGGCATCTGGATTTATCTCATCACTGCTGCCTGATGATGGCCCCGTGCGGGAAGAAAAAAAAGCTCGGAGCTGCAGCGCATTCTTTCATCCTCTTCTACATGTTGTACGAGTCATCCGAAATGCAGAGCAGAAGAGTGAGAGAAGGGGATACTGACGTCCCTTCTCTCCTGCCTATCGCTTGACCGACGACGGGTTTACATCTAGCCTTAGAAAAAAACGTGGTAGGCCGAAAAATTATTACATGAGCCACGTTCAACAGAACAGACATACTATAAACGTATAGAAAAAGCGGCGAGGGGAGAATAGTTCCAAAAGAGAAATCAATAGGGCTTGAAAGTGATAATGTCAGAAGTCAAAATCTAACGACAGATAACGCCCTTTGGATCCACTTGGGTCCAGTTTGTGTATGGGTCCACACACGTTTGGTAGTTTTCCTTCGCAGCATAGTGACACATCCACCAATAGTGATTGGACTAAGCCTTCCCGGTCGTCGACCCATACATACCGGTGGATGTGTCACTATGCTGCGAAGGAAAACCACCCAAACGTGTATGAACCCATACAAAAACTGGACCCAAGTGGACCCAAAGGTCATTATTTTCTCGTTAGATTTTGACTTTTGACGTCATCACTTTCAAGCCCTATAGGATCAGCTAGACCGACACCATGAATACTTCATCTTAAAAAACTGATACGTGGTGCACGATTCCTAGTTTGAAGCTGTTCATTGTAACATAAGGATAAGTAGCGTCACAAGGGTGATAACCATTTCATTGTTTTTACATATTTTACATTATAGAAAGTGCAATCAATGAGTGATTCATCTGCATACGCATACCGCAGTAATGTCCCCTCACCTATGCACTTGTTAGTGTCATTCCACTTAGCAAAGTCAGCCACCGACGGATCTGCGACGCACACTGCAGACGCTGCTGGAACTGATAACATCAGCTTTGCTCCACATGCGAAATGCGCCACTGAGTCAATGCGAGTTTCATCGCTGTATGTCACTGTGCCACCAGTAATATTAATCCGTGGACAACCTAACGCCAGACGGAAAAGAGGATTAAAGTTACAGGGAAGTATGCCATTGCACAACCGAATTACATTGAAAGGCTGATTATGATGTTCCCCCTTGTGCAGGTAAATCGGTGGAGAGAGATATTTAGCGGCAAAGAGACTATCATTACACGTTATGTGAGCGAGTGCTCACACTAGGCAGTGCCGTAACGAGCAGGGAATTGGAAAATGCACTCCGAGCACGTGTAGAACTCTAGTGAAACATGAACAGGGTCAGTCTGTGCTGTGCGTGGTAGATCTACAGTTTGAATGCACTGCAATGTATGATATAGTAGAATTCTAGCCAAACCCACACCCCTTACTCTGTTTCAGAGTGCCCTGCTCATTTGTCGATTTTTTTGTGTTTTTCATGCCACTGAACGAAAATGAAGTTGGCAGTAAAATACTAGTGGGTTTGTACGGCATATGCGTCCGGGGTGAAGTCAGGGGTTTGCCCCTGTACGTTGCATTTTCCATGACAAGACAATTCTGGAGAGTCAAAAATTGGGTTACACGGTGAGTGTTCCCCTGCCTGGCCCCATACTCATTTTTGACCTGGCTAGAACCCTGTATACACTACATTATTCTGTAAACGCCATTGTTCTAACGAGGCGCATATGTTGTAACAGTCCCGTGCCATCTCCACAGTGGGACGACGATAACTACATTTAGAAGACTGTTTATTAACACGACGACGAAACACAACTAGACATGACGAACTCAAGCTGAACTCAAGACGAAGACAGCTTTTCACACCACAGCAACACGCGCATGCACCAACATGACGTACACACGACGTATACAAAATAACATACTACAACACATAACGATTTCCCAAAATTGACTAGTTTACGTGTACCAAAGGTAACGATTCTCACGCATTCTCAGCGCTCAATAGAACAGTATATGTATAGATTTTTGGATAACGATTTCTATTTTAACGACAGATTGCTCCTCGTTAACTCGTTAGTTAGAGTTAGCACTTCGTTATATATATATATATATATATACTCAATCTGCGGACAGAACTGTTTCGTCCTTTGTGGACTCGTCAGCGCAGCACAGAGGAAATGAGGCCGAACCGGATAGCAATGGAAATAAAAATTTCCAATCAGGTCCGAACGTACCTTGCCAGAGTGCTCAAACTGACAAGTCAGTGAGCTCTGCATTACGCAAACAGCAAAGGCACTACCCCACGCAAGAGTGCTCAACTGCTACAAGAGCAGGAGCGAAATACTCAATCTGCGGACAGAACTGTTTCGTCCTTTGTGGACTCGTCATATATATATATATATATATATATATATATATATATATATATATATATATATATATATTAAATAGAGATGTAGGCGAACAAAATTTATATACACACAACAACAAGGTTGTCAATTTCATAATACTAAAAGCTTTTCACCCATTTTCATCAGTAGTTACATGGGAATGAGCAAGAACGAAAACGAAGCCAGTATTTATACTGGGGGTAGAGAATCAGCAAGAATATTCTTACGCGCCTCAAGTTCACACTACACTACCATAAGAATGTATGGAGCAGTGGAAAAATGCGGGAAACAACACATGAGGGGAATGCAGTACCAGAACAAACACGTGATAAAGTTGTCAGTCCGGTTGCAGCTTGAACAGCCGTAGCACCTTGATGTGCTTCTTTTGTCGACACAGCTCTGGCCTCAAACTGCGAATGTACGGCTGTTCAAGCTGCAACCGGACTGACAACTTTATCACGTGTTTGTTCTGGTACTGCATTCCCCTCATGTGTTGTTTCCCGCATTTTTCCACTGCTCCATACATTCTTATGGTAGTGTAGTGTGAACTTGAGGCGCGTAAGAATATTCTTGCTGATTCTCTACCCCCAGTATAAATACTGGCTTCGTTTTCGTTCTTGCTCATTCCCATGTAACTACTGATGAAAATGGGTGAAAAGCTTTTAGTATTATGAAATTGACAACCTTGTTGTTGTGTGTATATATATATATATATATATATATATATATATATATATATATATATACACTCAGACACAAAGGATCGTCAGGCGAAATTACTGGTCAGTCGGCGTCACGCATTTTTCACAAAAATTTGCGTTTCACCTGCGGGGAGAGTATGCGTGTACTCGAGTCTCATCCTGAGCACGTTTTTTTCTCCGTTTTTTTCAGCTCCAGTATAGCTGTATTTTTCATTGCAAAGCCGTCCTCGATTGTTGTGTTCGTTGTTCAAACGAAGTGGACATTCAATCATGAAGGCAGAGGACATAGAAGCCTGATTGGAGTTTCTCGTGGCATAGGACGGCCACACACAGACACTTTGGGATTTTCTGAATATAAAATACCGTACGCACGATGCTGAGATCAATTTGTGCGATATCAAATTGTTTGTGATCTACCACATCGAGCAGAACGGGATCCAAACACAAGCTTACCGACGGTTAGGCTGCCGACCTGACTGGAAAAATGATCCCTGGCTTCACCAGACGCCAGAAGTCGGACACCATGTCCCTTGCCGCGACGTCCATCTCCAAAAAGAACTCCATCTTCGTCGTGAAAAGGCTTGAAATACTCAATATTCAACCGAGATTCGCGGTCTCACCCTTTCTCAGATCGAATCATTTTTTGTTGTAGCAGTTGCAGGGCAGTTCCCCGCCACTACTTCAACAGAAGATGGCTCCAAACCATGCCTGGAACATGCCATATCGAGGTTGCAAGCCACCCATCTCAGCACTTTTTTTGAAGAAATTCAAAATTTCAATGGTGGAAGATATACTATGGAGAGAATTTCAAAAAGTATGTTTCGCGGAGCGATCGCTCAACCTACGTCATTCAAACTTTGCAGGATGGTTCAGACGTACATGCTAGGCATGGAACCACAGAAGATGATATCATAGCTGACACACAGAGTCACACACACAGCAGATTCGTGTGCACAGATACTAAATTAGTGGACGTCGTCATCTTCTTCCCGCTGATCTCAAATGTACTATGACGTGCTATTTCGCCTGACGCTCCAAGTTTCTCAGTGTTGCTACTCTGAGTTTCGTGCAAAAGCACTCTTCAGGCAACTTACTCTTCTCTCACATCAGTATCCCTTTACATACCAGAAAAGACGAAAAGAAGCACCCTAGGTGGGAATCACAGGTGGAGAAAAGAAGCACGCTAGCCAGTCTAGGTGGGAATCACAGGTGAAGATAAATGTGGCAAGTGTGGTAGTGTGAGCAATCGCGCAGGCCGGGTGGTGTGCATAAAGTGAAGTAGGATGCATGCACATTAGATAGCAGGAGTTCTGTATATGTGTAACAGATAGCAAGCGCAGTCTACAGTTCAGGTCACCTCCGATAGGAGGTACTTGGTGCTGTGGCGACATTTTGTGACCAGGCTGCATCTGGTGTTGAGGAGCGATGCCTTGTCACTCTTCATTATGGTGATCTTCTCCGATAGGCATAGGTTGCACCGCTTCGAGGTTCTTTTGTAGGCGCTGGATCTCTGCCTGATTCTCCACGAGATGTTGACGTCTTCACCTGCCTCCTTCAATGCCCATGCATGCTTTGACAATTCTGTGCTGTTTCTGTGTGGGGCATTCCGGAACGATGACGTGTGGTTGTTGAACCGGAGTTTGAACGGGGTTTCGGAGATGCCGATATACTTCTTCCGGCTGAGATTGGAGTCCACTGTAGCTTCGTACACTATCTCGCTGGCGTTGCAGTCCCCGTTGAGTGGGCAGTTTGCTTTGATACGGCAGTTACATCTCTTTTCTTCCGGCTGTCTGAGGACTTTCGCGTTGTGGCCCTTGATTATTGAGGCTAAGTTAGGCGAACAGCTGTAGCTGACTTTGATCGTGTTTTTGTTAAATATTTTCTCTTTGAAGAGGCTGCCCCCACGTACGCTGCAGCTCTCTCAAAAAGTGGCTTCAACTACGCACTCGTCTATAACGAGGAACTGGCGAACACAGAAGGACAAGCCAGGAGGAAAAAGAATCGGAAGAGGACCATCATTTGGTTTAACCCACCGTACAGCCAATCCGTGAAGACTGATGTTGGCGCGACATTCCTGAGACTTGTCAAGCGCCATTTCCCAGAAGGATCTGCCCTCAGAAAAATATTTAACAAAAACACGATCAAAGTCAGCTACAGCTGTTCGCCTAACTTAGCCTCGATAATCAAGGGCCACAACGCGAAAGTCCTCAGACAGCCGGAAGAAAAGAGATGTAACTGCCGTATCAAAGCAAACTGCCCACTCAACGGGGACTGCAACGCCAGCGAGATAGTGTACGAAGCTACAGTGGACTCCAATCTCAGCCGGAAGAAGTATATCGGCATCTCCGAAACCCCGTTCAAACTCCGGTTCAACAACCACACGTCATCGTTCCGGAATGCCCCACACAGAAACAGCACAGAATTGTCAAAGCATGCATGGGCATTGAAGGAGGCAGGTGAAGACGTCAACATCTCGTGGAGAATCAGGCAGAGATCCAGCGCCTACAAAAGAACCTCGAAGCGGTGCAACCTATGCCTATCGGAGAAGATCACCATAATGAAGAGTGACAAGGCATCGCTCCTCAACACCAGATGCAGCCTGGTCACAAAATGTCGCCACAGCACCAAGTACCTCCTATCGGAGGTGACCTGAACTGTAGACTGCGCTTGCTATCTGTTACACATATACAGAACTCCTGCTATCTAATGTGCATGCATCCTACTTCACTTTATGCACACCACCCGGCCTGCGCGATTGCTCACACTACCACACTTGCCACATTTATCTTCACCTGTGATTCCCACCTAGACTGGCTAGCGTGCTTCTTTTCTCCACCTGTGATTCCCACCTAGGGTGCTTCTTTTCGTCTTTTCTGGTATGTAAAGGGATACTGATGTGAGAGAAGAGTAAGTTGCCTGAAGAGTGCTTTTGCACGAAACTCAGAGTAGCAACACTGAGAAACTTGGAGATCCTTTGTGTCTGAGTGTATAACCCCGCTCTGTCTTAGGACATTGAGCACTTTTTGCCGACGCAAGAAATACTTCTATTGTTCTATATATATATATATATATATATATATATATATATATATATATATATATATATATATATATATATATATATATATATATATATATATATATATATATATATATATATATATATATATCAGGTTCGGCCTCATTTCCTCTGTGCTGCGCTGATGAGTTCAAAAAGAACGAAACAGCATGCTGTCCGCAGATTGAGTATATATATATATATATATATATATAATATTATGGCTTTTACAGTACTACATGGATGCACACCGCGCATGCATGTTGTGGAGAAGGGCAACTCATTGGTCAATGCTCGTATATCGCGATCTAAACATGTAAAAAAGGCGTAGTGTGACAGTAGAAAGCGCACTGAATGAGTTCTTCACCTGCACACATGTTTGTTTGTTTGTTTGTTTCTTTTATTTGAATTCGTTTAGAGCACAGGCAATTCTGCCTTCTCACCAGAGGAAAAACCTCCGGTTTCTGCTAAGAATGAATATAATATTATGAGAGAAGGAAATATTAAAAAGAATCATAACAATCATGATAATTCCAAAGCACAAAGTTTGTATATAATTCAAATGGGTGTGTGTATGTGTAAGCATGCAGTGAAGAAAACACCGAGAAAACATGCAGTAATGTGTAGGGATGCCGAGCAAGGTGGTTACAAATTATTAATTCTGTTCAGAGCCAGTTTAAAGGCAACCGCCGCACTGTGGAGGCGAATATCGCTGGGAAGGGAATTCCAAAGAGTGCTTCCCACAAATGTCAATGACTGACGACCGGAAGGTCCAGGAAGGAAAGGCACTTGCAGTAGCCGCTGCTCCTGTCCTCGAGTAATTCGGCGATCATCCCGGGATGCTTGGCCTGTGTTAGCCATCAACTGAAAGTAGGTGCAGAAAAGAGGACTTGCAAGATCATGTAGGCAACGGAAAACAAAAAATAAAACCTTGTAGTTAAAAATGTGAGTTAGGGATCGAATAGATAAGCGCACGAGGAGGGGGGCTGTGGATGCACGGCTGGAGAGTCGGAAAATTGCACGAATTCCGGATTTGCTGGATTTGATTAAACGACTCTGCAGCTGCTGTGTCAGCGACGGGAAGAATGCATTGGATGCGTACGTTAGTCGTGCTTGCACAATGCCAATGTACCAAAGTCTGCGGGCTCTTATGGGCAGAGATCGCCCATGGCGCCATAGCTGGCTGATGGCGACTGACGCCTTCTGCACAACACTGGAGACATGGGGCTGCCAGGATAGCTGGTCATCAATGGTTACGCCAAGGTATTTGGCAGTGGAGGTAACAGTTAAGGCTTGATCCTTACATTTCACGACTGGTATGTCGCCAGTGAGTCCCCGAGGTTGAATTACCATGACTTGGGTTTTGCCGGTATTCAGCAGAAGCCCAATTTCGGAGAGCCAGTCAGACAGACGTGTCACAGCCGTAGTCAACGTCTTGCAAACAGTGTCCAGATCTGAATCAGAATAATCTAGGATGATGTCGTCCGCGAACTCCTGATGAACAACAATGCAAGGTATGACGTCGGAAATGTCACTCGTGTAAAGGACAAAGAGAAGCGGCCCAAGAGCACTGCCTTGGGGCACACCTCTTGAGCATGGGACTGCATCAGAAAGAGCCTCACACACCTTGACACGTTGAGTACGACCAGACAGATAGCTAGCCAACCATAACAATACTCTGCCATTGACTCCCAGGGTGAATAGTTTATCAATCAGACGTTGATGTTGGACACGGTCAAACGCTTTTGACATGTCAACCATCACAATACCTGTGTATTTTCGCTCTTGTTTGGCCAACAGCCAACGGTTGGCGGCTAGAACTAATGCATCTTCGGTAGAGTGCATTTTCCTGTAGGCAAACTGACTGCTAGGTAATATGCTATGTTGCGTGAGGTATGCTGTGAGTTGCTTCTTTACAAAGAACTCCAAAATCCGGGACAGAATAGGGAGCAATGACACTGGTCTATAGTTAGTAGGGGATGTTGCATCGCCACTCTTGAACAGTGGACTAATGTGTGATGTTTTAAAACACACTGGCACAGTACCTGATGTCAAGGATGCATTGACTAGGGTGGTAAATGGAGGTGCCAGGACATGTGAACACTGCTGCAGTACAATTCCAGGAATGTTGTCACTCCCAGATGCTTTGTGAGGACTCACAGTTTGCAAGCATTGTGCAACATCAGACACGCTTACCGGCTGAAATGTTGAGAAGCTAGATGCAGAGGCTGGACCATGTGGTATATGCAGCTCAGGTGGCCGCATAGGGTCATGCACAATGTCTCCAAACAATTTACTGAGTGACTCAAGCGGCGCTTCAGGTTCTTTCCGTGTCTTCTGTCGGCCTGTGACATCGTTCATGACAGCCCAAAGTTGCCGTTGATCTGATGTATCACATCTCTTAGTGAAGTACAAGTTGCGCAGACTCCTGTCCAACTTCCGTGCTTTGGAGCGAGCTGATCGGTGTGCTTCTTGAAGGTTCTGATCGGTTTTGTCTCGGAGCCAGAGACGATGCGCCCGGTTCCGTTCACGAACACTTGCCACTAACTCATCTGTAATCCAGGGGCAAGGACGTCGAGATTTGCGGCGCCGTTCCCGAAGTGGAGCATGTTTGTCTTGAGTGGTCTGGATTCCCGCAGTGAGTGACGACGCAAGCACATCCACACAGACAGAGTCACAGGTAGTTAGCGTCTTCTCCAGGTCACATGTAAACATATTCCAATCCACTTTGTGCAAACAGCGAGTCTTGCGCAGATGCTGTCCCTTCAAGTGGTGACTTGCTGAAATTGGCAGCCTGGCAAGTATTGCAGAGTGGTCACTGATATCCAAATGTATGGTCTCGCAAACACCCTGGATCGGGGTGGTAGACAAGAATAGATCCAGTAGTGTGGCAGTACTGCTGGTTACTCGGGTAGGAGATGTGACGTGGTTGCGAAGGTTAAACTGGTTGAGTACATGATGCAAAGGAGTCACAGCATGGGCATCATTAAAGTTTACGTTGAAGTCTCCTACTAGCACAGTTGTGGTCTGCGGTCCACTGCAGGCAGTCTCTAGGTTTGACTCCAGCCCATCCCAGTAGCCCGCAGATTCGCTAGGTGGTCGATAGCAGCAGCCCAGTAAGACCGTCTCATTGCCTGGTCGACCTGGGGCTAGAATCTCCAGCCACAGCATCTCCAGCTCACACTCGAGGTCACGTCTTCGACGGACTTGCAAGGACGTATGACAGTAGAAGGCAACACCGCCTCCTTGCCTGCCTTCCCGATCTTTGCGGAACACACTGAAATGAGGAATGTTTACTTCTCTGTCTGTTACATCGGCTGACAGCCAAGTTTCCGCAACGCCTAGGATGTGTACTCCACGGGTTGAGATAAAGTCTTCAATTTCTGCTACTTTTCTCCTAAGGCTACAGACATTTAAGAAAGCTACACTGGTCATGATCTAATACGATATACATGTACAGCAGCAATGTCCTCTAACCTATGCACCTGTTAGTGGCATTCCACTTAGCAAAGTCAGCCGCTGACGGATCTCCGACGCACACTGCAGACTTGGCTGGGCCTGCCAGGCTCATCGTTTTGCCACAGTCGAAATGTGCCACAGAGCCGAAGCGAGTTTCATCGTTGTAAGTCACTGTACCACCGGTAATATTAATCCGTGGACAACCTAAAGCGAGAAAGGAAAGAGAATAAAGTCGTGTGGAAGATTTCAATGTATCATTAAAAACACAGGAAAACCTGGTGATATCAGGTTTTCTTGTTCTTGCATCTTCTTATACTATATTTCAAGTATGAAGATGCAAGAACGCATATTTTTGAGTGACGCGCATATCAACCAGTTTCAGGAACTTGAAATATGGACTCGGATGGAGAGCCAAGGATAAATAGATAGAAAAGGAAAAGCCCATAGGACAATGAGCTGATTGTTTGGTATCTGGTGGTGTTAGTGGACTTTATAGCGTTACTTTTACTTTCTTGGTCCTTTTCTTTTCTATCAACTTTAAATAATATTTAGTTGATAGCTTGATTCAATTTATAGTGAAGAAAAGGACCAAGGAACTACAAGTAAAACTGTTACGCTTTGCACTTTTCTACTCCCGCTCTCACTAGGTACCGCGCTTTACTTCCTTGTTGTATACTGCTGTTTTTCATGTCCACCCCATTACTGATGATGCTCATGAAGACCGAACGGTTGAAACGACACGTGTAATGGAGTTGTGTGAAATGCAGTGCTCTCTTGAGTGCAGGCAGATTGCCTGCAACCTATTCCAGTACAATGAAGCTGTGTGAAGCGTCCTTCAAGATTTTGAAAAGGAAGTACAAGTTAAGCTATAATGTTCACTAGCACCAGAAGTGCGTATCATGGTCCAGATTGTGCATTGGAGTGCGAATCCAAGACATGCTAGAGCTGGTAGCCAGTTAGTTGTAGAACGTCAGTACCGTCGGTGAGTATCGTGCATTGGTCTGGCATGAGCTGATTGTTTTAACTGGTGGTGTTAGTGGACATGATAGCGTAACTTGTACATCCTGGGTCCTTTTCTTTTCTATAAATTAATCCTTGCCTCTCCCTTCGAGTCTATAAATTGATTCGCTAAGACACACACACACACACACACACACACACACACACACGTGCGCACGCACACACACATGCATGCACGCATGCACACACACACACACACAGGGCCTGCTCTAGACATTCAGCACAGCCCGGTCAGAGTGTACCTGGCGCATGCAGACCAGCCGGGTCAGACCATCCGGCAGAAAAACAACCAAAAAGCCTGCTCAAAACGCAGAAAACAGTAGTGTGTACGGTTGCGCTAGATTTCCAACAGATGGGGTCCACGAGTCGTAAAATATCGGTATTTTAGGAATCCATTGTCAGTTTGAGACATTTTTCAGCCGGGTCAGACTGGACCCGGTGTTATCTGTTCAGCCAGGTCGTGCAGTTCCCCAGCCGGGTGCGTGACCCGGCTGACCCGGCTCTCCAGCAGGCCCTGACACACACACACACACACACACACACACACACACACACACACACACACGCACACACACACACACATACACACACACACACACACACACACACACACACACACACACACACACACACACACGCATATCATGACCAGGGCCAGACTTGTCGTGAAAATGACCATGCACTGAGCTCCAGCCAGTCAAAAGCTGGACTCCAAAATATTCTAGAGTTATGTGAGAACCCTGAGTAGTCCTGCGAGGGATTCGGCACTTTCGCTCCAGCAAGTCAAAAGCTGGACTCCAAAATATTCTAGAGTTCTGTAAGAACCCTGAGCAGTCATGCAAGGGATTTGGCACTTTCGTTAGTTGAGCAATCATGGCTTACAACTTGTGGCAGAGGTCACCAAGTGTTGTAATACGACGGCACCTTCAGTACAGTCGTCAGCGTTCTACTCACTAAAACTGTTCAGCTTGAGGAGACCATGCTTAGTCCTGCAAGGGAGCTGATACCCTTGCTAGTTGAGAAAGAGTGGCGCCTCTTCTCACGTTGTACGATGTAATGGGTCTGCAGTGCTCTGCGTACTGTGGACTCTGTACCCTTTTGGTGGGAAAACGGCTCTGCCGTCAGCATCTACGCATTTTGGGGAAGAGTCAATATTGGGTGAAGCTACAAGAACGGCACAGCTACACTTCCAGCCTGCTGCAATGCCGATCACAGCCGACCCGATTACAGACCAAGACCAAGACAAGCATGTGGAGATGACTGATATTCATATTTGGGTGAGCGGGCTCCCCGTATTCATCATTTTAATATATTCTAGTTTGGCTGATTGCACCACTGTTTGAAATGCCGCAATACTACTTACGTATTCTTGCCGGTGTTACCTACTTCTGATAAGATACTAATAGCGTATAGAAGAAGCTATTTTGCTGGCATTCATCCTCGACTCTCGGGGAGCTCACTACTCACTGGATTCACTCTCGATCCTGAGAGAGTCACTCCGACTCTCCCTTGCTCTTGGTCTCTGACTCTTCATGCTTGATCTTTCGATCTAGCATTGCGATGTTTCTATGAACAATGTCAAGTGAAATGAGAAACATTTTGTTCTGTGTGAGCTAGCAACTTGGATGGCGACTATATTGGCCGTCTACCTGGGTAGCCACCAGACTGATCCAGTTGTCACAAACCCGCATGCGGTCATGACACACACATACAAACACACACACACACACACACACACACACACACACACTTTGACCTTGATAACGTCCACTTCAAAGAGGCAGTACAGAGCTCACAAATGTGAGTTAGGGATCAGGGAGAATGTCACACAAAACACTTACAAGCCAACACCCACAACCACATACACATACACACTCACGCCGACATGCACACGCACGCCCGCCCACACGCACGCATACACGCACACCCGCACGCACGCACGCACACACACACACACACACACACACACACGCACACACGCACACACACACACACACATCAACACACACATACACACATTTTGACCTTGATAACGTCCACTTCAAAGAGGCAGTGTAGAGCTCACAAATGTCAGTTTGGGATCAGGGAGAATGTCACAGCAGACACTTACAAGCCAACACCCACAACCACATACACATACACACTCACGCCGACATGCACACACGCGCGCGCCCGCATGCACACCCGCCCACATGCACGCACACACACACGCACGCACAAACTAACACACCCACAACCACACCCACACACAATGCGGAGCACGCTCAAGCCTAAAACAACATCATTCATAAGCCTGCTGCTTGTACCTGACGCGCAATATAAAGAGCTGTTCCAGAAAAGGCCAACATTGTCCTGCTCCACACACGTGGAAAACAAAGATGCAGAAATCGCACCAGTTTCACAGCGAATTGTGGCTACAGAGCCCAAGCGTCTACCATTGGCGTATGATACGATGCCCTTTGAAACCGGAAAGAGAGGGCATTCTGAATGCAAGAAACATAATGAACACAAAGTAAAATAGAAACAAACACTCTCACACACAAGGTACACACAAAAACCCAAATCCGCATGAACACACTCGTGCCGACATGCACAAGTGAATCCCTATTTTTCATTTTTCATTTTTTCATTCACACACACACACACACACACACACACACACACACACACACACACACACACACGTATATACACACACATGCAGACACACATACACACACACACACACACGCATGCAAACACACATACACATATGTACGCACACAGATATACACGTGTTGCATGATCATAGCAAGGTATATATACAAGGTCCCGTTTGGGTCTCTCTGAACACTAAGACTTCTTTAATTATGCACATTTACACCTGCAGACACACACACACACACGCACATACACACATGTACAGGAGTGCTCAACACAAACCTCGTTTGAGGCAGACAACAGCCAGCTCATCCCAATCCGAATGGGTTTTCCCATCACTTGCTCGAGGAAGTGAGCCAGCAGGAGTCCGCATCCATGCTGCTCGCTGTTCCCCGATATGTGAATGGAAGGATCGCACACACTCTGCAAAATGTGGCAAGGGTAGTTCGGCATCAAACTCCAAACAAGCATCCATTGCGTCCACGTATGTGAACGCCAACATCCATGGAAAAGGATTAAGAAAAGCATGTCCTTTGAGAGAGCAAGAGAATGGACCTGAACCGGGGAAAGATCACAAAGACATATCTCAGGCTTTAAGTTCTGACACAGGCATCACCCAATCAAATAGCAGAGAACCATCTCTAGTGCTTGTCATTTTGTATTATTTTTTCGGTATAATTTATTTCAAGGATTCCCCAGAGGCTGTTTAGGCCTATCGAGGGAGGCTCCATTTCTGTACAGTTAGCAGGGGCGTCGGACACGGTACGGTCACTACGGTATTGACTGTACCACTTTTTGCCCCAGGTACTAGTACCCGTTTTGCCCCAGGTTCTAGTACCCTTTTTGCCCCGGGTACTAGTGCCCTGTAAATCAATAACATACACTAATCTGGACTCTAAATTTTTAAAAACGTCGGCTCAGCAACCCCCCCCCCCCCCCGGGTAAACTGTACTTCAAATGGCTGACAGTACCACACTAAATACCTTCCGATGCCCCTGGTCAGGATGAGAATATGAGAATACAAAGTGAGCATTTGAAGTGATCTCTTTCACTACTGCTGCCATTCACACCTTTTCAAATCCTGCCCTGATGCAATCTTTCACAGCTGCTGTCATTTACACGTTTGCTTTGTGGGTATATATAAACCAGTATCCAGGCTTACTCATTACTGTTTTCTGATGATCGCTTAGGGGCCATCCGGCATTATTGATCATTTTCACGAAATGAAACGTTTACTTGTGACCCTGCTCCACCTGCTTCAACGAAGAATGTATTGACTTTACAGCTAGAATGGAGTGATGTTGCGGCTATCAATTACTTGAAGTATGTTCAATAAGAAACTCACCTCAACCCACCCACCCAATAACGAATCGTTTTCTCTTCGTGGAAAAAAGATCGACAATTACGGACAGCCGCTTAGTGCGTGAAACTCTTTGTTCCTGCTCTTCTTCTTGTAGATACTGACACGTCACACGATAACACAAACACTTTGCCGCCAATGAAGGATCGAGAGACGCTGCTAAAGCATCAATGGAAGAAAAGGAAAAGGAAGGAAGCCTACAGGGAAAGTGACGGGTATTGGAAATCATGGATAATCTCCATGCGGATGACGATGCTCCATTCTGCACGATGGTTTGTTCCGAATCCCCACAGCAGACAGATGTCTAGTTTTCAGAGGGAAAAAGGGAATACGGACGGTTGGCAACATTAGTGACGTTCTGCCATACTGTAAAAGCCATTAGTCTAACGAGGCGCATTTATAATGATTTCCCCAAATTGACTAGTTTACATGTACCAAAGGTAACGATTCTCACTCATTCTCAATGCTCAATAGGACAGTATTGTGTCGATTTCTGTATAACAATTTCTATTTTAACGGCAGATTTCTCCTCGTTAACTCGTTAGAGTTAGCACTTTGTTATATATATGGCTTTTACAACACATGAAACTTGGAGAAATCATGCAGAGAACAGGTTTCTGGGTTAGTGTCTACGTCTTTGCTTGTTGTGCGTCCAGATTTCTACGCGGAGATGAAGTTCTCTGCTTTGCGGCACGTGCAAAGAAAATACGCACGGATCTTCTACATATCATTCAAATTAGTGAGAAAACTGCTAACTATCACTCCCCCTCACATGACCAAGGACTCCTGCATATTCACTCGCACAATAACCACACAACTCAATGTTTGAGGATAGCGTGCTTCTTGTATTATGCCAAACTTGTCCGGCATTCTGCGTCCAGCTTGACTCAGTTGAGTCCCTAACTGCTATTTACTGCTATAACATGAAACCACGCCTAGAAGAAGGGAAAGAGCGAAAGGAAACAAATTCTGGGCTTCTGCAAGCAATAGCGAGTAATTAGGGCCGGCTGTGGAAAGCCACACAACCATGAGGTCGACCGGATGACGGTGAGTTTCCGGCACACATCTTGTGCTGCTGCTCCACGTGCGCATACCTGATACGGTGGTGCGCTTATCGGCTGCCTGGGCCCAGAAGCCTCCCTGATGTGCCAAAGGGTGCAGTCGAAGCGCCTGTATCACTTCGGTGATCCAAATGCGAATGCAGCCTTGCCGGTCGCCCGCCGGCCCGCCTCATGCGCGACCAGCCTGAGACTGGCCCTGCCACATTTGGCGCCTCTAAACGCTGCGATCCGGTAGACAGCACACTGGGCTGCCAAATACGTGACTGGCTTGAGGAGAGTTCCATACTGCACGGCAGGGCGCCCTGCTCAGGTCGCATGTGGTAGCAGCGTGAGCTGGGCGCGGTTAGGGCTGGTAACTACAGTTTCCTCCTCTGGAACCTGCCATTTTACGAACAAGGGATTCCCAATACACTTTGCACGTGATTTCATTGCGTGAACATGAAGCAGACCAAGTTCCCTTTACGTTACGGGAACTGCTCCAGGCATTCTTCGCGTTGCATTCCCGCAATGTAGGGCAGAGCACTACTATTGTGTGCTTGAATCAAGAGGCATAGCCAGCAATCGCATGTCATCACGTACATTGAAAATCAACATAATAAATACGTTGATTTTCAAAAAAATATTATTTTTTTGCGAATCTACCTTTTTTCAGCATCACTTTTCAACGAGGACGAAGCAAAGTCAGCAGAACAAAGCCTACAGTCCATTCATCGGAAACAGTCCCGCTGGCTTTTGAAAGTCCAGTCTGGGCCGAATTGAGGATCAAAAACCCACTTTAAATCTCAAAAAGCTGGATTTGGGATCTGCTTCTCCATTCATTTTGCCATGGCATACCTGTCCTAATTTTGTAAAACCTGGCTGAATTTCTGTTTCCCTGTTCTTGGCCTCAAATGTGGCAATGAATAATTGACATTCTAGTGGTCCTTTTCAGCTGCTCCACGAGCACAGGTAATGCTCACCAAGGGCTGCAGAGCAGCATCCATTCCAGAAAAACAGTTTAAATTCGAGTGAAGTTGCATGCTTGATTACTTGAGCACAGTTGTTCAGAAATAGTCAAGTTCAGCGTTTCTGCTCCAAACAGCAACTGACTTTGACTAGCTACAAGGATTACATCAAAGGATCAAAACAATGGTTGTTGTTTGGTTTGTTTCGGCATAATGCTTCTCCCTGTGCTTGGCCCAGGCTAAAAATCACACCTCGGAGGAGTACAGAAATTTCAAATCCCAGATGTCCTCGATTGCTGGCAATGAAAACGTTAGATTAATTAAACTTACCTCCTGCTGGAGGGACGCATCTGTAATCCCTTAATGTTCCATTGCAGGTATTGCCTCTTGGACACATTGTGCTTTTTGTAGAGCAAGATGCAGAGCAGTTTCCTAATGCACCAAACAAAGGCACACGAGCAAGAAGTACACGAGCAAGAAGTGCTGCACTGAATGTCTGGTCTCTTCTGGCCACGAGTGCTAGAATAGTGAGTATTAAGATGTGTGTGTGTGTGTGTGTGTGTGTGTGTGTGGGTGTGTGTGTGTTTGCGTGCGTTTGTGAGTGTGTGTGTGTGTGTGTGTGTGTGCGCGTGTGTGCGTGTGTGTGTCGGGGGCATGAATGCGTGAGGTGTGTGTGTGCGTGCGTGCTTGCGTGCCTGCGTGCATGCGTGCTTGCATGTGTGCGTGCGTGCGTGCGTGCGTGCGTGCGTGTGTGTGTGTGTGTGTGTGTGTGTGTGTGTGTGTGTGTGTGTGTGTGTGTGTGCGTGTGTGTCCCATATGGTGCAGTGGTATGTGCAGCGATTTCCAATCGATAGGTTGCTGGTTCGATTCCCGACAATTATGGTCACAAACGTCTTTCTTCTCTTTCTCAGACTCTTCCTGACTTTTCTTTCATTCTCCTGGGTGGTTACCAACAGCCAGTGCATGGCGGAGTATGTGGTGTGATGTGTGTGCGGAAAAAAAGAAAAAAAGACCAAAAAGTAGGGATTCACTGGCCAGAAAAAGCCACTTCATAGCGGTGTGGTGTAGACCAGGCTGAATAGTGGCGGTCAATTCTTCAGCCTTGCAAGCTGTTGAATGGTGCAATCCCAGCACAAGTTGCTATGGCTTCTGCTGTAGCATCGCTATCAGCGCCTCCGGCGATGGGCGTCCAATGGTCCAATGGTGTGCGTGTGTGTGCATGTGTGTGTGTGTGTGCGTGCGTGTGTGCATGCGTGCGTGTGTGTGTGTGAAAACTCCCTTAACAGAACACAGCACAACACGACAGCGTATCCACGCCAACACAGACACACACCCAAAATGGCTGTATGCTAACCCGTTTGAAGAGGGAGAGGCGGATAAACGTGGAGTGATGCGTGGCGTGATGTCCCAGAATCTAACAGAGTGCAGAACAGTTGAAGTTGATCTTGTTGAGGCTTGGGGTTACCCGCCAAATATCTGGATGAAAAAAGAACACAGATGAGTCAGTGGACGTTCTTCACAGCACAACAGTCAACTTCTGATAATAACGAACACCACTGTTTTTTTTTGTTTAAAAACAAAACAACAACAGTCAACTTCTGATAACAAAAAACACCATTGTTTTTGTTGTTGTTAAAAAAAACAAAAAAAACCAAACAAACAGTCAACTTCTGATAATAACGAACCCCATGGTGCAGGAGAATTAGTTCTTTACAGCCGAATTTTGTTACAACAGTATTGCACTCGCACTATACGAACAGCAATTCGCCATGACTGGCAAGTGGCCCATGACAGTATGAGTAGACTTGGTTTACATGCGGCCCTATGATCAGCTGTAGCACCTACTCCACTTTTATGTTTATGTATCTATGTCATTCGGATCTTCCCAAGTTGTACAACGTACTGTTGAGATACCGAATTCAAATAAATCAATACCAATACCAATACCTACAATACTTGATTCGTTATAAACGGAAACCGTGCATCGGCCAGGCCAGGCGCCAAACGCGACCTGATGGTGGTGGTGGTGAGAAGGACAGCTCTGTGCCAGAACTTTTCAGCCTAGAGAGCGTGTGTGGGCAGGCGTGTGTTTACCGCCATATTGCCAGGTGTGTCTTTACCACCATATTTATCAACCATAAACGAAAACTGTCCGCTATAAAGGGTCAATTTTGTATGTGTTCAAACAGGGACATGGGAAAGGGTTCGCTATGTCACGAAATTCGCCATATGCGAGTTCTTTATAAGTTGAGTTGTTTGATTTGTCCTTTATCCTACCCCCCCTCTAAGATGACTAGTTTATCCCACCAGGAAGACAAAAGGCATCCAAGTGCTGACGTTGAGCCTCTTAAGAATGCGCACCGCGGTCCCAAGTGGTGACAAACAAAAGTCGCATCACCTACATGTACGCTTTTGGTGTGTTTCCAATGGTCACCACATCACTTTGACTGGAAATCGTACAAGACAGCAAAGGCAAAGTTTTATTTCTTCGTCTTTGCCGTTGGCCACCGTGCAGTTTGTTTCCTGCTGAGTGACCACCAGCGCCTGAGAGATAGTAATACTGATTTTCGTTTCTCTCTCTCTCACACACCTCAAATTTGCAACAGGCAAACCGCAGTGCGGGGTCGGCTGAGGACAGCCACATTGCGGGTGATGTGTCACAGCGAGACATACAATTTCAGGGCGGGAAATCAAATACAGTCCAATCTTGGACAAGCAAAGGCAAAGTTCTGTTTCTTCGTCTTTGCTGTTGGCCACAGTGAAGTGTGTGTCCTGCTGAGTGATCACCAGCACCTGAGAAATGGTAATTCTGATTTTCGCTTTTCTTAGGACAAGGAAACTAGCCCAGAGTTGGTTGATCCCGGTACCAAAAAGAAATTGAATAAGCGGCGCGGAGACAGTAACTTTAATAAGGCAATAAGCAGAATCAACGAATCAAACATTGGGCGTAGTAATGAACAAAAATGAAAGATGGATAATAAAGTTTCCAAACACGTTTTCTAGAGACATTCATCAGGGAAAATTCGTCTCAATAATGAAATCTAGCAATAAACAACGATATTTACGTGGAAGAGTACGAAATGCAGTATGTGAAAGAAAATAGGAAAAAGAAGGTGAAGCGCGAAAGACAAGAGAAGTGTGAACCTAATAATTTCCTTGTATATCCAGGGAGGGGAGTATTTGAGGCTCCCTGGCGCTGGATATGTGATCTCGGTAGTGTCTAGTCTGAGATCCATGTATGCAGCTCGTGGAGAGCTTTCCATAATGCCCAAGATTGTGAAAAATTGGGGATGAGAACCGAAGATATTCACAAGCACCCCCTAAAAATTTCCACCCAGGTTCAGCTTGCACATAATGACCATTAATGACATGCACCAGCCATCCGCCATCCTACACATATGTGGCCATGCACCCCCCCCCCCACACACACAGGGCATAACGTACGCCCCTGATAGTCTGGCACTGTGCCTGGCTCAATGTTATCAATGTTGGTCAAAGCTCCTGCTCATAGCGAGCGAGTTCACCGGTCCCTTTTATCTTTTATCCCCGGGTCCCAGGGCCGTGGCTATCCACAGGCCAACGCCTCACAACATGGCCTTTGGAGTGAAAATCTGAAAAAAAACCTGTCAGCGCCGTCTAGGTTCAGCCTGGTGCCATAGTTTATATGATAAGAGCGTTGCTCATGACAACCAAGGTCCTGGGTTCAAGTCCTGCTGGGTCTGGAATTTTTCTCTCTTTTCAGGCAGTTCATTTCCCCGACTAATACTTTGAATTTGAAGTTCTCCCAATCCTTTCAAAATTAATCATAATCATGGTGGCGTTTATCACAGCACTCCCTAAGCATTTGAGTCGGTCAGCTAACTCCAGGTTAACAGCCCCGACGCATTCATCCTACCATGCGGTTGTCTGGGTGCAAGCGTAACCATTTACGGCCGCTTTCAGACTACCGTGAATCCCATCAAACCGTGAATGCCGATAAACCGTGAAGGACATTCGCACTACCGAAAAACAAACATTACCGGCACGTAAGCTTTGCAGCTCTCACAGCGGCACTGAGAAGGGATTTTCCCTTTTTCCCAGCCTGAGCTCTCTTTTTACTGCCGGAAAAGTTTACTGTCGCAGCAGCCGCGGCAGTAAAACTTTTCCCCCGGTAGCGTGCCAGTAACGTCACATGATCAAATCACCTTGGAAAATGTCCCAATCGGTCACTTTTATCGGTAGTTTGAACGGGCTCTAATAGCAGTGGCAAACATGACAAGTTATAATTATTCTACTCCTGAATGAATGATTATAACTCGTGACATATCTGATAAGCAGCCTATTTCCACACTCGTCGCACCATGTGGAAGTACGGTGTAACCCTAACCTCTTAAGCTGCGCCGGCTTCTATATACACCCTAGGGCTGCCTGAGTTGAAAAGAAGCCCAATCATTTCGTCCACTGTGAATCCCTCTGGATCTGGCCCAGACCTTGTCTTGAATGTCCGTGTGTGCAGTGTTGGATGTAAACAATTTAACATTCCAAACACTTACAATAATTGGTATTTTGGTACATTTGAAAACACTTTTGGATCGAAAAACTCCAGCGAGTTGTGTTTCAGATATCTGTGAGAAGATCAGAATAAAATTTAAGAATACACTCAGTTGGAGAAACAATGATACGTAGGGCATTAAATAATAAAGACTTGAGTTTTCCGACTAATTTAGGAGCCACTGATGATATTTGTTGTGAACCCTCTGGTTCTCTTACGTATCAGGAACGAACGACTACATGGCACGAGGACAACTATTTTATTCTCAACAGTATATTTTGACTTCCACTGAATCTAACATCAAACACTAAAACCACCAGGTAGTTATAGCGTGAACATGACAGCGTATATCAGAAAAGCATACGCATACAACAAGTACAGCGCACACAGCAAATCGCACATAGCGTAAACATCAGCGGAGTCGAGATACAACTGCATTGAAGCGAACACAATGTCACAAGCGAGAAGGCCTTTCACTCTCGAGAACTTGTAGTTTCATAACAATATTAATAATAAGCAGGACTTAGGGATCAGTAATCAGGCACGTCTCTAGAAATCACTAATGGTCCCCATGACTTGTCAAACAGCCACAACCGACTACCCCAACCCCCCCCCCCCCCCCCGTCCTCACGAACTCATGGAATATTCTCTCTGAATGGGAACAGGACAACCATCGAACCAAAGCAAAAACCATGATCTTCCGTATGCTGCCATAATCTGTCCTTTCAGATATAGGATCAGTCTATCTCTCGTGCGGTGGCAGATAACTTGCTTCTGGGGTTCACGGGCGTCTTACCGACATGGTGGATCACGTGCCAGCCGATGTCACCACTTTGTCACGGAGTGTCGTGCTTTGGCTCACTGGCCGCATTAAGGAATTATGTCTTGTACGTGACTCTATGTTTTATTGTTATGTCTTTTTGAGTCCTGCTGGCGCTTTTTGAGTAGCTTCTGGTATGATTCGTTATATTTTGGTGTGCTTGTGTGCGATTTGTGGTAGGCCTTGTTTTCCATTTTCCGGTTTTTTTTGCTGTTGGTCGAATTGTAACATCGTGTAGCTGCTATCGTTTTCTGGGTTACTGTTACGTTTTGTATTGTTTCCCTTTTTACTTCTATCTATTTTTTTTATTCTCGGTGTGACAAAGTCCCAGCGTGAATCATTCATGCGCACTTTACATTTCTCAAAGTATGTGTCCATTCACTGCAGCGAAAAGTTCCCCACTTTCCCATCAAAGTCGTACAGATCGCCTTTTCTTTCTGGTCTCCTTTGATCTTGCCATCACAACCTCCCAAGAGAATGTGAGGTAGATATCGAGATCGGACTGGGTTTTACCTGTCAAATGGTGCGTAGGAGATAAGCGACGATTGCGATGAAACGGACCGAGTACCTCCACCGTACATACCTTGTTCACCCTGAAAGGCCAGAGGCGCTGCAGCTAGATTTCAAACTGTAAAAGTTGAATGGACCTTGGCTCTACCTTTATCAACAATTGGCCATTTTAAACGTGGTTCTTGTTGGATTTTGGATGTGAATTTGTTCTCTCCATCCGAGTCTTACTATTTGTGTGAGTTTTGCATGTGTGTACGCCTTTCTGCAACGAAAGATCTTAGAAAACCTTCACTCTTCCGATCTGCTACCAATTCAGGAACTGCATCCGTGCTATGATTCTCGAGGGCGATAGCGTTCCTACCGATTCGGCTAACTCAGCCTAGTAATTTACTGTAGTGGTGTGAGTATAGAGGGTGATGTATTGCCTCCAGGTGCTAATCATCTGGTGTTGCATTGCGTTACCTTAGCCACACATTGGCACCACAGGTTAACATAATACCACTCATATCATGCCATATCTGTATCATGTCACACCTAGTCGGACATGGTACGGTCACTACGGTATTGACCGTACCACTAGGTGCCTCAGGTACCCCGTGAATCAATAAAACACAATGATCTGGGCTCTAACTGTCCAAAATTGTCGGCTCAGCCACCACTCCCCCACGAGTAAACTGTGCTTCAGATGGTTGATCGTACCACACTAAAACACCTTCCGACGCCCTGCAGTATATCATATCACACTTATACGATTGGTATAACAGACTAGCAGAGCAACAGGGATATGTATATATTATAACAAGGGACCGAGTGTATATCGAGAAATATAGACTAGTATAAAAACCGAGGCGAAGCCGAGGTTTTTATAACTGGTCGATATTTCTCGATATACACGAGGTCCCTTGTTATAATATATTTATACCTCTCCATGCGCAAGCTCAAGAGCAAAAAGGAGTGAATATAGCTTTCTTTCCCTAAAAAGGAGTGAATATAGCGTTAGAGAAAGAAAGCTAGATACACTCCTTTTTAGAGAAAGAACGCTTCTCAGTGAGTTTTTTTCTGATGGTTTTCCTCAGTGGTGTATATACCTCCTGAGTGGTGTATATACCTCCTTAGTGGTGTATATTGAACAGTGTATATGGAAATTTATAAACTTCATGGGAGATCTGGTATATGAGTGTGGGTGTATATGGAGTGAGGTATAAATATATATATAGAACAGTACTGCTGAGTGCCTGAGATGGCATGAAACTTTAAGTTGTGACTGATCAAGCCATCTGTTGTTCTGACTAGTGTATATATATGTTGGACTCAGTAGAGCGTCCAGCCCCTATATGATGTCCAACCCCTATATAGAGTCCATTGGTCCAAAATCCACTGTACAGAGTCCAAAATTGGAATCAACTGTGAGCTCAGTTTAGATGGACATCACTCCCTGTATAGAGTCCAGCCAATTGGCTTCACCCCTATATAGAGTCCATTGGTCCAAAATCAACTGTACGGAGTCCAAATTTTGAAATCAACTATAAAGATTAAAGAGTCTTTATGTGGACAACACTCCCTGTATAAAGTCCAGCCAATTAGGCATCCCCTATCGAGTTCGAAATTAGACATAGGATCTGCTGTAAGCAGTGAATATTAACCAGAAAACGGCCTCTCCCTTTAATCCTTTACATCATTCACTTCTCAAGATAAAAAATATGTATTGAGGCGCCACTGCAGCCACTTCACTACATGAAAAACCCTACAAACACCATCCTCAAATCAAGTGGTCTCTTCGCAGACGCTGCAAATTACAATATCTCAATCATGCAGTGTTGCCAAATTATTGTGCACGCACACACACACATGCACACACCCACACAACGCCAAGAAAATACCTAGAAAAAAACAAGAATCGAAAGAGAATAATGGAGAGCCCAGGATTAATTATTTGTTTTCAAACTATTGCGCGCGCGCGCGCGCACACACACACACACACACACACACACACACACACACACACACAAACTTATACAACGCCAAGAAAAGAGTAGAGACACAATACACACGCAACTCCAACAGCCATGCAAACGTCCACCCATTTACACGTAAAGTCAAGAGGGATAACAAATAATTATACGAAACGAATGCATACGGGGACGGGTACACGCACGTTTACATACATGTAGTAGTGTAAGAGAGTAACATAGTGCAGTGGTCAGCATAATACTAGCACATGCTGAGAGTGCAATAGCAAGCTTCACCATTGCTCATGGCCATGCAAATGTTCAGCAGCACTCAGTTCCGCAAGCTTCTGAAGATCAGCACACCTGCAACAAATAGATAGCACAAGGATACGCCTATTAACGTAATGATGCATGGGAGCACACAACTACCAAGTTCTCAACGAATGTGATGCTCAATGAAAATCAATCCACTCAAAGACCTGTGAACAGGTGACGGTGGGGACAATAATCTATTAGTAATACGAGGAATAAGATCGTTTGTGCACACTCAAGTCGCACGGACACACCACCATACATGTAGTGTACACAGTGTTTCACTGCAACTACTTCGAAGTAAATTGAAATGAGATGATTTGAACAATCTGTACCGCGTTGCCGTCAGTCAGTCTTCCCCAAGATGGAAATGCAATGATTTGTTGTCACGAGGCAGTTTCACTGACACAATGTCATGTTCGTGACATCAAAACGGTTACTTCAGGGAATACGAGTATTAGCTTGAGAAGCTTTTTCTTGTCATTGGCATACAAGCAATCCTCCTACTACTACTAGTACACTGGCACTGCGTTTGTGGATCCCATTGTATTTGACATCATACTATAATTTGTAGAGGAAGAGTGTCGTGGAGTTTCACATAATTTTCACAGGGATAAAAATACATTTCTCATGAAATAATTATAATAATTGATGATAGCTAGACGATCGTATACGATTGATGCAAAGTCCTTGCAGTCCTTGAGGACTATTACGAAGTGGTTGATTACTTTTAGGGCATTCATTCAAGCAACATGAAACAAACACGATACGCTCCTTGAAAATGGAAACAAATTCAAGCATAACGACAGAACAGCAGACCAATCGAAACAAGTAAAAGCTTCCTTACCTCAGTCATCGTCCTGCCATGTAGTTGGACAGCCTTTTGACACGGTGGTACAGGCAGCTCTTGTCCAGTCAAACAGGGGTATCCTTGTGGCGTCAAACGAAAGAGAATGTCAGTGTATCTGACTCGTCAGATTGGAACTGTGCTGAACCTTTCTCTTTCTCCGCTTTCTGCTTTCATCCCTCGCTCTGATGAAACCGTTCAAACGTCTTACTGGCAGCAATGGCCAGCCAAACAGGGGATCCTTGTGGCGTCGAACGAAAGAGAGTGTCAGTGTACCCGACTCGTCAGATTTGAACTGTGCTGAACTTTTTCTCGTTCTGCAATTTCTGCTTTCATCCCGCGCACTGATGAAACGTCTTCAGAGAACCACAAGACGCTTTCCAGATTTGATTTTGAACGTCTCCTTATCCTCCTTGGTTACCTCGAGACAGATTACTGTCAGCAACTGCACAGCAGAACTGGCAGCCATGGCTGAAGTGAAGAAAGGAATGCGCTGCCACGAGGCAAGCAAAACTGAAAATGTGTTTGTTCTCTTTCGGGCACAACACACAGGACGGCGTGACTGGATAAACTGGACTCCTGGACTGTGAATAGGGGACTTGTAGAAAAAGTGTACTCCTTATAGGGGATTGCGCGGCAGGATGAAGCTGATCAAAACTGAGTGGACTCCTGGACTCTGTATAGTGGATTTTGGACCAATGGACTCTATATAGGGTGCTGGACATCATATAGTGCATGGACTCTATACTGAGTCCTACATATATAGAACAATAGAAGTATTAAAGTTGCCTGAAGAGTGCTTTTGCACGAAATTCAGAGTAGCAACACTAAGAAACTTGGAGATCCTTTGTGTCTGAGTGTATATATACTATATATATTTACCCAATGCTGTAGACAGCAAGCTATTTCGGCCATAAAGGCCTCATCAGTACAGCTACGAGCTAAATAGGCCGAGCTACCAGCCATGGTGCAAAGGAGGCACCACAGACATTTTAAAAGGTAGCTCGTCCCAGTCTAGCGCCAGAGTGCTCAAACTACAAAATGTAGCGGGCATTGCGCGATGCAGCAGCACTAGAGCAGCCTACTGAGAGTGCTCAAGGCGAAAGCCGAGGAGCGTGATACCCAATGCTGTAGACAGCAAGCTGGTTCGGCCATAAAGGCCTCATCAGTACAGCTACGAGCTAAATAGGCCGAGCTATCAGCCATGGTGCAAATGAGGCACCACAGACATTAAGGTAGCTCGTCGCCCTAGCGCCAGAGTGCTCAAACTACAAAATGTAGCGGGCATTGCGCGATGCAGCAGCACTAGAGCAGCCTACTGAGAGTGCTCAACAAGGCGAAAGCCGAGGAGCGTGATACCCAATGCTGTAGACAGCAAGCTGTTTTGGCCATAAAGGCCTCATCAGTACAGCTATGAGCTAAATAGAGTGCTCAAACTACAAAATGTAGCGGGCATTGCACGATACAGCAGCACTAGAGCAGCCTACTGAGAGTGCTCAACAACGCGAAAGCCGAGGAGCGTGATACCCAATGCTGTAGACAGCAAGCTGTTTCGGCCATAAAGGCCTCGTCAGTACAGCTACGAGCTAAATAGGTATACATCTATTTAAATAGAGAGGTAGGCGAACAAAATTTATATACACACAACAACACGGTTGTCAATTTCATAATACTAAAAGCTTTTCACCCATTTTCATCAGTAGTTACATGGGAATGAGCAAGAACGAAAACGAAGCCAGAATTTATACTGGGGGTAGAGAATCAGCAAGAATATTCTTACGTGCCTCAAGTTCACACTACACTACCATAAGAATGTATGGAGCAGTGGAAAAATGCGGGAAACAACACATGAAGGGAATGCAGTACCAGAACAAACACGTGATAAAGTTGTCAGTCCGGTTGCAGCTTGAACAGCCGCAGCACCTTGATGTGCTTCTTTTGTCGACACAGTTCTGGCCTCAAACTGCGAATGTACAGCGTCTCCAGTGTGAATCGGTGCGCGCTGTTCCGGGCTGGTGTGATGACACTGAAGCTGCGGGATGCATTCAGGTTGCGCCTGCAAATGCTTTGTGATGGCGCTATCACTTGTTGCCACACGTTTGTCAGGCGGCTTCTTGTACAGCTTGTCTGGGATATGCTGCTTGATCCTTTCCGAGAATCGCTGACATGTCTCACCAACGTACGTCCGCTCACAGTGACACGCATACTTATAAATAAAATTACTATTTTCAAGAGTTGGTGAAATATCCTTCGCGATAGACCTGAATGCGGGCCTGGTTGTATAAATTACAATGGGGGATACTGTAGGATAGCAGTTCAAAATTGCAGCTTTAATCTTTTTGCGGAAGGCAATGCAATTTTTCCCTTTCCACGGCAATTTTGTGATAATACGCGTTGCATCTGTAGATGCACTATTGCAGTTTTGGCAGTATTGCGCAAAAGTGACAATTACAAGGTTTGTAGTGTGTAGACCAGGCAAGGACTCCCTGGCTTGGCCCAGACCTACCCAGGTAGCTACAAAAATGAGTGGCGGCCCAGCGATGGCAGCACTGACCCCGATCTCAAGAAACATCACCCTGAACTCTGTTCCGAGTGTGGACATTTGGTCACACTCTCACGGCAGCGCAGCGGCAAGGTCAAGGCAAGGTCGCACCCGGCTGCAGCATCGCTTGATGAACCAGTGGTGGTGGTGGCCACAGTGTATTTCCAGTAAACGTCCCTGGCTTGGGCCTTCAGGTTGCCAGTTTTGTTCATCACGACAGGGTTCCACTTCCTCTCCAAACAACAAAAACTCATTCAAATTATCAGTGAATTCTCTCTGTCTCTCTCTCTCGGTTACCAAATTGGCTGTGTGTGTGGGGGGGGGGGGGGACAGCAACTGGCACCTGTTACCTTTGGTAAGCTCTGGACACTGTGGATCCGCAGGTCGCTAGTTTCAGAGGATCTCCGCATCCGGCTTTATAATGCCGTTGTGCTCCCTGTACTCTGCTACAATTGTGCAACATGGGCACCAACGAAACAGCAGCTGAGCCGTATTGAGGCCTTCCACCGAAAACAGCTGCGGGCGCTAATCGGCATTGTGTTCCCGAATCGGATCAGGAACGAGAGGCTCTATGAGCGTACCGGCGCGGTTCCTCTCGGTATTATCATTTGATGTCATAGCTGACACACAAAGTCACACACACAGCACATTCGTGTGCACAGATACTAAATTAGTGGACATCGTCATTTTCTTCCCGCTGGTCTCAAATGTACGATGACGTGCTATTTCGCCTTACACAGGGATAACCATCACCAAGGGTACAAACTTCCAGAGACACTCCGTGTACAGTGCGAAAAAACCCTCGTGAACACCATAATTATAGCAACGCGAGTCACTGCCGCTCGCAGACGGTAGCGTCTGGGGACGGGCGGCTAGTCGTGAAACTCTGAGTTACAGCTCAATTAAAGCTACTTCCATTGCTAAGTTGTGTTTCTTAGCTCTGCTCTTGTGGCATTGAGCATTTTTTGCAAGTATTTACTGCAACATAGCCTTTTCAAACCTCCAGTCACGAGATTCCACTTCTGAGTGTGATGTGAAAATCGATTTTGGAATTCCTTTATGACTTCGTTACCGTGTAGCGATAACGGAAGAAATATCCTATTTACTTCTATTCGGAAATTGTCGCCTCCACGTCATTTATTAATCCATTCTGGAAAAAGCACCCTTTAACAGTTCCTTACAATTGCCGAAATTTATCTGAAGATACAACTCCTGGTCCCAGACGAAATATCCTATTGTAGCTGAGTATCCTACAATTTGACAAACAAACACAAGCACAGAGTATAGCTATTATGAGTTGAAAAAGTGAAGAGCACATGGCAATCTTGAGAAAACGCTCTCCAGATGCCAAGCATGAGAACAGAAACAAGACAGCTTGAAAGCTCAGTGCCCTCACTATTCCTTTTTGCATGTTTTTCGAACTGATTGAAATGTTTTTGCAATACCATGATAAAAATAGAACTCGACCCGCCCTCCCCATTTGTTTCTGAAAAACAGGACCATCATGAAGTACATGTACTCGATGGCTTGGCCTAACATACACTTTCTTTTACAATGATAAAAACTAACAGGTCACAAATTAACACGAATTAAAGCGTTGTGGATCCTGGCTGGCGCCAGAATTTACTAACGTCTTTTGCATAGCCGCAGAGGTTGCATAGATGACGGCCCTATGCCCACAGTTAGCAGTCACCGCATACGGAACAAGTTCGGGCATGACCATGTCTTTTCTCCTCCCGACTAGATGTCTGTTCAGCGGTCTCTTGCTGTCAAAGCATCTTTTCACGAAGTCGGCGAGTCTCCGAACGACGGGATATTTGCTCTGTAGTTTCTTGTTGTTGGCATAGCATTTTGCAAGCATGGTGACTCTCGAGGTGGCAGGACCGCTCTTCTCCCATCTTCTACTCTCTGCGTAGGCACTGGTGCCGACACCATCTGCTCAGAGCTTCAACATTGTCATTCCTGTTATTTGCTCTTCCTCATAGTCCTCTGCTAATGATATCAGCATTTTACCGCCTAAAAACACTGCAATTTACCGACCCTTACACTCCCGGCCCATTAGCAGCACACCCAAAAACATTCGAACGATAATGCGATAATGCGACACTGTAACCTTGATGACCTAGGCAAAAAAGCATTGCTATGATAATTATATATTTTTTCATTTCTCCAATATTTTCAAAGCATAACATGGGATTCGAACCCGCACTATCGCCCTGCAAGCATCCCCCCGATACACTTCGCATACAAACACATTCTTCCAAGTTGCCTTACTTTATGATTTTGCAGTTGAAAGCCCTGTTTGAATGAGGTGGCCAGCTGCCTTTGATGGTACGGTACGGGACATGTACATGATAGCGCCGGCATGCCATTGTCACGCACAAACAAACACGGAATTAAAGCTGTGTGGACCCTGGCTAGCACCAGACGTTACTGAAGTAACGTATTTTGCATACCTATGTGAATAACATGCAACAGCGTACTCATAGGTAGGGCTGCAACGAGGAGGGGTTTGGTCGGGTAACAAGGTCAGGTACCGTAAGCCGTGAAATTATTGCGATGGTCCAATTTCTGCGAAATTCGCGACCGAGTGGAAATCGCGAAATTTAGACTGCGCGAAAAGGAGATCAATGAACGGTTCAGCAAGAATGCCACAAGTTTAGCAAGAATGCCATTCTACAATCGCAAAATTAAAACCTCACAAACCTGTCCGGATTCTGAAAACGCGAACTAAAAACGCCGCGAAAATTTCACGCTTTACAGTATCTCTATCCGGGTAGCACGGGTACTCTTTGGTCTAGTTTGGACATAGTGAGTACAGTGAGTTTATTTTTTATTTTTTATTTTTTAAAGGGAACACAAACCTACAAATCATGTTGAAAGACAAAAAGTACATTGGACTGGCTAGGCGCTATCCACAATGCCAGTTAATAGCTGTGCTGATGAAATACATGGGCTCTGCCGACCATGGGTCTCGGCGTCACAGTGCCAGTGTGTAGTTGCTCTATATAGAAAGTGTACAGTAAGCACGTAGCTTTGCTTTTTACATGCACCGAAGGGAAAACACCGTACTCCAACTACCCAATCGGGTTCCCAGGAGCAAACTGCTACCCGAATGCACTTAGCAGGTTGAAGGTTGGAACGCTGGAAGGCGTTTGGTTTGCGCAATGGAGATGTGTTAGAGCCAGGTCTTAGGTTGTTGAATGTCTCAGTAGCCTGTCAGTTTTGTGCCCTGTCATCACACTTTCTGACTGCTTATTATCTTGTTACAGTCGTGGATAGTTACTTCATAACTCGCTCCCATGTGGCCCAGAAACTGCGAAAACCAGGCTTAGGGTGAAAATTTGACACAAAATGACTTTTTCCGATACAAGATGCTTATACACTGATGACTTCATACTAGAAAAAAGGGATTCGGCCAGTGAGTCCAGTGAGTCCGGTGAGTGTGAGAGCGAGAATGATTGTGTGAGTAAGAGTGGGTGCGAGCGTGTGTTTTCTAGTAGGAAGTCATCAGTGTATAAGCATCTTGTATCTCGTCCTGATTGCTGCAAGGTTTATTCTGATTCTTCTTTTTCTGTTTTGTGTCGTGCTCGTCATGGTTATAAGTTGCAGTTGAGTGTGTTAGAAGCTGTTTGTCAACGTATTCATAAGCCTAATCTGTGTGTCCAGAAGGACAGCATTATTCGTTTGAAATTGTTTTAGTAGCAGCTTGTTCTGTCTGTTTGGCCCTGGTCGGCCATGATGTCATATCTTGTGTCACAGTATACTAGTAGTCCTTACAAGTTCGTTAAGTGCTTTCGCAGTTTTTCCCGTTATTACAATAATAATATTAATAATAATATTTTTTAAAGGAGGTTGGAGGCGGATATCATTTTAGAAACGAAGGTAAGTATTAGGTCGCAAGTATCCACGCAAACACGCACATCCAGTCAAAAAAGGCACTTGTCATAAAGTATCCGAACGTATTCGGTCATTTCTCATCAAGGACTGTACAGGGAATGGCTCAAGTTAGTAAGGCTAAAACTTATATAGCCCATCTTATCATCTTGCTAATGGTACTAGGGAACATTTAGCTCTATCGCTCCTAACTGGTCATTTGCTTTGCTAGTTGCGGCTCTTCACGAGCCAGTTGTTGCCAATTGCATTGGCTTAAACTTGCAACCCCATTGTGGCACAATGTGGGTTTATTGCAGCTCCTCGCGAGCCAGTTGCTGCCAGTGGCCTGGCATTGCTTTCCAGCTCTTCGAGCTTTTGCATTACAAGACCAGTTACTTGAAGCAGCACACTATCTCCAAAACAATTCCTTGTTGCCTTGGGCTGAGTATGAGTGTGTGAGGGATATGGTGCTAATGAGATAACAACTGTGACAAGGTGGGAAATTATCAAGTCCAGAACGACACACAAATCTCGAAGGCAAATATTAATAGTGACAACAACATGGTGAGCAAATTAGGTTACATTGTTAACACCTTGACGAGGAGTAACACCAAACAATTGTAGCTACAACACTTTTCTTTCTGTACACAAAGTTCAGGATCTAACTTTTAAGTATATACGAAGCTTGTAACACAGCCAAATGCAACGCACATGTCAGGCCCGTCGCACTGACTTTGGAGGTAGGCGGCCATGGAAGGGGGTTCCAGGGGTGCTCCCCGGGAACATTTTCAAAAATTGAAGCAATTGCAAGCATTTCCGTGCATTTGGTGCCATTTCAGTGTAACTATAATGAAAGACTTTCTGAGTCTGCAACAAACCAAGAAGATGCTACGATCGGGGACAAGGGTTCTTCACTAGCCTCCCCTGGGAAGTTTTCAAAAATTGAAGCCAATTGCAAGCATTTTCAGGCATTTGGTGCCATTTCAGTGTAACTATACTAGTCCAATGACAGACTTTTTTGATTCTGCAATAAACCACGATCTGGGACAAGGAGTCTTCATTATTTGCCACGTTTGGGCTGAGCTGCGATCATCGCGTTTTGTTGCAGTGTGCTCAAAAGAAAATAGGCCGAAAAGTGGGGCGGCCTCAGCCGCCCCAGCCTCCCCGGCTGTGACGGCCTTGCATCTACCACGTGACAATATCGAGAAAACATTGTCACTGTACAACCCACGACAATTAGTACGGGTTGACAGATGTTGTTTGATTGACGATGTGCAATTCTTATCTCCGTTAGGCGTTGTCTCCTCCAATGTCCATGCTCCTGAACTTATCATCATGAAACCACGAACAGATGTATGTGCACAATGTGATAAGCTGCGAGAGATCATTCGCTATGCCAAATCAGAAGAAGCAACGCTTGAAGCCTCGGAGAATCTAACTCGTCACATAAAAGAAGCCGACGATGAACGGCAGTACTATAAAGACACCATAGCAGATATGAAACGGCATCTGGCAGAAACAGAAGATGGCAGCATGTCAACGAAGATGCATGTAACATTTGACTTTGCCCAACAGCTGGAGTTACCGCATCACACGAGACAAGTAGGCCCTATCTACTTCAAATCATGCTTCAAAGTTCAACTCTTTGGCATATGCACTGAAGCCAGGAATAGGCAAGTTAACTACCTATTTCACGAGGGTGAGTCTATTGGCATAGATGGAACTAAGGCACACGATCCCAACGCAGTTGTTAGCATGCTACCCTACCATTTTGACAAGTATGTCAAAGAAAGAGTGGTGCTTATGCATGCTAACAATTGCGTTGGCCAAAACGAGAACAAGACCGTTGTAGCATATCTGTGTTGGAGAATTCTTCGCGGATTGTCTGATGACATTACATTTTCTTTCATGCATGTTGGACATACCTACGACCTGGCAATACTGCAATTTTAGTTGAAAATGGTGGTAAGCCAGTGACCATTCCAACTGGTGGCATCTCGGATACCAGGCGCGTCTATCTGCAGCGTGAAATAGAACAATATCTATCCGAAGGTGCGCTGCCACCCTGGTATGCAGCTGAACCAGCCAGTGAGGGCACTGACACCACTTGGAAACAGTAACAGTGCAAACAGTCCATTGCTCCAACCATGTACATATTCTGTACTACACTCCATACAAATAGTTACTTGACAGCATTTCTATACCACTCTTATACCATTCAGATAACCTGAATGGTGGTATCTGACAGCAGAGTGTGGTGTGAGGCCATTCGCCTGGGCATGCTTAGAGGCCTTAAAGGGGCACTCCGGCTTCATTTTCGACGCCGAGTTTTCGATCCCAAGACGAAGGTAGGTGAAAGAGAAGACCCCTCGAACAAGAACGAGTCTCCAGAAGCGATCGAGTCGAGCAGGAAGACTACTTTTGAATTTAGGCCGAGCGAGCGCTGATGACGTAATGAGGGATTAGCTTGCCAGTGGAAATGCATCTGCGTACATACATTTCACACACTTTTTTGGCCAATTTTCAATCGAAGAGGAGGTTGTTTGCTATGTTCTCCCAACGCCGTGAGCGATCCCGTCTTCTATACCCTTCCAGGTACCCTGAAGGTCCTCCAGAGGAGAATTTATCTCCAGCAAAGCGTTGTTGATCCGCTAAATTCGTCTCGAGACATAATCACCCAGTGCAGTGCTGATAAATGTAGAATGTTGAATCTGTGATAATTGTCGACGATGGAGAGAGGTTGATAGCCGCTGTCGCAGGGAAAGTGAAGCTGCTGGAAGTAACAACTGGGAGCTTGTTAGCATAACTTGATCAAAGCAGCTTGACGGAATCGGGGAGTACTGACTATTTGTCTCGCCCTCAGTTTAGTGAATTTTATGACCAGAAAATTATTCGATCAGGATCCCTTCTACAAGATGTGTAGTACAGGTGATTTCTGAACTTGACGATATGGAGACCGACCAGTAGACCTACCAACAACGTGTACCTGCAGGAAATTCACCCAAGGCTATTGCTATTGCTATCCTCTTCAGTGGCTGTTGATTTTTTAGTAAAAATATGTTCACTTCTCTCAACATTCTCCTACATGGCGGCAAGAAGGTGCACTATGGAATTCAACGCCACAATCTTCGCCTAGCTGTGGATGAAGCATGGTCAAGTCATGGCAGTACATATACTTGAACCATATGAGAAATTGAAGTTCATTTGTGATGCGAAGTTTGACAGCCCCAGTGATGGAGTCAAGCGTTGTCTTTTGCCGTGGCACAAATTGCTGAAGAATCCGAGATGGTCTTGGAATTATGCACATGGATACTACCAGAAATAATGGTGGCATGAACCATTGTGGAATGGGACAGCTCACGGAGAATACTGGAATAGCTCAAGTATCTCTAGGTGATTGTAAATCCTGTTCTGGCTTATAGCTTCGGCCTGCTGCGCCCGTCCATGTACAATGATGGGAACATGCATTTCTGTTTTCTACATATGACCAGCGCTTTGGCCGAGCGGTTGTGGGCTTGCCTGCGAATCACAAGGTCCCAAGTTCGAGACCTGCGCTGGGAGCAGTGAGCGTGTGCTGTGCTAGCAAATACGGTAATGCACGCATGAACCACTTTACATGCAGTGAACTGCGCCGACACCCACAGTCAACTGGGTACTCACTACTCGGAGTGAGGGCAACATGGATGCAGCTAACAAGGTTAGCCCCCTTGTCAGGCATTGTTTGTGAGACTTACCACCTCACCCTCGCCGTTAGGCGCTGCATCTGCCACCCTGGTATCATAGGCATGGTGGTGGCCTGGCACATTCGAAACTTCCGCTGGTTGTGTTTCTCAACAAACTTTACTTCTTTTTTTTTACTTTACATATTTGCCATCTACTGTACTGTGGCATTACAGGTGCAGGTCCCTTATATAGAAATATGTTCAACCCCCCTCCCACATACCCACATAAATATGAACTAACAATTTCACTGTTGGACTCGCCGGCGGCTAGAGAGCAAAGGATTAATATATCAATTTATAGCAAAGAAAAGGACCAGGGAACTACAAGTTACGCTATAATGTCCACGAACAATTTCACTGTATTTGAAATAATTTTGTTTGATACCCTGAGAACTCTGAAACTTTGCAGCACTGTGGATTATATGTGGATACAACATTTATGGAAAGAACACATTGTTCAAATAATTATAGCACTGACTTGTTGAGATTGTGAGCACATTCCAATCAGTACTCTACATAAGTGGTGGCAATCGTTAGGAATAGGTCGTGAGTTGTCAGAGTGCTCTAGTATATGAGAGAATGTTTTGTTTGTCTAATCGACGGCTCGTTTGAAGCCAGAGTTGTTTGAACTTGTTTCAGTCGACTTGATTCTAGACAGTAGTCGAAGGAGTACTATGAAGTATACACCAGGCGTAGTCCGTAAGGTATCTCGTGAGAATTCTGTCGGTACACATCAGGTATCAGCTTGCAAAGATGGCTCCTCTCTGTTTCTTGAAAGCCTGTATAGTTGGACTGTGGCTCCAGCGATTCCCTTCTCAGAGCAGGTACCATACCCAATACGGTCAATGCATATTGGACAGACCTGTGTGCACAACAGAAATAGTGGAGAGACATCTCTCAGCTCATGAACACATCAGTGAAGTTTGAACTGCCGTTGTTTGTGGCCATCAGTATAAACCTATCGACTATAAGAATAATGTGCAAACACCCCTCTATAACTACAGCTGGGGCCATGGAATTAGAAAGCATCTAACTTAGGGAACTGCCAACTCTGGTCGGAGTTGCATTCAAGGCCTGCAATTCATGATGGCTATCGTATGTTGCATTGACCAGAGATCATATAAAACTTCCATGCCACATTGAAACACGCACTACTTTCGAGTACTTTGGTATCCCCCACCAAATGAGCATTCGGTCCCAGGGTGGCAGGCGTCACCATTCGTTATACCTGGATCAGATTAGATTGACCCCAACTGTCATGAAGAATCATTTTTACTTTGACTGGATTTCAGTACAAGTTGTAGAACTGCAGAATAAATTTTGTTGTATTTGGGCAACCATTTCTCTACAAACGCTCTATTTGGAAAATATAATTTTTTTATAAAATACATGTCCAAATTCCACATCTACCCAAATCGGAATACTTGATCACGTATTCAGTCCTACACGGAATGTTTAGAAAACGCCAGGGGATAGGAATTTGCTAACGAGAACTCCAGGCCAGGGTACTAGCATACGAACAAAACAAGATAAAAACTCACCAGTATACTTGTAGTAATTCATGTCGGTGTAATATTCACGATAAGCAACGAGGCACCCTCCGATTTGGTCAAACTGCTTTGAAGTCTGGTTGTTCAGGTGATACAAACGGGCTCCCCGTTGTTACTTCCAGCAGCTTCACTCTCCCTGCGACAGCCGCTATCATCCTCTCTCTCCATCGTCGACAATTATCACAGATTCAACATTCTACATTTATCAGCACTGCACTGGGTGAATATGTCTCGAGACGAATTTAGCGGATCAACAACGCTTTGCTGGAGATAAATTCTCCTCTGGAGGACCTTCAGGGTACCTGGAAGGGTATAGAAGACGGGATCGCTCACGGCGTTGGGAGAACATAGCAAACAACCTCCTCTTCGATTGAAAATTGGCCAAAAAGTGTGTGAAATGTATGTGCGCAGATGCATTTCCACTGGCAAGCTAATCCCTCATTACGTCATCAGCGCTCGCTCGGCCTAAATTCAAAAGTCGTCTTCCTGCTCGACTCGATCGCTTCTGGAGACTCGTTCTTGTTCGAGGGGTCTTCTCTTTCACCTACCTTCGTCTAGGGATCGAAAACTCGGCGTCGAAAATGAAGCCGGAGTGCCCCTTTAATCAGCTGTGGAAGTTGGCAGGGATAAGTCACGGTGGAATGGCACACCGCGGCACTCATCTTCCTCTGCCGAGCCGCGTCCTTGACTTATCCCCTGCAGGGTGAACATCACGAACAGTCTACCGTCTTTCTGACATTGCCACTCGAACTTGACAATAGAAGCAGCTTTCCGTATGTGCAGTTACATTGAGCCATGGTGTTTTTATTTTATTTTTGTGAATCCTTCCTGGAACCAAATGCTGGTTTTATACATTCGTGTAATTACTCAGCGTTATTTGCAATAATAATATTAATAAGAATAAGAATAATACCATTCAGATAGCTCTAAAACTTTACAGGGTGAAAGTACGATAGCTGAACATAACTTTGGTGAAAAAACCAATTTCGAAAGTTTATGCCTAAGCCACCTTTTAGCGTGGTTCAGCTCATATATTGTTGCAAGTGAAGTGAAACAGCCTGGATTTTCGTGGTTTTTCCCAATCCAGTGCCTTTTTGGGGAAAACCTGTCTGAAATCCAATTGTTGTTAATTGAGGCTTGCTTTTGGGGGAAATAGACTTCACCAACAAAATTTGAAGAGTATTCAACGGGGATTGCAAAAAAATGGGAAAAACTCAAAAATTGACCCATTTATGGCCAAACTATAGGCGCATCATCTTTTTTTATGAATGGACTGTAGTCTGTTTCGCCTTCTAGCGGAGATGCCTGTCTTTCTGTCTGTCTGCCTTTCTTCCTCTCTGACTCTCTCATTTCCGCAGTGCATAGCCCTGGCACTGACCCCCATTCCTGGGTTACTTGGACTTCATTCGCTTCCTTGTCATTGGACATGTTCAGTCCGTTCGGTTCGCGAATTCAAATAAACACAACCAACCACCAATGCCGAGACAGTTTGTAGGCTGAGCTTCGCCTGCCCAACTGGCACAGCCACCTTGCGTGGCCACCACCATTAGCTGTTCCTGCTTACTTCCCTAGCTCATAGGCAGGATTATCTTGGGCGTAAAAAAAGAAAACAAAATCGGGAAAAGACTTACACAGTATCAGTAAGTGTTGTTCCAGCGAATGCATCAGAACGTATCTGGCGAATTGCGTTGTGCTTCAAATTCCTGAACGAAAAACATGGAATATAACAAAAAATGAGGTGGAAAGCAGCGGCATTCGGCCATGCAGATTTTTCGTCAAGCACCACACCACAACTGCGCTCTCCAGCTGACCTTGGCACATTGCCACAGCACACCATTAGCAAAGCCGAAATACAACGGTATTCAATTCCTTCATGCAAGTGTTTCGAGTTATATAGATATCATAGAACTGCTAAGATAGTGAAAATCAACCTTTCTCTGTGCCCAAATGGCAAGCATAATGCGCACGCCTGAGGCGCGAAGAACATGGCTACGCAAAAGAAGAACCAAGTGCAAAACACCGTGTTTTTGTTTTGTTTTTACAAAGTACACAAACCCGGCTCGAGACAAACAAATAAGAACAAGAAAGTTGCGTGCAGGGAGAACGAAGAAACGACTAGAACACAGAAGTTGAGGGTTGACAGAAAAAACAACTATTGAGTCGGGTCTGACTGCTAGTATCCACTAGTGCAGCTGTGTAGGTGGGGCGTTGCAGACTCCTCCGACAAAAGGTCTCGGTATCCTTGCACACAACGCGCACGGGGGGGGGGGGGGAGGGGTCAAAAAAGAAAGAAAGAAAGAAGAAAGAGTTAGGCCATCAGGTAGTATGCTAGTCTGTGGTGTACACGTCGACAGCAGTCCCACAAGTTTGCTCGAGAAGGTACTTGTACACTGCTACTTTGAAGCTTTGCAGCGCTGCCTTGGATGGGGGAGCATTCAGGATGGCAGAGGGTAGAGCATTCCATGTTGTGAGTAGGCCGAACGGGAAGGATCGGTGTAGGATGTCAGGACTTGTTGCGGGGAGGGGGTTTGACAACTGGAAGGGCATGGGTGTGTTTTCCTTGATGTTGGTGGCGGGTTCTGGGGCGGGCGGGCTCAGGGGCAGCAGGTGTCAGCATGTCTGTCAGCTGGGCTGGACCGGAAATGTAGTGCAGCTTGAACAGATAGCACAGTCCCGAGACTTGCCGATGCACTGATAAGCTTGGGAGCATGGTCCCAACGCCAATGCTGTGCATACACCGTTGCTGGATGCAGTCAAGCTTCGCGAAGTTGGACCGGCTGCGCCTTCCCACACTAGGGGAGCATATTCCATGGTTGGGTTGATGAAGCCTTTGTATACGCTGAGGCGGCCGTTGCGGTCGAGTACTGGGCACACCTTCCTGAAGAAGCCAAGGCGCTGGCTGGCTCTGACTGCAACCTGGTGGATATGGCTGCGGAACAGCAGTTCGCGGTCAAAGGTCACACCGAGAAGCTTGACATCGGTTTCCTCTCTGATCACGGTACCATCGAAGCTGAGAGAAGAGGGTGAGAGGGGTGTTGATCGTCTGCTCATCGACATTCCCTGGCACTTTGTCGGCTCAAACTGGACCTTCCATCTCGATCCCCAAGCTTGGAGCTCATCGAGGGAGGCTTGCAGTGAATTAAAAGTGACGGGGGACACGTCATCGGCCCGGATCAGGCAGCACAGTGTTGTGTCATCTGCATACGACGCTAGCTGGCATTCTGGAGAAACACAGTCAGATATGTCGTTGACATAAATAAGGAAGAGCATTGGCCCTAAGATGCTACCTTGTGGCACAACGGCTAGGATTGGGAAGTGCGAGGAGGTCTGACCACCAACAACACCCCTTATCTTCCTTTCCTGAAGGTACAACTGAAGCCAAGACAGAATTGACCCGCCAATGCCGGACACTTCAGCTTTATGCTGTATGCCAGTGTGCGAACTTTATCGAAAGCACCAGCTATGTCGACTGCAACAAGTAGAGCGATTCCATTGCGACCCACTACTCCGCAACACTCATGATGGAGGGCAGTGAGGAGGTCGGCAGTTCCAGTCCATGGCGGAAGCCAAACTGCCTGGGAGATAGGATCATGTGACGTTCTAGGTGATTGACAATTTGCCTGTAGATAATGGTCTCCATAATCTTTGACACAATACTCAGAAGGGAAACAGGTCGCTAATTTCTCACTGCTGCTTTGGAAGCGCGCTTGTGGATAGGCACAACGTGTGCTGTCTTCCAGGGGTTGGGATGATGTGAGCAGCGTATGCAGAGGGCAAACAGCTTAGTCAGAGGGGGTGCAAGCTCTTTCGCACACTCTCGAAGAACCTGTGCTGGGAGACTATCTGGACAAGTGGTTTATTGACTTGGAGCTTGCGGAGCTCCCCCTGAACCTAAGCAGTGCGAACGCGGATCATGCCAAGTGCTGGTGGGTTGTGTTCCTTGGCTCTTGGAAGGCTGGACGGTTCAATGTCATTGTCTCCAAGACTCCATTTCTGTGAGAAGAAATTCCGAAAACATTCTGACTTCTCCTTCGCGGTGCGGTGCTCTCTGCTTCTCTCATCAATGAGTGTGGGAATATCAGACTGGTGTCCAAAACCACCTGCACGCTTTTAAAGGGAGCATGTCTGAGAATACCAAAGTATGTGGGCAAGTGGATCTCTCCGAGTTCGCTCAAAATTTGCAAGTATGTTCCCTTTGGGGTGTAGATCGATTGTGCAAAGCCCTTGGAAAAGTTTCTGAAGAGAACCTTGAAACTTGCATACCCCTCAAAAATGGCCGAAATATCACACACTATTTATGGGTCTACAAACCAGTCACGCCACAGCGTATACGAACAAGCTACGAACAAAACTCCATCAAGCCAACATTGCCTCACCTTGCCTTGTCTATAAATGTGTGCATGGTCGCCGCAGCCCTCTACTTGCCGAGCTTTTTGTACTTAGATCAAATAGCAACCATACCAATGCCTTGACCAGGGGACAGTCCGCCCTGGCTTTAGCCCTGCCTAATGCTTCGTCACGGTACGGTTTCTATGCGTTGCCTTACCTGGCCGCTGACAGGTGGAATTCGCTTCCAGCAGCATGCCGCCAGGCAGCCTCCTTTGCAATGTTCAACAGTACTCTTCGCAGCCTCTTTTGCAACACATAATGGCACAGTATGCAGCCACCGTTTTCTTTTTTCTTAACTCTATTACACGCACTTACGGCTTTCTTCATTCAGCTCTATTTCACGCACTTACCTAGGGTACCCTGTAAATAGACTTACAGTCTGTGGGGATTGCCCTAGTAAAATAATAAATACTACTACTACTACTACTACTGCCTTAGAAGAGTTCCTGGAGCAGTACCGCTTACCCCCAAGTGGGAGCAGATACATGCTGGGTGAGCTGGTGCCCAGCAGCCACCTTTTTCATGTACTCGCCGGTTGAAGTTGTCTTCGTGGTTACAAGTCACCTGGCATTGTGCACATTGACATTGACTCATTTGAACCCTTTCCGTTACGGTGACGGTACTAAAGAGCCCTTGGAATTTTTCAAAATTATGCACTTTTCGTGTTCATTGGATCATAACGTCAGTTCTACTCACTCAATCTTCATTACCTTAGGCTTCCTGGAAGTGGAAAGTTACCAGGGAGAGAATGAGGTCGACCATGATAGCCAGGACGCAGTACAGCAATGTACATATCCAGCGCTATGTACTATTATAGCGGTAGAGTTCAGCGACGGTGCGAGAAAATGCCCCAAACTGGGCCAAAGACCCAAGCGCGTGCTGCTCCAGAGATTTCGTTTTGCTTGATCGCAGAGTTTCGATTTTTTGCTGTGTACTCTTAAAAATATCACAAGTGAAGCCCCTGCAAATTTGAACAAGTCAGCGTGACGAAAAGTCTCAAGTTCTCGATACTCGAGTCGCACTGCACGCTTTTGAAATTGCGAGATCGCGGCTCAACTTACGAACGATTTATCTCAAGAGACATTGCTTCCAGCGTGTTGCAAATTGTTTCAACCGACAGCTGAGAGTTTTCTATTTGACCTGGATATTTTGATCGTTGGATTTGAGCGGGATTTGACTGAGTTACGATCTGTTGAAGTTTTGCATTCTTGCAAGATCGATCGTGCGCCCTACCAACATATGCCCAAAACGTTGCTCGTTTGGAACCTTTGGGGGTTTCCGGGCAACGGCCCCCCCCCCCTCCCTTGCGTACGCGCCTGGGGTGAGCAGGGCCGTGTCGCACAAAGTCGATTGTGGTGTCGAGGTACCCTATGAGGGAGACGTGTGAGTCGCTACTGGACCCAGGGCGGTAGACAGCTCCAATAACCATTTTCAGATTCTGCGTGTTCAAAACAGCAAGCCAGATGACCTCATGAGCATCGGATTGGTATCTCTCCAAGTGCTGATAAACGAGCCCCTGCTTCAGCCAGACAGCAATTCCGCCACTGTTGGCAGTTCTGTCCCGGCGGATAGGGCCGGAGTAGCCTGGGATGGCTGCATCCACTTGTGAGCATTTGTCTGAGGTAAGCTTCGACTCTGTAACGATGGCAATAGCCACTGCCTGCTGGAGGAGTAGATAGGGGCGTCGGACACGGCACAGTCACTACAGTATTGACCGTACCAAGTGCCCTGTGAATCAATAAAATGCACTGATTTGGGCTCTAAATTTCCAAAAAATTCCGCTCACCCGCCACTACCCCCCCCCCCCACGAGTAAACTGAACTTCAGATGGCTGACCGTACCACACTAAAATACCTTCTGACGCCCCTGGTTGATGACGAAGTTCGCCAAACTTGGAGTTAACTCCACAAGCATTCGTCAGCAGGAGGTTGAGCTTTGTGGAGTCAGCATGCTGGGTGCCAGTTGCACTGGTCATTCCGAGGTGCGAGCTTCTTCCAGTCATTGCACAGATATATTATCGACGTCCTGACTGAGAGATGCAAATGCATTGCCAACTGTGACACTAAACTTCGTAGCTTGCGTCTCGGGCGGCGAGTCACGCTGGTGGGACCGTGATTTCTGGCCAGGAGTCCAGACCTGTGCTCCACAGGTGTTGTCTAAGATATCGCAATCCATGCTGTACCCGCTCTTATTGTCGTCCTTGCCACTGTTGCTGGTTGTGGTGCTGCTCTGGGATGTTTGTTGATCTCCACAGGCATCAGACTGGGTGTACTTATCGAAATTCCACTCTCTTGTGTACACAAGCCTTGGCCAG